TGCAAGTTAGAATTTACAATCAGGATGATTCACCTCACAGGACTTTGATGCTCCCAGATAAATGTGGGGAAACAAACCAGCATCTATCCTGTTCATCCTGATTCTGCTGGAGTGGATCAGAGCATGTGACTCCATCAGTTCACAACAAAACACCATTCACACCATTTTTTAACCAAAATGTTCTGTCTGGATATCAGATCAGCAGGTTTATCAGCCACAGTAATAACATTTTTGTCTCAGTCACATCAGGACTTGGTACAGACATCGATTTGGGCAGAATTTGGGGCTTAGTTTTAGACTAAATTGGTCTTTTCCTCCAACTGTCATAATCAAGTCTGGTACTTACTGTAGCTGCAGATGTTCATCGTGACTCTGATCAAAAATTACTGATCTAATATCTTAAGTGTGCCAAAATTCAGCTCAGCAATTTAAAGTCCAAAGGTGTTTCTCAATGTCAAGGTGCCTGGCCTTGCGAGGCGATGTCTTGCAAGGCCAGGCGCCTTGCTTACGAGGACACTGTCCTTCCTTGGTCAAAGAAAACGGTTAAACGGAACAGACTTGCATCACGTGACCGTGGCTTCCACGGTGGTCACGTAACATCACGTGACACAGGAGATAACGTTTTATTTGATACATATTAGTTTCAATATAAATATATAACGAGGCTTTTACTTTTTAAATTGTGTATGTTTATTAAATTAAAAATATAAGTGAGTTACTACCCGCTAGCCACCGCAGCTGCAACTACTATGCAACTAACCAACAATAGACGACTTCTTTGGATCTAAAAAAAAAACATTTTAAATTAGTTGTCTTACTTTTAAACTTGAAAATGGTCCCCGAAGTAGCTTCCGGCTTCTGATCCGCCATCCTTTTGATAATACCGCTGTGCATTCTGGGTAATTTTTGACCAAGGCTAGGCTACAGGACACCTCCCGTGTATCCTTGCTCAGCTAGCTAAGCGGCTAACAAACGGAGAACATACGGCTCGGTAGAACATGAACATTGGAACACGTCTTGGTGGCTCCCAATGACGTATCTCCTAGGCAACCGGGGCGGGGCCAAGACATCAAGGCAAGGTTCCTTGGCATTGAGAAACACCCTAAGTGTAGTTGTGTAGTCACCATCAGCCTAACTGGTTTCAGTGCCTGAGCTGTGTTTCATAATCAGCCTGGAGCCAGATCCGTTCATCAGGAATGACAGGTTACGATGCATCTTTCTTCCGAAACACTTCAGTGACTTTGTTCCAAAGTTGTGTAACATTTATTTCAAACGGTCAAACAAAACATGATGTAAAACTGCCCCGGGCTCCATGTTGACACATGACATTGACTCTGAGCTAAGGGTGGAGTTGGCAAACACAATGAGAGACAAAACACTTCAGAACACCTATTGAAAACAAAACTAAGAATTCAGCAGCGAAACAGGTTGTGATGCTGATGACCTACTGACAGAAAGGTGACATTTAAATCCATAAAACAGGTACACTGAGATCCAGTAGTGCTTCACTCAATAAAAAATTACCTGTTTTTTATCTGAAGAGAGAAAGTGGGTCACTCACTTCATGACAAGCCTCAGGGTTCAGACTGAGAGATTAACAAACTTTACATTTAGCCTATCTGTAGGAGCAAGTCTCATTTGCCCTCATGCAGGATTTTGCAGGAATAATCACCTTGATATTCATTTTCTGACCATTAATACCCCAAAACAACCAAACTCCCTCCAGTTTTTAGAACCAAAAACTGTAGAAGAACAAGAAGAAAAGATATTTTCCATGGCACCTCTCAAGATAAAAATCACTAGGTGCTTCACAAAAACAAAAAATGTAAAAATATAAAAAAGAATTTAGAAAATGATTACAAATATATTTAAAAATGAGCAAAAAATTGACTATTGTGATTGTAAAGAAAGAGAGAGTGAATAGGAAAGAGGGAAATCAGTGGATCCTGAGGAAGGTGGAATAGGTGGGGAGAGCAGAACAAGGAGAGGGTGATGAAGGTCACACAAAAACCAGCTTGAACAAGTGAGTTTTCAGCTGCTTTTTAAAGGAGACCACTGAGTCCACTGATCTCAGGCTCAGGGGAAGAGAGTTCCAGAGTCTGGGGTCTACAGCAACCAGTAGGCTTTGATCACTGGACCTCAGGGACCTGGTGGGGGTGTAGGGACTAAAGCCTGATTCATGCTTCTTCGTCAGCTCCGCAAGGGACAGACACGCACGGATTGACGGAAGCGTTTTGCTCTCATACTTCTCCGTCTCCTGGAGAGTGTTGCAAAGCAATTCCCTGGCAGGACAACAGAGGGCGTAGCACTGTTCTGTGGTATCCTGTCGTGTATCGCTCCAAGATAGTCTGTTTATAATGTGGGGTTTTTTTGTATACAAGAGACATTTTAACACAGACAAATTTGTCTCTCATCCTCCTCCACCTCTTCATGCGCTCGCCACCTCTAAACCCACATTTCCTGTCATTTCCATCCACAAATAAAACGCTTGCTGTGCATCTTTTCACTCCTCCCGTCACGGGGGAATTAAACATTCATGTTTTTAGAGGTTTTTTTTGCGAGGTATTCTTCAAGCTGCTCCGTGTCTGCCGCTAGTTATCCTCGGCTCTCTTTATGCTTTTGAGGGCGCAATGGCGGCGGTGTAGATGACAGCGGCGTCCTGACCAATCACAAGCTTGCGTTGTCCGTCTTGACTGACAGAAAAGAGAGCTCGACTCCCTCCGTCCTTGCGGAGCTCTCCAGCAGGTCCGCAAGGATGTTGCGTGTCTCCGCACTGATGCAGACGGAGAAGCATGAATCAGGCCTAAGAAGATCACCAAAGTAAGATGGTGCTTGTCCATGTAAGGCCCTATAGATCAGAACCAGGATCTTGAAATGAACCATGAAGTTGACTGGCAACCAATGAAGCTGGAGGAGAAGCAGTGTGATGTGGGTGTGTTTGAAGGACTTGGTCAGAAGATGAGCACAGGCATTCTGAACCACCTGTAGACGGTTCAGGGAGGTTCTGCTCAGACACGTGAAAAGAGAGTTACAGTAGTCTAAGCGTGAGGAGATGAAGGCGTGGATAACTGTCTCAAGTTCAGAGTGGGACAGAATGGGACTCAGCTTAGCAATGTTCCTGAGATGGAAGAAGGAAGAGCGAACAAGAGAACTGTCATAAGAATCCAGGGTGAGAGCTGGGTCAAAGGTCACGCCAAGATTCCTGACGGAAGGTTTGGTGTGAGTAGCACACACTGTATTTAGTACAGACAGAGAGGCATTCAAATCCATTAGCTTAAGCTACAAGACAAGTGCATCTCTAATGGTATGAGGAAAAGTATAACTGGTTCCTGGAGTTCCACAAGGTGCTATCCTTAGTCATTTATTTAAATTATAATTCTGGAAAAAAAAATCTTCTTGCAGAGTCTCTTAATGACACACTGATGCTCTCCTTAAAGATGTCTCAAACAATTTTACTAAACATTGTTCTTTGTTGTTCTCAATAAAATCAATTATTGCACTTGGGATGAAAGAATGAAAGCTTATTTTACAAATGTCCGTGTCTAACAAAACTCTAATCCATCTATTATGTGCTACTAATTCAGGACCAGGTATTGGGTCCCCAGACCTCCTCCTCTCCTCAGCTAAGTCTTGTAGCTCATTCAGAGGGATGCTGGGGTGTTCCTTTAGTTGTCATGAGATAATCTCTACATGACTTCTGGGTCAGCCTCAAGGTCCCTTCCCAGTAGGAGATGTCTGGAGCATCTTCCATTGAAGGTGTCCAGAAAGCACCCTACCAGATGTTTACACATGTACAAACAACTTTAATAGCTCCTTTCAATGCAGACGAAGGGCAGTAACCCCTCTAAGCTCCTCTTGACCAGCTGAGCTCACTCGTTTTATCCCTCAGGGGGAGTCCAGCTACTTGGAGGAGGAAAATCCTTTCAGTCATTTACTTGCAGTTTTGTTCTTTCAGTCATTACCCACAACTCATGACTATTTGGTGAGGGTTGGACCATAGACTGACCCCTGGTATGGTCTTCTATGGAAAGCCGATTCAGGTTGAAGGACTGGACCAAATCAAAAACACTTAAAATGACTAGATCAAGGAACCCAGCTTAGAGATGGCCTCAACCCTGGAGCCAGCCTGAGGGAGAGGCTCATCTTTGCCCATGGGGGTCTAACCCTAATCCAGGAGCCATAGTTAAGATATTCACCATTTTTTGTTTTAAAGTCCAATATAAGATTTTAGCTATAACATAGTACGGCAAGCTGCCAAATCAGTGAATGATTTTGGAAACGCTCTGTGCCTTTCCGCTGGATTGGACGCCTCCCTGGGGATGTGTTTCGGGCATGTCCTGCCGGCAGGAGGCCCCCGGGTCGACCCAGGACACGTTGGAGAGGTTACATCTCCAATCTGGTCTGGGAACGCCTTGGGGTCCTGCCGGAGGAGCTGGTGGAGGTGGCCGGGGAGAGGACGGTCTGGAGCTCCCTAGTTGGGATGCTGCCCCCACGACCCGAGCCCGGAGGAAGACGACGATGACGACACCTTTCAATAATTTAACCCCAGAACACAAATAAATGAGTGGATAATAAAAGGTTCTGAAAATTCCTGCATAAATGTAAGTTATGAATATTTGACACATCAATCATACATTATCTCCATCTGTCAGTCATCGTTTCTTCATTCAGACCCATTCTTTCTCAACATTAAAAACAATGTGTCCTCTGGCTCTGTGTCATTGGTCGGTGGGCAGCAGCAGCAGCCCAGATTCTGGGTACCATGTCGGCTCGCCTCCCCATCATCAGTGTGCGGGTTCGCTCCTCCCTGCTGGGCTCAATCAGTCACACAGCTGCGTCTGTGACCCACACTGAGTGACAGTTACCGCTTTGTGCAAATCAAACCAGCTGAGCAGCACCGAGCCAATCACTCTGCACAACATTCTGCCAATTACCCGGGACGTTCGCGGCTCGGTTTCGTGAATCTTCGGACCCAGTGTGTGAATAATGTCGGCTCCTACCTGCCCACTGTTTGGTTGGCGAGCTGTCTCATTCGGTTGAACTGCTTCTTCATCTTGTGTTTTTCAGCAGCGAGCGGTACAGCCTCTCCACGTATCTCATTGATGAATTAAAGTCAGGTCTCCGCGCTGATACGAGACGGACGAGGTGCGGTGGTTAGAAATCCGGCTCGGTCATCCTAGCGGACTAAGGTGGGAGGCTGTCGGAGAGCTACTCCCTGCTCATTTTGTTGGTGAACACCGTGTTTCTGTCAGCCGCGCCGCTCCGCAGATGCTGGACCGATTCCTCTCCGCCAGCGATGACAGCTCGACGCTCCCCGCAGATGCATCATGGGAAATGTGGTTCTTCCTCAAGATGCCTCTAAAAGAGGTTGTACAATGTTTTAAAAATGTGATTGAATACTAATCTTATAACATTAAAGGGGAAATACAGCTTTAAAAATAGTTTTGCCTGTAAGACTTACATAAATTAGAAAAATAAACTCTCCTCCTGGAGAGACGATCACAGATGTGTTCAGGGCACATCAGACCAAAAATCAGCACCGAGACTCATCCTCATTCTGACTGATTCACACTCTGAAGGTGTTAACTCTGAGGTCAAAAGCACATATACACTATGAACATTTGCCGTCCTGACTTCCATCAGAATTTGTATTTTGAAAATATAGAACCAAAACGGTGTTAAAAATCTAATCTATTGAAGCTGACCAGGAAAATATCTTACAAAAAGACTGACAACCAACCCCATAAATATATAATTTCTCTGATTCCCAGAGGTGAAAAGCGAACATTTTAGATGGAATGATGGTCCTACATGGATCAAAGGATTGTCTAACATTTTAGACTGATTATGGACCTATGGGACACAATTCTTGAACTTATTTTAACTTTTAATTTCTATAGTCAGCTACATATAAAAACTGGTTACATTTTTTAGACTTCTTCTTACTGTTGTTGCCTGTAGGCCATTTTTACATTTGTTTTCAGGATGCTGCACCATATTATGAAGGAATGAGAATGCAGCACCCCATCCAGGCATGAGCTTATACACATTTAGCAAGCAAACAGCATCATCTTGTGGCTCTGAAAGTCAACTGAAAACTGTTGTATGTTTTAATCTGCAGCAGTTAACAGAAAAAACTATAATTTGTTTAAAAATAATACATAAAAATGCACCTTTTTATGGAACGTTTGAATCTTATGAGTTAGGGCTGATTAAAAACTATAGAGGTGTTCAGTGAAATTATGAGAATGTGCAGAAGAGACATCATTTGTTATGTGGCTGTATTTATTAACTAAAAACTAAAATATGCATTGTTTAAATTTAATTCCTTCAGCATTTTGGTACAGTATCTGTTCTTTTTGACTGCAGGCAAGACAGCTGAGAGTTGCACAAGTCCACAACCGTTCAGAAACAGGGAAAGGTTCTGAGAAAAAGTGCTGCCTTGATGTCCAGGGCACCATATTACAGAGTTTGTCCTCCCAGTTGGACATGCCTGGAAAACCACACCAGGGAGGCATCCAGGAGGTATCCTGACCAGATGCCTTAGCCACCTCAACTGGCTCCTCTCAACGTGGAGCAACGGGTCTACTCTGAGCTCCTCCCGGATGACCGAACTTCTCACCCTGGGAGAACCCAGGCACCCTGCGGAGAAAACTCATTTCGGCCACTACCCAAAGCTCGTGACCATAGCAGGTGAGGGTAGGAACGTAGATGGACTGGTAAATCAAGAGCTTTGCCTTCCAGCTCAGCTCTCTCTTCACCCACACCCGCATCACTGCAGACGCAGCACAAATCCACCTATCGATCTCATGCTCCATTTTTCCTTCACTCGTAAACAAGAAAATATTCATGTAGAAGGAATTCTGCCAGATGCAGTGTACCAAAGGGCCAAGTATTTCATCAAAATGACCAAAAGTTCACTTTTAACTTTTAGGCCTAAATTACTTCTTCATACAGGTCAATCTGACACGGTGGTGCCGATACGAGGTGAACTGGTGTGCCACATCATATCTGTCTGGTTTCCAAACCAGAAAAGCACTGCTCAGCGACTTTACTGAATAAGGGAGCCATAATAAGTCCTTCTCCTAGCTCCCTGATCTTAGCTGGAAACTCAAGGTCTCATGCAGAAGACAAGACTTTTACTCTCTGAATAAAGCTCACTTTCTTGTCATAAATGACTTTTTAAAAACCTCATTCTGTTGAATAAAAAATATGCTTAAATCCAAAGTGTTTGATTATTGTATCCTATATCCTTTACATTGTGGGTTAAAATTAATATTTTTCTTTAATGATTCATTTCAGCTCTTACATTACACCAGATCAGTAATTGTTGATTCTTGTAATTTAATCAATCAGTATGAACACAATAATATCACTATATTATTATTAAATGTTAACATTTTTGCCCCACATAACTGTACAACACTTTCACTTCTAAGAGTTAACCTCCAAGTATCCGAGTGAGGGAGTGATTCTCTGAGGTCTTTGGTAACGCCTTTAAACTTGTCAAATTCAGATTTTTCTAAATTTGTCAACAGTTCATAAAAACAGGTATCACTTCCTGATCCCTCAGTTATCCAGCTGTCTCCCAGTTCGGCCAACCAGGTGGGCCAAGCACTTTGGAACCATCCTTTCTGAATAAATATGCCAGCTTCCTGCCGTCACATGGAGGGTATCTCAAACTAGACGGGTCGTGCTCAGAGCTGAACTACAGGTTCCGTGCCCAGAGGTCCCGCCACCGGCAATTTGTCCATACCGACCTCTTGACCCCTGGAACGCACAAGGACCTTCAGCACAAAAGGTTCATAGATTGACACAAATGGCGCTGGATGGTTTTATGAATCTTCTCTAGCTTATCAAACCATACAGCCAAACTGATTTTACAACCCAGACATCACAAGATCTCTGATACTTAACAAGGTTTTGCTACAAACATCTAGCTTACATTCCACCATTTCATTCATGCTTTGTCATGTATAATCACTTAGTTTAGGAAAATATAATTACATTCATTTTTATAACTATATACTTGACTGTCTGAATTACTATGAAGTGTGTGTTCCCTGAATAACCAAAGAACAAATATTCAAAGACCAATCAGATTGATGATTCATATTTATATGGAACATCACATCTTATTGATCATTAAATAAATGTAGCACATTCAAACCACTACACAGATGTTCAGCTCTAGGATACAGCACTCAACAAAGCTCAGCAGCACTTTACACACTGCATCCTATATCCAATATATCGGGACAGGTAGACGGGTGAAAACAGCGTTCTCTACCTTGATATGTCTCTGCTACATCTGTAGCCTTTAATTATCCTTCACCTATAGTTCCATGCAGATGTGGAGGACCATGCCCCCTGCAGTCTGACTAGCCTGGACAGAACATTTGTCAAGACACGTCACGTGACTCTTCTGATGAAGGGAACAGGTGAGGCTGAAAAATGTCATGAAAACTTTGTGTGAAGAAGAGAAAATATCATTACCCATAGATTAGGATAGGTTATTCAGTTGTTTTTACCACTTAGTTTTTGCTGCACATCAAATTAAAAAGTGAAAAGTTATCAGTTATACTGAATCAGTATCTGAGGTTGCAATGTGCATTTTAAAGGTATTCTAAAACATTTCAAATAACAGTGTATATTAAACTCCATTGTACTTCACAAATAAATGTTACTAGATGCATCAACATATGTATTTCAATCAACAGCAGTTGAAAAAAGAAACACTCATCTACTGACAAATACACAAAACCGGTGTTTTCGACGTATACCGAAACACATTAAATTCAAGCTGAAATGAGAAGTCCCTAATTATTGTCTTCCTAACAAAATATGTACAAACATGGCCAGTAACACGCTATTGAAGCTAAAACAAATTTCAAAAGATTAGCAATACACATAGAACAATTACAACTTGAACACGTGTTCCAAAATGGGATTGCATTAACATGACTCCAGAGGGACAACAGACTCGGAAAGGTTGAACAGAGCGCAGCAAATTACTGCAATTTTGTCAACCAATGCAAGTGAGTCAGTTGATTTGACAGCCACGTGCCCGATGGGCATGGTCCTACTCTGCAAAATCTGGTACTTTCTCCTAACTAAACCTATTACTCTTTCTACATGAAAACGAATACCTGCCAGCTTCCTTGTTTGTTCAACCTCATAAGCAGACAGTTGCTTTTTCCCTTCTGTGAAAGCAGGCGTCTTTAAAGAAGCACAGAAAAATTCTACACAGTCTTCAGCAGTGAACCCCCGATCTGCAAGTACAATATCTCCAGGTAGCAGTTTGTTTAAGATACCACACTCCTCTGTTATTTGTTTGTCACTGGTCCTCCCTCCCCACGCACTTGAAATATAAGTAACATAACCCTGAGGAGAAATACCAGTAAGAAATTTTATTGTGTTGTGGCGATTATATTTGGACCAAGTTTGTTCTCTTGCCAAAAAGTTGTAAGGCCTCTCAATAAATACTTCAAAACAGTCCAATATCACTGCAGCTTTGGAACCAAAGGCTTTTCTGAATGACATGGGCATGGTTGACAGCGTTACTTCTCGCTCAGGCCACTCTATGAGGAATTCTAGTCTTTCATGGAGAACAGGAATCATCTTCAGCCAAATTCGAGACACAGTAGATGTTGACACATTAAATCGGTAAGCAAGGTCTTGGAATTGTAGATTTAATCTGAGATGCATCAGTACCATAATGAACTGCTCAAACTTGGAGAGAGCAGATATCGATGACACAGTGATGAACTGTTCACAGAGCTGAAAAATTTGCATCAAAACTAGAAAATTGGGCAATCCAGTGTAGAACTTTGTTTTCTCGTTGTCCTGGAAGGTTTCTTGAGTGAATTTAGTGTTCTGAAGTTTTTCCCTAAGGCCACAGATATCAGACGTGTAGTCTTTCACTGCATCCTCCAGCCTAGTGAGGTCGACCATGGTCAGATCCGTCTGGCACTCATCTGCAAACATCCAATCATTGTGACTATTAATAATGTGGTTTAGGATTTTTTTGTTTTAATAAATAAATAGAGGCTTATTTACCTTCGACAAATTCAACATAAGGGATCGGTGAGCCTCCATCACTGAGAACATCATTGAAGTCAGCTACCTCCTCAGTGCATGGCTGCTTACATGCTTCCGTTTGTGGCCCCTCGTTACACTTTAGGTAACACAGGTTAAGAGTAGGGGCCCAGTCTTCAGACTTAACATCTTTTGCTTTACTAGGCCAACCTAAGAAATGTAAAATAAAGTATAAACACATCATTATGGCACTGCAGCGTGGCACGCACTCTGCTGAGAAGGTCAACTCTCCTCCATACAGGACCTGTACACCCCCAGGACATTGAGGCGTGCAGGTCGAATAACAGCAGATCTATCCCACCCTGGACACAGTCTCATTGACTCGCTCACATCTGGCAGGAGGTTCCGATCCATCCAGACCAGAACCTCTCACCACAACAAGTTTCCTCCCCTCTGCAGTTGGACTCTTAGGACTGCCCAATCAAGTCGCTTGGTTTCAGTTATATGACCCTGTGTTGTGTTTGTACCTGAACTGAGCCGCTCTGATTAGTACCTACACTTGTCACTTTATATTTTATTTTATCATGATTATATTGTTACTTACTGTATTTTTTGAGTCTCTTTTTTTGCACCAAGTACCGCAGCAATTTCCTAATTTTGTGCTTTCTCGCTCACATGGCAATAAAACCTTCTAATTCTGATTCTAAGCTAGTTGCTAACAACATTAGCACTCAAAGCTTTTTGCAGTAGAATTAAGTTAAGAATTATTAAGTTTTTAAGACTTGGTAAATTCTTACCAGTTAGAAAGTTATCGCTGCAAACTCTAGCATTGTCCCTTTTAGTACCTCCTGATGTGAGCCGGAGATTACTGATCCACCTCTTCCGTCTTCTTTGAGTACATTTTTTTAATGAAGCCCTTTGTGGCACACTCCTTTCAAGACACGAAAAAAAAACGTTTGTTTGTCCTGATTAGAACAGTTGAACAAACCATAGATAGCACATGTTTTAGGCATTTTGACACCCAGTCAATAGACAAGAGTGGTTCTGTGCAGCGGCAGATACTTTTTCCAAGTACCTGGCGCAAGTAGCTCCACCACTTGGGCGTGATTTGTAATCGTAGGATGTCCAAGGAAGATCCCGTAAATCTCGCCTCTGATTGGCTGGATGGGCTCGCCTACGATTGGCTATTTTATGTAAAAGGATGCAGCCTTCCCTTGCTGCAGGGTTGTTTACAGCCAGATCTTGATGAGGTTTTTTTTTCTTTTTTAAAGAAAATGTAAACTCATGGTTATAATAACCATTCTGTCCACTTTCTCTACATACCAGTTAAGTTTTTTTTAAATATAAAAACACCTAAAAACGTCAAACGTGACCTTGTAATAAATCTTGTTGCATTTTATCACACTCTCAGCATCTGATTAAATGTGTAACATTAAATAAAGTTTTGATTCAAAGCTGATTTAGACCTATTTTTCAGCAGTTTTCATTATTCTAGAAGAGAAACAGACCTGCTGCACACTGCTGGGCAAAACAGGGCAGTTTTATTATATTTCATACCCAGGTAAGGCACACACGTTTATCCTATTTACTCTGCTTTAATAAGAACCTCAATGCGGTTGAGTCAAGAGATATAAACTAAGTCCAACAGTGTGATAAATGCAACAAGATTTATTATAAATTCACATTTTACATTTTTTAAATAAAACAAATGTAAAAAAATACATATTTTGCAAAACAGGACAGGATGGTTATTATTATAGCGCAAAAATTTTCTTTACAAAACTCCCCAAAACAGCGGTTTTGTTGGTAGTAGGAGGGCCATAGACTGAATGTCTGTGAGGAGGACAGTCTGCACTTAGCAAGGGAAGACGGTTTGCTGCTAAATGAAGCAGCCAGTCGTAGTAGAGCCCTTTTAGCCAATCAGAGGCGAGTAAGGCGGGATCTTCCCTGGACATCTTACGATTCCAAATCACGCTCCAAAATAGAGCGAAAAAAATGAATGCAAGTCAATGGGGCTAAAAACGCTATTTTCTAATTCCGCTTGTTACATGCCATGGATTTCCCAAATGGTGTCTGTGAATTTCAAAGACACATTTTGGTACAGAAAATTTTCTTATTTTCGAATGGGGGAAACGTTATTTTAAGTTTTGTGTGAAAATAAGTCCAAGACTACAAATGCGCTTCATGAAAGTGACGTCATCGAACCAGACACGGAGAAAACAGAGGAAAAAGTGCTGTAAGTTCAGCAAACCTCCCACAGGAGGAAAGAACCACCATAAATCTGGCCATGTGGTAAGTAGCAGCTACTCTAGGGGAGAAGAGATTCTGTGGTGATGTCATATATGCAACGTGCCGATGTCCGATTTGTAGTCATGCTAATTACAGCTCTTGATTTACCAGTCTATCTACTGCCCAGTCCTCACCTATAGTCATGAGCTTTGGGTAATGACCAAAAGAACAAGATGACGGATACAAGTGGCCAAAATGAGTTTTCTCCGCGGGGTGGCTGGGCTCAAACTTAGGGATAGGGTGAGGAGCTCGGACACTCGGGAGTGACTCGGAGTAGAGCCGCTGCTCCTCCATATCGAGAGGAGTCAGTTGAAGTGGTCTGGGCATCTTGTTAGGATACCTCCTGGACGCCTCGCCAGGGAGCCATTTCAAGCAGGTCCTGCCGGCAGGAGGCCCTCTGGTCGACCCAGGACATATTGGAGAAATTACATCTCCGATCTGGTCCAGGAACACCTTGGGGTCCTACTGGAGGAGCTGGTGGAGGTGGCCGGGGAGAGGATGGTCTGGAACTCCCTAGTTGTGATGCTGCCCTCGCGACCCGGATAGGCGGAAGAAGACAAGGCTAATTACAAACTTTTACAAGCTGAAAAATCTCAAAGTACGTGACAGGTGTGGTCGAAACACCCATCATTAGTTTTCATTAAATAGCTCTTTTAGCCCCATTAACTTGCATTCATTTTATCGTTCTTCCGGGGATCCATGAGCCAACCGGAAAGTGAGGAGACTAGGCTCCCGATTGTTGTCTGATTATCCAGGGTTGGGTCGCGGGCACCGTAGCTCAAGCAGAGAGGTTGTTCCTTGGCCAACCAAGAAACAGGGGCCGAGTCCCAATCAGTCTTTGTCAGACACGTGACCTGCCTGTCAACCACAATCCCCTGGCGCCATTTTTAGTGTACTCGGGTTGCTAGGGGAAGCTGCAGCCAAAGTTAAAGCAGCACACAAGAGTCAAAAGGATGAAAATATAGAACAAGGTCAAACGCATCCCTTAAGCTGGGCGGACACTGTGCGACTTTTTCACTCGTAGCACTCAGCTTCAGCTCAAACTGTACGACTTCCTTGCAGGGCAGATCTCACGAGTCATGTGCTCACACTGTACGTTCTCGGATGCGATCTGACTGCTTACACTGTACGTCTGGTAGCAACACGCCAGACCTAAAAAATTTGCTAAAAATAGCAGTTTTTACACAACACATCAGACTTTTTGTCTTGTTTTGCCTGTTGTCCTTCGGGAGTGCTGCAGGAGGACACACAGGGATTTATGGGGGTTGGATGAGGAAAATGAAATAAAGAAAGTAAATCTGTTTTGTGATCAGTTTAATCAGACATGACCACGACAAACATGCTTTCTTGACAATCTTTGTGAGTAAAAAAACGTTTAGAAATAAAAACGAACAACGTGTGTTATTAGGGAAATAGCGGGCAAGCGGTGTTGATGCATGATTGCGCATGCGCCGTGAGCGGTTCTGATACTTTTTGGGTCGCAGCTGCTCGCAGCGCCGCTTCAACAGTGCGATACTCCCACGAGGGACGAGCAAAATATCAAACACGCCAGAAGTCCGTGCGAGCTCACGATTGCTGATTGGTAGCTGGTCATGTGGTGTTAATCGCCTCTCGTAACCCCCTGTATACTACACGACGCTCAGCGCAAAACTCGCCCCGATCTTGTGGATTCTCGCACGAGTGGAAAATCGGCTCAAAAAAGTGAAAAAGTCTCACAGTGTATGCCCGGCTTTACAGGAATAACCTTGTGAAGGAAACTAAGGATCTGTATTTTCAGAAATTGTCTATACAGGTGCTGGCCAGTAAATTAGAATATCATCAAAAGGTTGAAAATATTTCAGTAATTCCATTCAAAACGTGAAACTTGTACATTATATTCATGCAATGCACACAGACCAATGTATTTCCAATGTTCATTACATTCAAATTTGATATTCATAAGTGACAACTAATGAAAACTCCAAATTTGGTATCTCAAAAAATTAGAATATTCTGAAAAGGCTGAATATAGAAGACACCTGCTGCCACTCTAATCAGCTGATTTACTCAAAACACCTGCAAAGGCCTTTAAAAGGTCCCTCAGTCTTGTTTTGAAGGCACCACAATCATGGGGAAGACTTCTGACTTAAAAGCTGTCCAAAAGACAATCATTGACACCTTGCACAAGGAGGGCAAGACACAAAAGGTGATTGCTAAAGAAGCTGGCTGTTCGCAGAGCTCTGTGTCCAAGCACATTAACAGACAGGCGAAGGGACGGAAAAAATGTGGTAGAAAAAAGTGTACAAGCTCTAGGGATAACCGCACCCTGCAGAGAATTGTGACGACAAACCCATTCAAAAATGTGGGGGAGATCCACAAAGAGTGGACTGCAGCTGGAGTCAGCGCTTCAAGAACCACCACGAGGAGACTCATGAAAGACATGGGATTCAGGTGTCGCATTCCGTGTGTCAAGCCACTCTTGAACAAGAAACAGCGCAAGAAGCGTCTCGCCTGGGCCAAGGACAAAAAGGACTGGACTGATGCTGAGTGGTCCAAAGTTATGTTTTCTGATGAAAGCAAGTTCTGCATTTCCTTTGGAAATCAAGGACCCAGAGTCTGGAGGAAGAGCGGAGAAGCACAGAATCCACGTTGCATGAGGTCCAGTGTAAAGTTTCCACCGTCAGTGATGGTGTGGGGTGCCATGTCATCTGCCGGTGTTGGCCCACTCTGTTTCCTGAGGTCCAGGGTCAATGCAGCCGTCTACCAGGAAGTTTTAGAGCACTTCATGCTTCCTGCTGCTGACCAACTTTATGGGGATGCAGACTTCACCTTTCAACAGGACCTGGCACCTGCACACAGTGCCAAAACCACCAGCACCTGGTTCAAGGACCATGGTATCCCTGTCCTTGATTGGCCAGCAAACTCGCCTGACCTTAACCCCATAGAAAATCTATGGGGTATTGTGAAGCGGAGGATGCAATACGCTAGACCCAACAATGCAGAGGAGCTGAAGACGACTATCAGAGCAACCTGGGCTCTCATAACACCTGAGCAGTGCCACAGACTGATCGAGTCCATGCCACGCCGCATTACTGCAGTTATTGAGGCAAAAGGAGCCCCGACTAAGTATTGAGTGCTATACATGCACATTCTTTTCATGTTCATTCTTTTCAGTTGGCCAACATTAGAGAAACAAACATTTTTTCATTGGCCTTTAGAATATTCTAATTTTCTGAGATACCAGATTTGATGTTTTCATTGGTTGTCACCTATAAATATCAAAATTAAATGTAATAAACATCGGAAATACATTGGTCTGTGTGCATTGCATGAATATAATGTACAAGTTTCACGTTTTGAATGGAATTACTGAAATATTTTCAACCTTTTGATGATATTCTAATTTACTGGCCAGCACCTGTAAATCGTCAATGTAGATCCCTACGACCTCAAAGGAAACAAATGGAGCTCAGTCATTTCATTACTGCCTCAAACTACCGCATTGGTTCTTACAAACTAGTGTTTGGGATCGGTGTGTAAACACATCAACAGTTTAAAACTTACAAATCACTGGATGCATATGAACATTTCACACATGGCTGGGTAAGATCTGCTAACATTTTAAACGCAAGACTGAAATAACATGGTCGTCTCTGCCAAGGTAAGCTTTTTCAGTGATCCCCTTTCACTCGAGAAAAGAGGTGGACAGAGGACCCAAAAATTGTACTAGAGAGTAACACTACTTTTTTTTTTCATTTTTACTCAAATGAAAGTAAAAAAGAAGCCAAAAATTACTCTAGCAAGAGTAAAAAGGTATTTGTTAAAAAGGCTACTTGGGTGCTGAGTAACATCTTATTTTTAGAATTACATCATCAGACATAAAATAAACATAAGGTTATGGGCAACCTTCTATTTTTGACACTAAATTGAAAAATATATTGATACAAATAAATAACAAAATTACATATTAAATTGTAAGCATAAAAAAGACTAACTAGTTTTTTGCAATTAAATACCAATACTTAGAATTTATAATGATAAATATGTCGTGAAACAAGGTTAATAGTATTTCCGTGACAGTTTATGGTGTTTACTGTATAATCACTTGATCTCAAAACGCAACAAGCAGAACAGACAGAATACTACATCAAAAAAGCTTGTGTAAAAACAGGTGGAGTCCCTTAATAAGCCGTAGGTGTGTGTCTGTATCCGGTGTATTTTTTGTTTAAAATATGTTTGCTCATCATTCAGTGAATTTACTCAAGAGTGGGTAGAGCTTCCAGAGATTTTACTGAAGTAAGAGTAGCAATAATTCACAATAATATTATTCAAGTAAAAATAAATAACGCATAGCAAAACTACTATTGAAAGTAGCGTGTGATGCCTGACCCTCAACTGCACGTTCACCTTCACCAATATAGAGTGGCCTCCTCATTCTGTTTCTGACTACTTTTTTTCACCTGACGTCTCTTGCCGCAGCTGCAATCGTGCCATTCGCCGTGCTGCCCGTGAAGTGTCTGTTGGCCTCACCGAATTGTGCCCCATATGAAGGGATGGTGCCCAGTCAGGGTCGGTCTCCATCATTTCATATGCTGGTTGACCTGGAATCAAATGTGGTTTGTTAATGTTGGATGCAACCATTTTTTTTATTCTAACTACTGGATCAGACATGCTACTGGTTAACCATTCAAGCATCACTCTTAAATCATATGAGGAAAGCTCACACTTTGGCAAATGTGTTATTACACAATTATGTGTTATTATTACTGTTACATTGTACCAGGGGTGGGTAGAGTGCCCAAATATATCACTTGAGTAAGTGTAGCATTAATTCAACATATTTATAATCAAGTAAAAAGTAGCAGCCCAAAAACATTACTCCACTAACAGTAAAAGATATTTAGTAAAACACTGCTTGAGCACTGAGCACTCAATCTTCAAATTATGTCATCTTTCAGACAAAAACATATAAAGTTGTTGACAAGTTATGATATTTTAAAGACTAAAAAGAAAGAAACTATACAAATTAATAGCACAACAATACGTTTTAAGCAGATGAAAGCCGTTTCTGAGTAAATTGCTACCCACATCTGCAATCAACTGCCCTCCATTTACGCAGAAGTTTGGGACTTTATATGGCCCCAAAACATGAGGCTGAAGTCAGCTTCCGATTAGGGAATTGCCTAAAGGGCAATCACACCCATTTTTTTTAATACTCTGACCATCTTTAATCTGCTCTAGCTCGAAAACTACAACACCTACACTCTTCAAACATGTACTGGTTTATTCTAGACTACTAGCAGATTACATAAAACATAGTTTGTGATTTGTGAAACCTTTTTCTGATTTGTGAAACTTCAAGGAAGCCAGATTTATGATTTTTTTTTTAGCAAATACACTACATTGGAACTGGTCCTGTGCAAAAACGACATCACCCACACTCTTCAAACATGTACTGGATTATTATAGGCTAATAGCAGATTACATAAATATAATTAAAATAGTCCATTATTGATCAAAATGCGAATTAGAAGATTGGATGAGCAAAACTTTGAAGTTTGACAGTGAAGTTCCATTGTGAATGTCTATTACTGAGTTTGATTTATTAATTTTACATGAAATTTGGAAAGGAACAGAGAAAGGTTAAAACAAAAAAAAGTATGTCAATTTGTAGCACATGATATCTGATCAGTTTAATCCTGAGCTTAATGGAGTGTTTGTAAACAGTTAGGCTCTTGGTTATGGTAATTTTTCATTCTTAGAATTTTATTATTGGATCAAGAAAATGAAACACGAGGTCGCATTAACAATTTGGATTTTAATATTTAATTTCTGCGATGTCTTGCGACTATCAGATTATATGAATTTTGAGTGAGCTGCTGAATCCTTCTGAACGAAGTGCCCCTAGTGCACAAGCGATAACAAATCTAAGTAAATCTCTACATGAGCTCTATAAGCTCTCTTGTCCTGAAAAGTGCTTTACATTTGAACCTGGTCTGTGAAACAAGGTACCATTAAAAGGTATCAAACGACTTAGTAGTGCAGAATAATCTAGTACAGATTTGAACGGTCTAGATGTTGTAGTTTTGAAATTACAGCTGTTTTAGTGTGGTCTAGATGCAGAGGAAATGCTAACATCTGGCTTTATTGATTTTTCACAAATCCCAATGGTGGTTTTAACTGTTCTGCTAGTAGTGCAGAATAATCTAGTCCAGGTTTGGAGTGTGGGTGTTGTAGGTATTTTGGCTAAACAAGTTCTAGATTCTTAAAAAATGTATAAATCTGTCTTTCTTGAAGTTTCACAAATCACAAACTAAGTTTTATGTAATCTGCTATTAGTATGGAATAATCCAGTACAGGTCTGAATAGTGTATGTGTTGTAGTTTTCGAGTTAGGGCAGATTAAAGATGGTCAAAGTAGAGAACATTTGGGTGTAATTGCCCTTTAACCATTTCCGAATCGGAAGCTGACTTCAGCCTCATCCCCAAAGCAGAATCTGAGTTCGCTTACACAAAACAACTGTTTTACTTGCCTTTGTGAAAATGCAGCGAGCAAACACGCATGTGGGAAGGTGCGGTTTTGAAAGTTATGTCCTTCCTTCCGACAGCTGCGACCCACGCCATTCGACGTCTCTTTGTTAGTTCTCCTATTTTATTTCCAAAACTTCTTTTCCAAGAAGGAAACTTAAAAAATCTAATGCTATTATCAAGTTTTTGTCTCTTGTAATTGTGTGACCTGGCACGGCAGCCATTCACACAACACGAGTGTACCATTTTCTACAGATTTTTAAGCTCACAGCCACACACACAAAGCGACTGATTGTTCCGTTGAACACACTCGTTTATCCCGTCATGCCCATAGACTGTACATATACTGGACAATTCGATTCCATAGACTTCAATAACACGTTATCTGTCCATAATGGGAGGTGTCCACCACCGCCATTTTGACCGTGTCACAGGTTCCGTCCAGCCCAGACAATTCCATAAAAGGGAAGAGAGGAGGCGCTAAGGGTGTGGCTGTAAGGCTGGGCTCGAGTGACGACACCCAGGCGAACTAGCTACGAGCTAACCTGAAGCTAACCCAAAGCTAAAGCGGAGGTGGGAGCCGAGCTAACGGATGTAGCCACCTAGCTTCAACCCAACCGGAGCTAACTGGAACACCCATCGACCTGAACCTTACACGGAGTTTAGGTGGAGGTTTTCTGCGCCTGTTCGTGAGAAGTACCAGTATTAAAAAAGTTTTAAATCGGTAAGTTTATAATTTATTTCCGTAATGAAAACATTTTGCTTTGAGCAAGTTTTCAGTAGTTTTTTTTGGCGCTATCACTCCTGAGTCGCACCAGCCATTAAATGTATCATGAAGAAGAGAAAATATATTTAAGTCGTATTTTGGGGGGACATTTTATTATCTTTCTTACAAAATCTGAGACCAAGCGTTTCACATTGCAACACAAGCACCGGTAACCATAACAGAATTTACAGCCAGCAGAGGAGAGGATGGCGGTGTTTCAAACCCTCCCGGCCGGCGTGTAGAGCTCATTCCTGGGCTGGAGCCGGCCCTCAGCACCCCGCCACAGGCTCTAACAGATGCTGGCGGTGTTTCATATATTTCCAAAACGTAATACTTGTTTGTATCTTGTACAGCCAACTAGCCTTTATTCTGGACTCAGTACAATTTACCAAAAGTAAAGAGACATTATACAGATGAAGTAAGCACAAGATAACTTACTGGAAGACACAGAGTTATCATCAGAACCAGAACAAGAGAGCCTGATAACAGTCATGTGAAAATAACAGTTAAAAAGTATGTATGTATAATAGAAATAAAAATATATTAGAATTAGTGTAACTCACTGTGATCCAAACAAATCAGCCATAGCTGATGAGTAAATATGACATGAGGTCTGGGAGTTTTTAAGTTTCATTCTTTTATTACATTTTTTTCTTAGATCTATTAAAAGGTCACCATGGCAGCCTGTGTGTCTCCAACGTCAGCTACACAACGCAGCGTGTAAGTTCCAAGTACTTGTCTTGACCACTTCATGAATGGTTTTGTACTTTAAACAGCTAGGCCAAACCTGTTATTTTTTCCTCCATAGCCATTTGGATCATTGAAGACAGCTGAGTGAGGCGTGGTGCCCAGAGAGCTGCAGAGACAACCTTGGCCTCCCTGACGTCTGTGTCTCTTGGTTTGGTTGGGGCGGACCATCGACTTACATACATGTGCCGACACTTTGCGCCCTGTTTTATAAAATGTAGTGTTAAAAATAAATGTTTTTGCTCAATTACTGGAATTTCTTTGGTTAAGACAAAAGTGAGGAATAATCATTTACAAGTTATTTGTACAACAGGCCCATTTTAAATCCCAACAGTTTCTTAGCAGACAATAGAAATGTGTTCTTTACTAACTTTACTTGGTTTGAAAATCTTACTAAAATAAACTTGAGTGCCGTATTGCAAAACCCAATCATACTTGTTATGTAAACATTAGCTTTGTAGATATTTTTTTACAGATATATATTTGTGTGCAACAAAAACCAAACTTAAATAATTTGTCATTCTTTATTGAAAAACAACAAAATACAGGTATACAGAAGTGTGGGAAAATGATAATGTGAAAGTATTGCACTATAAATGAAGTGAGATGAGATGAAGGTGAGATGAAGGTGGACGCCAGCGGGCTGGACGCCGGACGAAGAAACCTGGAGACGGATCGCTCAGACAGGAAGGGAAGAGCTTCCTCTTACCTTGATGGAATTAAAGTTAGCCGTCGTCTGAACGCCCAACCGTACGGTCTGAGGTCAAAGGTCACAGGAAACACACAACAGTCAGCAGTCATACAGATGCATAAAGATAACTAGCCATGGCAACCAGCTGACATGTCCCCACTTTCACCAAAACCTGGTGCCTGCCGGGTCACCTGAATTCCTGTGTGATGTCAGCACGGTCGGCCGTGACTGCTGCCATCAGAGGTGACCTCTGATCAGCTGAATGAACTCACCTTCCAGGGTGACGCCGTGTTAGAGTCGGCTTCATCCTGTAAACAAACAAATGAGTGGTAACATAAACACCACGTCTGGTTCTGGTGGAGGCGGAGGACAACACGCACCTTTCCAGGAGCAGAACCCAGATGTTCTTGTTGCTACAAACAGAGACGAGCAGAGTTAAACCAGGAAGTGAGAGGGACCAGCTGCTGCAGACAGGTGACGCTCACCTGAGCCTGAACCATAGGAGCCTCCTCAGCCATCAGACCTTCTGACTCCAGTTCAGATGCCACCTTGTTGATGTCCCTCAGGCGGGACTCGTTGGCCTTCAGGTCCTGCAGGACAAAAGCACCTGCTGATCACCTTGTTGCTGTCGGGTTAACAGGTCTGGTGTTAGAACGTGGTGGATAAGAATGTTCTGACGGGCCGAGGGTTCTGAACTCACCCTGCAGGACTGGGCCTGCTCCTTCAGGGCCTGGATGCTGCTGCCGTAAGCCGACAGGTCCGACATCAGGGCCTCGTGCTTCTTCAGGAGAGCCTGTGGAGCAGAACATCAGAACCTTCAGCTCGTCTGACACAAGTGGAGCTTTCTCGCAGCGATGGTCCAATCGGATCCGCCACCGTAAAACAAACCCTGCTCAGTTCACCGCAGACGTAGCTCTGCGGGTGTTTAGTGGAAAAGCGTGAGCCTTCTGCCGGCTGCCACGTGTCATGGCTGCTCTGCAGCGGGAACACACATCACAGCTTGTAAACCGTTTGAAATAAGAGCGACGGGAACACGTTTGTCATCACTTCCTGTGCGAGGCCAGCACTTCTACCCCTAACCCATGAGACGCTCAAACGAGCAACGACGTCTGGTAGACAACCGAAGGAAATGACAAATACAGAAACACTAATTATGAAGGACTGGAAAGAGAGCAAAGAAAAGCGATTGGAGTTTCTCAGGAAGGGACTTCCATACCTCGGCCAAGTCCTCGTCTTTCCCTTAGTCTGGACTTCCAACGATGGGCTCCTTCTCCCTCATCCAGGACTCGGCCTCATTAGCATCCGCAAAGTACTGCTGGGCCTGCAGAGAGTCCTCCAGGTCCTGCCTCCTCTGGGACGCCTTGGCCTTCAGCGTGTCCCAACGTCCATGAAGCTCCCACAGTTTAGTCTTCACTTCCTCACCAGCGAAGTGACCTGGACCCAAAAAAAGTGAGCCAGAACCTGCAGACACCTCAGAAACATGTCAGGACCAGACCTGCTCTACCTTCTTCCACCATGGTCTCTCCTTTCTGGGTGACAGCCTTGATGCGAGGTTCATGACCTGTGATCTCAGCCTGCAGAGCCTGGTGCTTCTTCAGCAGGTTCTGGACACCAATCAGGTCCTTCCCTTAGGACACATGTTAGAGTTCAGCATTATGCAGTAGACAGACCAGTTTAACCCAGGGGTTTCTTTCTTCTACAATCTGCTCTTTAACTGTATTATTTCCTGCTATTTCAGCTGTTAACTTTATTTTCTCTCTAAGTGTTTTTCTCCCCAGAAGAAGCTACAACGATGTTCTGTTGAGCTGTGGTGGCCTCATGGAGGGGGCCATCGGCTAGCACACTGCTGCTAACCACTTAAACATTCTCCCTCTCCTGATAGTAACATTTTACTTTCTTTGATGTTGGATGTGCTAATACTAGTTTACCCGTTTAATTATAGATTCACTAGGATAAATACAATAAAGTTTATCTCTTGCCAAATAGAATATTTACTGTGGCGAGCCCGTGAAGAGGTGTAGGAGAATGCAACAAATTTGTCTGTTAAAAAGTCTGTTATGTACAAAAAACACAATATCATCACACTATTTTGGACCGATACATGACGGTCAGGTCCAGCTTGGGGAGAAAATATGACACGTCTTTCAGGATGGACTTCATCTTTGGTAGCTGGCGAAGCCGGGAAAAGCAGGATCTAACCACCTGGCTAATGTGGGAGTCCATCCGCATCTCTGGGTCCAAAACCACCCCCCGGTTAGTGATGGTTGGCTTCACTAAGCTGCAAAAACAGGGTTGCAGGACAGGACTAACTGCAGTGGGAGAGGGAGGAACAAATATTCCAGTTATAAATATTAAATATTTGAACAAATAAATATTTGTTAAAAGGAAGAAACTGATGATGACTTTAAGATTAGAGGAATGTTCTAGAACGGGTCTGGAACCAACGATGGCCCTTTGGATCAAATTTGGATTAAAAAAATAGCTCATGATTTTATTTATGGATGGAATAAAAATACAGGTTGTAAGCATCTTCTCAGTATCTTCATGTTGCACGACTTTCCACAGCAGAAGGACACAAAAACTGCCAGAATTATGATTAGAAAGATTTACGTTTTAATCTCAGAATCCCAACTTTTCCCAGAATCTTCACATTATTCTATGAATTCAGAGAAAATATACATTTTTCAGAGGTCTCGCTCCCCTGTTGTGGATATTTCTCAAAATTCAACCATTTTTTCTTTTCAAAAGCTTTAGTAAGAGTTTGGACTCTAAACAAGTTTTACTTTGCAGACTGCTTGTCTAAACCTTCATCAGATCTGCTCATAATAAAACATTTGGGTTATATTTAATGCCCAGGAAGATGCTCTTCCTGGGCATTAAGTTATCAAAAACAGATAAAATTATTTTTTACCATAATTTTAACTGCTATCAGCTGATAAAAATAATAAAAAACAGCCTGATCATTAAAGGGGTGTAAGTGAAACCGCACGGATCACACAAACCATCATGCTGTCTATATGACTTTGAAAATATATAGTTTAATTACAGTTTGATTTATTTGACATCTGTATAATGTTTATTATTTTGTTTTTTCCCCCTAAATGCCTAACGTTTCAGTTTAACATGAATATTAGTCATTCATCACAATACATAAAGTTACACATTTTAAATTTTAATAGGGGAAGACTGCAGGAGGGAGCGGTAAAATACAGAAATCCCCAGCAAAAACAAGAAACTTTACGAGTCTGATGAAACCCGCTGGAGTTCCTTCAGCAGGCCTGGTGGCAGCTACAACGGCCCAGTGGCTGTGCTTGGTCAATGTTATCGAGCTCAGTCCGGCTCGGCCGTGAACGAGCCGAGGCGACATCCTGCTCTGCTTAAGAAGAGGTGTTATTTTCCGCTTCAGAAGAAGCGTCCGTGTTTTACGCTTTCTCAGAGACATGTCACGTTGCTAAGTTGTTAGCGCCGCGCGCTAACACGTCAATAGTGCAGCATAGCCTGCTGGAGGGTTCAGATGAAAACACCCTACCACTCAGGCTGCTTACACATCGATATTAAGTTGTCGCTGTTGCGCTCACGCCGTAATACAGTATTAGATGCGGTTAAAGTCAGACATGAAAAACTCCACGAGCGGTCAGACCGCGCAGCAGCTAGGCGCAGCAAGTAGGCGCCGGATCGGTCAGGCTGCCCGGCCTGAACGCTGGGGATTACCGGATGGAAGAATGGACACAGAAGTCTCCCTCTTAGCGCTCCGTCATATTTCAACCCATTTTTATCTTAAATGCACTGGGTTTTACCCTATTACCCATCTAAATATGCCCTATTAATTATTTTACCGTATTTTACATTTAAATTTCATGGTTAAACAGTACATGCTACATGTTAAACTGATAGTTAGCTAGCTACTTCGGTAAACTCAGCTAGTTTAAAGGTAGCAGTGACATAAAATACGAATATAGATTTTAACTTACCGAAAAAAAATGAAGTGGAGACTCCTTGGACGCTCTATTAGTGCAATTAATACCACTGCAAGTCATTTTGTCCAACAATTGCACCAATAATATCCAAAGAAGAATACACAAACACAGAGACTCAAAATGCCGGAGCAGTTTCCAAGCCAGACCGAGGCTGTACTGAGGCCTTTCCACGGAGCTAGCTCTGTGGTCACGTGGGTCTGAGGCGGCGGTCACGTGTGTCGGATGCTCATTAATTATACAGAATTTTAGGCTTTCAATACACTTAAACAGAAGAGTGAGAAAAAAATTCACCCCCCTCAGAGTTGTCATGAGTATAAACTAGATAATTTAGACAAAAAACATGTTTTGGCACCAGGCTGTAAACATGTTTATTTCTGCTGTGAAATCGGCATTTTTAACATGGGAGTCAATGAGGATTTGCTCGCTTCTGGCACCAGCCCCCAGCGGATGAGGGTGGAACTGCAATTTTTCTTACTTCCGGGATGGGACCATTTTCTGAGCGGCATTGTGGGGGCTTGGTCATGCCACGCGTCTTCTTCTTCGTCTTCTTCTTCTTCTTCTTCTTCTTCTGTTGTTTAATGGCGGGTGGCATCTAGCTTGTAGTTGCATTTCCGCCTGCTACTGTGCTGGAGTGTGGGTCGAGGGGGAGAGAGAATAAAAAAGGGAAAACTAAACTCTATTACAGCTGTGTTTTAGGAATTATATCACTAATTTACATTTATTTTCTTCTCCAATTAGTAGATTCTTCATACTCAGAGATCCACATTTGTTACTTTTTTAATTAGTCTCTGATTTTGTTTCGGTTACTACAATAGCAAATGGCATGTTAAACTGTTTCCATTCGCGTTCCACAATGGTCTGGTTTCCCATACATATGGGAAAAATAGAATGCAGTATAGGGTTTAATAACTATATTCTTTTTACAACACTTTTTCCAGTACATGTAGTGTATTGCATCCATTTCTTCACTTGGGCTCTATTCACATAATTGCTACACATAGTACATGCAGGTACTCATACTGACAGGTTTCTTTTTCTTTATTGATTTACATTAGACACCATTTTGTTGTGTCTACACTGAAGTGCCCTGTGTTGTGCTCTTTCTCCTCTGCTGAGTTTCGCTGATGACCCTCGATTCCTGGGGGTGGACCTATGATTAGTCATCGGATACTACTCCCCCTGACTGGTATTCCGGCTCGTGGGACCTGGACGTCCGTGATTCCGGCTATTGCTGCTGGGATACTTCGCTCGCTGGGACCTGACCTGTTTGCTGCTCGTCTTCCTCCTACTTGGGATTACGTTAAGTGCAGTTACAATGATCAAAGATACTGCTTCAAATTATTCCCTCCACGTGGATATATTAAGGATTTGCTGACTTATGATTAAACACCTTCAAAGGATTTACCCCTCCAAAGGAAATTAGCCCCTTTTGGCCTCTGCCGGGGAAATTACATCAAGCATACTCGACGTAGACCCTCCAGGCCTCTGTGTTCAACGTCAGGTGGTCTCTGACGGACCACCGTGCCCTTGAAAAGGGGGGATATGTAGCGTGATGAATTGTCCATTTCTGACCTAAAAGGCCCTGCTCTGTTTTGCTCTGCTCAAAGCAAAACCAGAAGTTTCTGACAAGAACTAATCTGCATGAGATATTGCTCAAGGTCTCATGCTTTGCTTCTAAACTGTTTCTTATTTTCCAGCTCAAGAATAATATGTACACTTTCTTTTTAATAAATCAGAAGAACTCTATTTTTAATAAGCTAATCAAACAAAGTGTTAGTCCAATAATAAAATGTGAACCAATTTGTTAAATGAATGTCATGTTGTGGTGTGGAAATCTAAGTCTGGAGAGGAGGGAACTAACTCGAGGGAGGAGTGGTCCGATCTGAGCTGAGAGGATTTTCCTGGGACTGAGATCCAAAAGGTGAGATGTGGAGGGAGCTGAGTTTGTGGAGGTCCAGGAAGCTTAGGTGGGCAGCTGGAGGTGGTTCTGGCCAGGGAGCGGCTGAGAGACAAGCAGGTTGGAGATCCAGATGATAGGAGTTCCAGAGTTCAGTCAGTCAGAGATGAAGGTGGAGGTTTTATCTGGTGAACAAGAGCAGGAAGGGTAAATGCAAAAATCCAAAAACACATCTAAAATCTCAAAAGGTCCAAAGAGCTCAAATATAATACTAAGAGGTGGCTTAGAAGGTACCCAGGTAGAGTAATCATCCAGCAAAGTGTAGAAGTCTCTCAGCTGCTTAAATACACCTGGCCGGCTGATGAGCAGATCTGCTGCAGCTTGGTTAACCTCCAGACACGCCCACCTGCAGAGGGAAAACTCAAGAGACAGGGAGTGACAGCAGGAATACACCTCAGACTGTGACAATGACAATGTTATGATCAGTAGTTTTCAATGAGTAATATAACTTTAAACTAGCTGCACTAGACCTTCTCATCCATGTAATGCTTAAAGTCACATGACACATTTCCTTTTTCTGATCCAATCAGAACCTTCCAGATCTGACACGAGGCGTGGTTTTGTTGGTGCTTGGTACAGCCCCTCTGGTTGTCCTTTTTTGATTTGACCGTAAGTCAAAACATCCATATCATAAAACTATGCCCACGTCATCTTAACATCAGTTCAAAGTGTTCTAGAGAAGTTGTTGAAGTGGCCAATCCGTAGCTTTCCTCTTAAAGCCGAAAGAACCTAACGACAAGATGGATTAAATCTGTTACATGTTCCACCTGCTGCAACGGTTCCTTTCAGAATAAAAGCTGAACCATCACAACCCCTTTTGAGGGTCCTTCTAGATGCCAATAAAACTGTTGTGACCTGGAAGTATCTCAAGACTGGTCTGGTCGGCAACCGTTGCTTTTCTACCGGCTTCGGTTCCAGAGGAAGTCAAGCTGGACCTCGACATTCCTGATCTAACGGGGTCTTCCGCCAAGGGTACTTAGACCAACAGAATGGCATCTCGATGTGTGTTATAAATCTCCAAACCAAAGCTTAGAGCGAAACATCATCTTCACTCCCATCAGAACTAATCGTTTCTCCGGATTTGCTGGTTCTGAACACCTTTCACACACACACACCATCCTCAGTCTTACTCCACCTTAGTTCATCATGACATAGTGTTAGTCTTGTTTAATTTGTTTAGTAATAAATCTTGAAACTTTTAAGCCCGACTCACTGTCTTTTCTTGAAGTTGATATGAAGTGTTGCTCAATCCCTGCAATAAAAAGATCAGATCTTCTGGTTAAATTTATTAAAAGAGCCATTAAGGTGATATTTCATACTTTGTGATATTTCACATTTTATGGTTTCTAATTAAATGTAATGACATATTCACTACAGTGGTAAGTAGCAGCCGTGATAGGGAAAGGAGATTCTGTGGTGACTTCATATAACATGCCGATGTCTGATTTGTAGTCATGCTAATTACGAACATTTACAAGCTGATCAATCTCAAAGTACATGACTGGTGTGGTAAAAGCACATTAGTTTTAATTTAAATTGCAGTACAACATATGTGCGATGCAGGGCTTAAGGCAAAGCAGATTAGAAAATAGCTTTCAGCCCTGTTGACTTGTATTCATGTTTTCATTCTTCCAACTGGAAAGGGAGGAGACTCCTCTTTCAAGTTTTTTTTAAAAAGCCATCCTCCCCACAGACATCTATATTGATCTTCCCTCACTGCAGGTTTTTTCTTTTTAGGTCTGCAGCCAGATCTTAAGTTTTTTGAAGAAAATGTGAACTTAGTGCCATAAAAACCAGTCGGGGCTGTTTTGCAACATATCAGTTTCAGTTTCTTTGACAAAAGCTGGACAAAATAGGGCACTTTCATTCTACTTCATACACATTTAATGCATATATGTTTATCCTATGTACTCTGCTTTAATAAGATCATATTGATGCTTGAGAGCCAACAGATATAAAGTAAATCCAACAGTGTGATAAATGTAACAAGATTTATTATAAGTTCACAATTTACTTTTTTTTCACAGAACAAAATCTGTTTCACAAAACAAGACAGAATAGTGCTTTGCATTTTCTTTGCAAAACTACTCAAAACACCAGTTCTGTTGGTGGGAGGATCTGCACTTAGCAAAGGAAGATGGTTTGATGCTAAATGCCTTTTAGCCAATCAGAGGCAAGAAAAGCAGGATCTTCCTTGGACATCCTACAGTTCCAAGCCAGAAGGAGGACAGATACAATAAAAGTGTCTGGATGCAATATCAGAGATTGCTCACATGTGCTTTTATTTACCATAAGGGAGACACCGCGGACTCCTCCGCGCATCAGAACCTTCTAGAAGTTCCAAAGCCCAGTTTTGAAAGTCGAGGTGATCGCTCCATCCAGACTGTTGCACCCTGACTTTGGAATGAACTTCCTTTATCCTTACGTAGCATTGACAGTCTGGACACTTTAAAAAAAACAGCTAAATACCCTTGTATTTAAAGCTGCTTTACCTAAATCTTTTATTTTCTTATATTTAACTCACATTTGTAATCATCTTTCATCTGTTTATGAAATTTTATAATTTTATGACTTAATTTTTTCTGATGCTAATTCTCTTTTGAGATCCTTATGATTTTATGACCTGCGATGGACTGGCTCTCTGTCCAGGGTGTACCCCGCCTGATTGCCCATTGACCGCTGGAGATAGGCACCAGCGCCAACCCACCCGCCCACCCCCCCACGACCCTACGTGGACAAAGCGGGTTCGGACAATGAATGGATGGATGGATGATTTTATTACTTTGTTTCTATTTTGTTATGATCTCTGTGAAGCACTTTATGATTCTATGTGATAAGTGCTATATAAATAAAAATTACATACTTACTTACTTACCAACTATCTTTTGCCCTGCTCACGTGCTCAGAGATACACGTTACCGAGAAGTGCGTGTGAACAATCTCTAACAGTGCAGGACCCAGACCTGACGTCATCCAGCCCGGACTGGCTGATGTGGAAGTGGCATGAGTGTACGTCACAGAAGGGAGTAGGGTGTGGTATTGGACCTAGTCCCTCCAGCATGTCCTGGGTCTTCCCTTGGGTCTCTTCCTGGTTTAACGTGCCAGGAAAACCTCAACAGGGAAGGCACCCAGGAGGCATCCTACAGATGCTCTCGATGTGGTGGAACAGCAGGTCTACTCCGAGCCCCTCCCTGAGCTTCTCACCCTATCTCCAAGGGAGAGCCCAGACACCCTGTGGAGAAAACTCATTTTGGTCGCTTGTATCCACGTTCTCGTTCTTTTTGTCACTACCCCAAAGCTTGTGACCATGGGTGAGGGTTGGGACATACCTCAACCAGTAAATTGACAGCTTGCCTTTGATTCAGCTCACTCTTCACCACGACAGACTGGTACAACGCTCACATCACTGCAGATGCAGCACCAATCCGCCTGTTGATCTCACACTCCATTTTTCCTTCACTCGTGAACAAGACCCAGAGATACTTAAACTCCTCCACTTGGCACAGGACCTCATTCCTGACGTGGAGAAGGCATTCTAGTCCAGCGTTCCATGGCTAGGACCTAGACAGCAGTTGACTCCTGACAGTCTGGACACTTTAAAAAAAAAACAGCTAAAGACCCTTGTATTTAAAGCTGCTTTTACCTAAATCTTTTATTTTCTTATATTTAACTCAAATTTGTATGCAACATTTCTGAATCTGAAGTTAAGTCAAAGGCAGCGAAGCGTCTGTGCAGCGCAAAAGCCCGGGTGGACAGTTTGTTTAATATAAAGCGGGAGATTACAGATACAGTATTTTGCTCGTGCCCTTGCTACCCCTGACCTGCCAACCTTGTCAACATTTTTTGAGTACCACTTGTGCGGCGTTTTTTTTTTTGCGGACTTTAGCAACTCCATTGCTTTTCACGCTGTAATCTCCCCATATACTGCATGGACATTTTTTTACACACACACACACACACACACACACACACACACACACACACACGCACATGCACACACACACACACACACACACACACACACACACACACGCACGCACGCACGCACGCACGCACGCACACACACACACACACACACACACACACACACACACACACACACACACACACACACACACACACACAGTTTACCTTACCAGAACAGCAGCCAGTGGCGAACTGGAGGGAGAGAGGAGCAGCGGACAGGACGAAGCAGGGAGGAGGGGGGCAGGGGTGTTACGCTATTGGGCAGGATAGTTTTTCTACGATGACTGGCTTAAACTTCTTCACCACGCCGCTGAGTCATGTTGTCAGACATGAGTACCTCACGTGCATATTTGCCGCAGAACTCAACTCACGTATCTGCAGCTCTTTGCGTAGTTTAGAGGGGTGAGTCGTACCAGCATAAATAGATGCCAAATTGTGAACTGGCTACGCAAGATGCATACAGGTTGGCAGGTCTGCTGCCCTGGGCCTGGGCCCTTTAGAGTTTGTGGACCCCAGGGCAATTGCCCAGTTGCCCATGCCGTTACTCCGGCCTTGCCCACAGTCCAAACATATGACAGTCAGGTCAATTGGTCTATATAAATTGTACGTATGTGTAAGTGTGTGCATGCTTGGTTGTTTTTCCTGTGTGTCTCTGTGTCGCTCTGTGATGGACTGGCAATTATCTGTTCAGGGTGTACCCCGCCTGTATCCCCATAGACTGCTGGAGATAGGCAGCAGCCCCCCACGACCTTGTGTGGACAAGCGGGTACAGATAAAAAAATGGATGGACATGGACCTATTTGGGTGTCTTTAATAAAGTTAACATACACATACAAGATAAGCTAAGTAGGAATATGTAGCATATGTGGGTGAAATGGGACAATTTTTTGCTTTTTCTCTTATAAAATAAGAACACTGGCAGCGATAGAGCGGGTTGTCCAGTAATCGGAAGGTTGTAGGATCAATCCTGGCTCCTGGTGGATAATTTTGCCGTTGTGTCCTTGGGCAAGACACTTAACCCCCCTTGCCTTCTGCTGGTTGTGGTTGGAGAGATTGATGGTGCCTGTGGCCTCTGTCAATGTGCCCCAGGACAGCTGTGGCCACATTGTAGCTCATCGCCACCATGGTGTAAACATGTGTGTAAATGGATGAATACACTGTAGTGTAAAGGACTTTGGAATCCTCTGAGTGTGGGTCATTATTATTTAACAATAGAAATGTATGGCAAAGTAGAGCTGCCACCCATTCAAATGAGAGCGATATCACCTTACGTTTAGGTTTACCCTCTGGTTGATGGCGGTTTGTGTCGTTACAGAAGGACCCACGTGGAGGCGCCAGAGCGTCGCCGTTCGCCATTTCAACCACAGAAGAAAATGAGCTACAGGAGTTTACTTGCCGAATGACAGAAAAACAGAGTTCACAGAACAGAAACGACAGTTTCTCCTTTCGGTACCGAGTTGCACGTTTTTGTTGAGATCCGACTGGGAACTTCGCTCGGGGAAAATGCGAGACCGAACAAAAGAATTAGGAAATGTGAGTTCAAACTTTAGCGGCTAATAGTAGCGCGCTAGCAGGGTGTAAAAGTTCATTGGTTCAGTCGCGTTTTAGTTTCAGACTGCTGTGACAGTTTTGGTAAAACAGTAACGCACGTTAAGTCATGACTAGAATAGAGTTTATTGGGTCTTTTTGCTGAGTTTAAGAGCCTCGGCGACACTTTGTTCCCAACTTCCGTTTCAGCTCATCTGTGAGGCCAACAGGGCAGGGCAGCAGGAGCTCATCTTATACCTAAACTGTCATTATTTCAGCTCTGTTTGGGGCTTTCATTTTGCAGAAGGCTGAAACTTCAGATGAGGATGAAGAGGGCAAAGCTCTGGTGACCAAATCCGGAACTTCTTCACTTAAAGAGGAGAAGGAGAATGATGCTTTCTTTAAAAAGGTGAGAAATGTTAAGCTTTCTCTGGAGCTGCTTCAGGATATTCTCACTGTTTTTAGAGTAAACTGATTGTCTCAGCTCTAAACTTATGAAAAGTCTTAAAGGTCAGTCAGTTCTGAAGATGAAATCTCACTCATTGCTTGTTTTGACTACATGAGTCTTTGCTAATCCCAGTTTTTCTTTCAATCGAGTTCCCAAAAGAACTAAAACAACTTTTAATGACAAAGCCCCTCAAATGTAATCAATAGAACTGAGCTGATTGTTCAGTTCTAGTTCTAGTTCTCAGGAAGTTGATGTGATGATCCATCTTTTGTAACTTGTTCAGCACGAGGAAGGAGTTGGTGTCAATGTGCAGCAGTCCGCAGGTGTGAGGCAAGGGACACGATGGTCATGTCTCCAGGTCATAACAGGGACAAACATGACTGGCATACACTTAAGGACAGTTCAGAGAGTCTAGTTGAGATATGTTTGTTCCTGCTGGAGGAAACCACACATGCACAGGGAGAGCATATAACTCCACTCATAACAGCAGCAGCTGCTGGGTGTTGAGCCTGCAACCTTCCTGCTGCAAGGGTTAGGGTGCAGTGCTAAATACTATGCCACCATTCAAAAGAAGCAACATATTATTGGTTTTGGCTAACCTGATGCCTGCAGGGAGGTTAGTTCAAATATGGTTAAAGAAGTCACTCAAAGGTTATAATTTATTATTCAGTATTTATTATTTCTGAATTCTAAACATCTGAAATATTTTATTATTATTGTGAAAGTAAATACTTTAATTTGGCAGATCTGTAATTGCTAGCATGAATTGTTTCATTTTTTAAATGTTAAGATTTTCTATTGGTGTTTGACAACGATGTGTTCAAGAACTCAACAAATAGTCTAAAATGTTACTTTCTCAGTGGTCAGTCCCAGATTAATTGATCATGCTAAATATTGACCAACTCTTATCAGCAGCTGATTGTTTTGGTGCATTTTTAGTTCAATCATAACAATGGTACATTAAGATTTCTGCATTTGTCACTGAGAGAAGTGATTACATGTTGATTTATTGATGGATCTCATTGTTGGATTTAAAACAAAAATGCATCTTTATGTTAATTTAAAACTAAAATTACCCGAGAAACTGTTGATGGTAAGTTTGGTAAGTTTTAGAGGCCATGGAAAAAACTCGATTCTCATCTGAATTGAGATTCTTATTTATGAAGATTCTGAATCGGTTCATAAAGAGTCTGAATGGACCCAAAATGTCCAAGTTTTGTTACTTGAGAAGGCATTTTCTCAACATTTCCTAGCTTGTTTGTTGCTCGTACTTTGTGTCAGTCAACGGCTTCCGTACCGCATGATTCTAAGTGATGCGCGGACTTCCAGCCCAACCCATTCCTCCATCACATTCATGGCTCGCTATGTCACAGACACCTGGCAGATTTCCAACTTACAGAAGAAAGTAGTTAATCCTGGAATTGACACTCTTTGTTACTAAGAGTGCTGATTGTGAATCAATTTGAACTGAGAATCGATTCTGGATTGAATTGTGAGTCGTTGAAAAGTTCACACCCATAGTAGCTTTTACTCACTTTTACTTTTTTTAATAACCCCATGACAATATACTGCTCACAAAAATTAAAGGAACACTTTAAAGAAACACATTGGATACATCAGATCTCAATATGAAGATGGATATCTATACAAATAACGACAGGGCAATGTCTTAGGAACAAAAGGATGCCAAATCTTTTAATGGAAATAAAGGTTATCAGCCTACAGAAGGCTCTTATTGTGTAGACACCCTAAAATTGGAGTGAAATGAAGATGTGGCAGGCTAGTCCATTAGTTCAAAAACCTAATTTCTGCAACTCAAATTGCTTTTCAGTATCTTGTGTGGCCCCCACGAGCTTGTGTGCATGCTTGACAACGTCGGGGCATGCTCCTAATGAGACAACGGATGGTGTCTTGTGGCATTTCCTCCCAGATCTGTGTGAGGGCATCCCTGAGCTCTTGTACAGTCTGAGGAGCAACCTGGCGCCGCCTAATGGACCGACACATAATGTCCCACAGATGTTCTATTGGGTTTAAGTCAGGGGATCATGAAGGCCATTCAGTTGTTTCAATTCCTTCATCCTCCAGCCTCGGCATACTCTTGCCACATGAGGCCGGGCATTGTCGTGCATTAGGAGAAAACCAGGACCTACTGCATCAGCGTAGGGTCTGACAAAGGGTTCAAGGATTTCATCTCGATAACTTATGGCAGTCAGAGCACCATTTCCTAGGCAGTAGAGGTCTGTGCGTCCCTCCATGTATATGCCTCCCCAGACCATCACTGACCCACCACCAAACCTGTCATGTTGAACGACGTTGCAGGCAGCATAACATTCTACATTTCACGTCTATCACAGGTGCTCAGGGTGAACCTGCTCTCGTCTGTAAAAAGTACAGGGCGCCAGTGGCGGACTTGCCAATTCTGGAGTTCTTGAGCAAATGCCAGTCGAGCTCTACGGTGCTGGGCAGTGAGCACAGGGCCCACTACAGGACATCGGGTTGTCAGGCCATCTTCATGAAGTCTGTTCCTGATTGGGTAGAGACATTCACACCAGTGGCCCTCTGGAGGTCATTCTGTAGTGCATGAGCAGAGCTCCGCCTGTTCCGCCTTGCACAAAGGAGCAGGTATCGGTCCTGCTGATGGGTTGTGGACCTTCTACGGCCCTGTCCAGCTCTCCGACAATAACCGCCAGTCTCCTGAAATCTCCTCCATGTTCTGGAGATTGTGCTGGGAGACAGATTAAACCTTCTTGCTGCAGCACGTGTGGATGTGCCGTCCTGGAGAAGTTGGACAACCTGTGCAACTTCTGTAGGGTTAAGGAATCGCCTCATACTGCCAGTAGAGAGCCAAAACTAGCACGGGTGGAAAACCAGCCGAAAAAGATCAAGAGGGAGAAACTTGAAATGACCTCTACATGTTAAACCAGTCCTGTTTTGAGTGTTTTGTAATTGTTGTCACTTTAGTACAACTGTCGTTAAGTCCATGAACACCAGTACAGCTGAAAGTGATTAACAATGCCCTCTTCTGCTTAATCAACCAGGAAATTATCAGAGAGGTTTAATTGATTTCATGCCAGGCCCAATAAAATAAGTGTTCCTTTAATTCTTGTGAGCAGTGTATAAATGATTAAGCTTAATCCTGAAATTGAGTTTAGTTCCTTCCTTCCACAGGTGCAGGAAATCCATGACGGGCTTCAGAGTCTCAAGAAGATGGTTTCCGACCTGGAGAGCAAACAGAAAACTGTTCTTGGAGTTGCACTGCCAGAAGAGAGTACGTCTTCTTGTGCTGGGCGTCAGCATTTCAGTTCTAGTGTCTAAAGCTTTCAACCGTTAAAATCATTGGAGTTGTTTTATAATAAAGTACAGAATACCTTGTTTCCATCTCCTTTAGGTATGAAAAAGGAGCTCCAAACTCTGCGAGACGAGATCAAAACGTTAGCGAGCCAGATCCAGAAGAAGCTGAAGAGTGAGTGTTTCTGAGCTGCAGTTCAGCTCTTCTCTTAGTTACTTCAGCTGTAACTATTTACGGTTTCTTTGCAGATATTGAACCTAAAAAGGGCGAGGACGATGGGAAATATGTGTCCATAAATCTGCGCATGCAGCGCACCCAGGTAGCATCTTATTGAGAAAGCAAACGCATTTTAGATGGCTTTACTGTTTATTCTTTTATATTGTGTAGGAATGTTGTAATGTTATATCAGATGTGTGTGTTGATTTTGTAATGAAATCCTGTAATCCTGGCAGATGTGGATTATATGAGCCCCAGATTGAATGTAAAGGTGCAGTATGTAAGAATAAAGTGAGAATTTTAGGGGCGCGACAAACGACCGCTATCAGCGAAATTTGTCGCTGTTGCTTTTATTACCTGACACACGGGAGGCGATCCGCGCCAGCGGCAAAGCCGTCTACGCGTTCTGTTCCATGGCGAAATCGAAACTTCCGTTGTTTTGCTTGGATGTGTCAGGTTGGAGGGAATTAAGGTTATTTAAGCGGTTCAGAGTTAATAAAGTGGTAGATATGATGTTTCACAAGGTGCTGCTAGAGTTATGTGAAATCTTACTTCTGATTTTACTATATAAACATAATAATAATCAACTTCTCCTCCATGTTTGCTCGGAGGTGTACGGAGCATCCTGTCTGCTCATTGGTCAGTGAATGAAACCTCCGTTGATTGGTCCTCGTCCGAGCGACAGCGATGAAAAGTTGAAAATGTTTCAACTTTCTGGGATCGCGTCGCTGGGTCGCCTGTGCACGACATGTGCACGAGCGCAAAATTTCACACGCACATTTTTCGCGATTTCGCTTAGTAGGAGGGAGACCCGCGATTATCGCTTTGTCGCGCATGTCTCATTGAAAATGAATGGAGGAGAGGCGATGTCGCCTCCCGCGTGTCAAGTCCATTACAGTGAGAAAATCCCAAAAGAGTCTGATGCTTCAGTCATGTTGGAAGGAAGGTTATCCTGAAACATATTTCACATCCAGCTGGCTGCAGGGATTTTCCGTTGTTCTGCTTTTACAACAAGGAAAGGAGGGACGTAACTACTGTTCACCATCAGTGAGTGTGGGGTTGCCACGACTCCTGCGAGCTAATACTGCAGCGCCCACAATTGTAATTTTATGACAGCTGGCAAAAAACTTCAGAGTTGTTTAAAGTGGTTGCTGTAACCAAATTATACCACAGGGTGTCACTTTTACTTCATTTCTACATAATGCACCTTTAATCCCACACTCTTTTTGTTGTAATCTAATATAAATTAAAACTCCTGATTCTGATGTCTCCTCAGCACGGCGTTCTGTCCAGGGACTTCGTGGAGCTGATGGGTCGCTGTAACACCATCCAGGCTCAGTACAGGGACCGTAACGTGGAGAGGATACAGAGGCAGCTAAAAATCAGTCCGTACCACTGCAATGCTTTCTGTTTGTTTGTGGTTTAACGGGGAATAAGCAAGGCTGCCTGGTGCAGGTTTCAGTTCTCTGGAAACTTTTTATGTTTATGTTTATTATGTTTATTTATTTGGCAGACACTTTTATCCAAAGCGACTTACAATTTATAACCTATAGGGCATGTTGTGATCTGTGGGGGAAACCGGAGTACCCGGAGGAAACCCACGCATGCATGGGAAGAACACGCAACTTCACGCAGAAAGGCCGCAGCCGAGTTTCGAACCTGCAACCTTCGTGCTGCGAGGCAACAATGCTAAAAACTGCGCCACCATGCAGCCTAAACTTCTTTTGTGTTTTATTGTAAAGTTATTTGTTGTTTCACTCAGCCTCATGTGAACAGATGGATCATATACATCATTGATGAGAGCTTTTCCTGCTTCAGTGAGCCTCCTCTGTTCTCAGCTTTAAGCAAACAGTGTGTTGATATTGAAACCTTGTGGTTTGAATCAGGCCTAGCTCTACAACTTTCCCAGATGGTGTAACAGTTGCGTTTGTTTCCGTTTGACTTTACTTTGAAATGCAGGAAATATTTTGCTACATGTTCATGTTGGGCCCTTAAAGAACAGTTTAGCATGTTTGCGGTAGCAAACCGAGCAGCAGTTCATTAACAAATACTTTTATAGAGACAGTTATGTTATTGTTTCAATGATAATCAACCTTAAATACCTTCAAATGTTGCATTGTTAAAATTATGTGGGATTATTTTTAAAAATATGACGATAAAAGTATGTTTTTAGGCTTTGAACTCAGAAGTTGAAGCTGCTTCATGAACGACCTTCATGTTTTATTATCCAGATAAATCTGTAGATTGAACTCCTCAAAGAGAGGAGGATACATTTCTTCACGTCAACACGTCTCCAGACTGGATCTGATTTAATGGCCTGGGACAAACTTGCAGTCAGGTCATATTTTATTTTTACCTCTGATTTGCATCCTGTCTGTCCACAGCTGGCACCAATGTGACAGATGAAGAGCTGGACATGATGCTGGAGAGTGGCCAGACGGATGTTTTCACTCAGAACGTGAGTGCATGTCTGGTTAAAGAAGGGCGTAACTGTTTGTGTTGCTGCTAGAAATCACAGTGGCAGAACAGTTCGTTCGTTCGTTTCGATTATTTCATTCAATCAATCAAAAGTTACATTAAAACATTTCATGTTCACAAATAATCATAAATGAAAAGGAGCAGAAAGAAGCAAAAACTTATATCTGCCCCCTTTTCGCATCGACATTAGCTGTTCAACTCAAAGAATTTCGTTCATTTAACCCCCACTCCCAACACAAAACAAGTCAATCAGCCTACTTAAGGTCTTATTACTTCATCATGACACGTTTCACATTTTTTTAAAATACAGAAAATGATTTAGATTGTTTTATTTCACTGTTGAGTCTATTCCATAAATAGACACCTTTAACTGAGATACATCTTTCCATTATCGCTGTTCGCAATCTTGGTTTTTTTGAAAATATCAGTTCCTTTTAGATTAAATTTTAGATTTTTTAGAGTAATGGTCCAAAGACCGATCCTTGTGGTACTCCACAACAAACATGTAAAGAGGATTTTATATTATTAATTTCCACAAACTGTTGGCGGTTCATCAAATAACTTCGGACCCACTCATGTGCTACTCCTCTAATCCTGTATTTGTATAATTTATGTAATAATATTACATGATCCAGTGTATCAAACATTTTTTGTAAATCTACAAAAACACTCACCAGATATTGTTTATTATCTATTGCTATTGAAATCTCTTCTACTAAGTCAGTTATTGCTGTTGCAGTTGAATGATTAGAACGAAACCCATATTGACTATTATGCAAAACACTCTGCCTATTAATAAACGTTTCCAGTCTAACAACAAATAATTTTTCCAGAATTTTTGAAAACTGCGGAAGCAGTGATATTGGCCTATAATTAGAGGATTCATGCTTATTTCCACCCTTATAGAGTGGTAACACTCTAGCAGTTTTCATATTTTCTGGAAATATTCCTTTAACGAATAATAGATTGCATATATATGTAAAAGGTTTAATAACTAAGTCTATGATGTTTTTCACAAGAGACATATTCATATCGACATAATCATTTGAAGTCTTGTTCGGATGTTGCACTATTTGTAATATTTCACTCTCATCTACTTTATCAAGGAAAGTACTATCCACAGTATTGTTTTTCCAGTATTATCATTTTTAACTTTAGGAATTTGTTTAGCTAAATTTGAGCCGATGTTCACAAAAAATGTATTAAAGTCATTTACGATTTCTTTTTATCATAAATATCCATCTTGTTTTTTATAAAGTAATTTGGTATTTGTGGTCGTACTTTATCTTTTTTTAGAAGTTTACTAATTACACCCCATGTGTTCTTTTGTGTTATCCTTGTTTTTATCTAACAATTGACTGTAATACTCCCTTTTCTGACGTTTTATAATCCATAATATTATGTTTTTATATTTTTTGATATCTCACTTCTGATTCTTTCGTCCTAAGCGTCAAAAACCTTATATATAAATAATTTTTTTTCTTGCAGGCATTTTTTATACAGTTCCAGCTGTTTTCTGTAAAAAGGTGAAATCATGACAGGTTTTCTCTGTTCTCACCGCTCTAACTGGACACCAGATGGGTCAGAACAACCCGGACAGATTTCAGATGTTTAGTGTCAGTAGTGGATAAAGTGAGAAACCTTTGTGCAACCTAAAATAATTACCACCCTTTCATTCTGTATAAATCCATGTTGCACAGATCCTGAGTGACGCTAAAGCGACGAAGCAGGCTCTGAATGAGATCGAGTCCCGACACGATGAGATCCTGAAGCTGGAGAAGAGCATCACAGAGCTGCACCAGATGTTCCAGTACCTCGCCATGGAGGTGGAGGCTCAGGTGCAGAAACGCCTCCGCGACCCTCAGGCTGCACCGATCCCTAAAGGACATCTAATTCTGATGATTCTGTTACCTTCAGGGCGAGATGGTCGACCGGATCGAGACCAACATCATACAATCCTGTGACTATGTTAAGAAAGCAAACGACAATGTAGCCAAAGCTGTCACATATCAGCAGAAAGCTCGGAAGGTATGTTCACTCTCTTTATTCTAACTAAACACTGTATCATGAAACTGAAAATATTCCCTAAAATTATTTTCAGACTTAAATGTGAAGCAGAGTTAGAACTGAGATCTGATCTGATAGGCCATTAGGACCTAGCATCCCCTAAAGGAATGTGTCTCATCATCCATCTTTAAACTAAGATGATCTGGAGTTGATGCTTTTTAATAGTAGACACTGACTGCACACTTTAAAACATCAGTGTTTTACATTAAACTTGTCTTTTTATGTGCAAGAATTATACTTGCATGAAGAACAGTTTGCAGCTGTTGTGCACAACTAAACATGTTTTTATGTGTCCACACACCTCATCACCAGTGGTTGACCTGTTATACTTCTCTAATTTTTGCATTGATTCTTACTTTGCTTTGAGGATTTTGTTCCCTTCTAGTCTCTCTCCACACCCCTGCCGTTGCAACGACGTTTCTGCTGTAATATCACTCAGTGTTGTGAATGACTCTCACCTTCTAACACTTCTTCTGTAGAATCAGAAGCATTTACTGGTGGAGAAGGAGGGCACATTTCATCAGATGATCGTCTAGTTTATCTGTTCCATTGACTAACTCACTGGGAATGTTTTTCTGCCCAGCCCTTCGTGACGAGTTGGTTTCATTTTTGAATTTGAGATTCGCTCAGCATTTTGGGACGTTCCTTTTTCATTTTCTGGAGGAAACTTTCTAAATTTTAATGTTTTAAGAGTCTTTATTTATTAGTCTTTTTGCTTTATAAAAAAATCTGTCTAAACTACACATTTTAATTTCTTAGCAGAATGCAGTGAACTGCTGAAGCTGGGCTATCTTTAGCTAAACTCAAAGTCAGTGAAATGGTTTTGATTATTTGAAGTTTAATCAGGAAAAAACAATTGCCACGCTGTATTCTGATGAGTTTTTGACCTAGAGAAGGCAACAAGATACTTTGTATTCGTGGTCGGTTAGCTAAACGTCAGACAAACGGAGAACAGACACCTCGGTAGCGCATGAACATTGCAACCGACTGGCGGTTCCTGATGATGTATCTCCTAGGCAACCAGGGCAGGACCAAGGCATCAAGGTTCCTTGACATTGAGAAACTCCCTTATAGTTCTACTGCTGTAGTTGAAGGTTAAAAACCAGAATTTATTGTGACTTGTATGAGCTTTGAATGAAGACACCAGATTAAAGTTGGCAGAAGTGAACTTGGAAAAAGTATTGGACAGATTTTATATATATTTAAAGCCCTTTTTACAAGACACACAGCAAGTCAGCGTAATACAGCAACGGTGTGTCTTATAAACGTGCCATGCCGGCATTTTAATGTGTGAATTTTGCGGCATTCGTTCCGCCTCACTTGTTAGTTATATTGCAGTGATGGTCTGTGTTATAAACGGCAATTACGCCTTGGCGCAGCAGAGGGAGGTGTCGTGATGACGTGAGGAGATACTGCCGAACTCCGGGGCCGTAATTTTTGTTTTTGTAAACCGAATCAGCTGAGACTGTTAACTGGAGTGCTATTGCGCTCCTGGGGCTTTTCTCTGTTAGAGCTGAAGCTCAGATCACCGGAGACTGCACAGGGACTGAGGACAGACACCTTTAGGAGCGGCTTGTCAAGAAAACTTAATAAGTGCAGCTTTGATCGCAATAAAAAGCAAGTTATGTCCAAGTTAAACGGAAGTCCGCCACAGCGCGTAGACCGCTTTCCTACCCCCTTTATAATGCCATCTCCTAATCTTTTGTAAAAAGGACATGATTGCGCTACATTACCGCCACACTCTGACCACTTATAAATGACCTAAGGCTCTCTTATGCCACCACGGCGTTGTGGCAAGTTGACGGTATTGTTTGTAAAAACGGCTTAACTGGCCAACAAAAATTACAAGACAGAAATTGCTAAATGTGTTACGTATTTTGTTTTATGAATTGTGTAACAAGCAGTTTTTAAAAAGTCTCCGTTTGTAATGTCACAAACAGGAAATTAGAATAGAACCACATCTCATGTGCAAGAGAGATCTGCTGCTGGATGAGCAGCAGCTCTGTTCTGATCCCCTCCCAGAAATCTGAGCTTCTCAGCTTATAGCAGCCTGAAGGAGGTGATGGGTGGGTGTGGCCAGCTCCAGCTTGTTTCCTTAAAGAGCAAATTGAAGGTTACATTTTTTTCTAATTCATGTAAAATGCTGTCCAAAAATACTATTTGAAATGCTTATTGTGGATATTTCCTTTTAAAATAACAGCACCGTTTTTTTTTTTGAGTAAAAAGTGGCCTTTCTCAGCAGAGCTTCTAAAAGGGCTATTTTTTTCTAAATCTGAACCTCTGACGTAACCAAAGGGAGTTATAAGTTAGGCACTGCCTCAGCTCAGTGTGGAGAGTGGCTAGTTTTAGGGTAGAGAGGTCATGTTTTTGAGTCAGTGTGTATGTTTAGTAGTTTTGGATTGTGTTCATGTTGATAAACTATAGTTTGTGAAGGCTGTACTAACTCCAGCCTGCCTAGACGTCGAGTCCACGGGTTTACAGATAAGAGAAACAACATCTCTATCTCTGTGCCGGAGGGCGTTGAAAAGACGGGAATTCTGTAGCCCACATTGGTCAGTACCGGGTCAGGGAGGTCCGCGCTGGGCTCCGTAGACCCGTGGTGGGGTTAAAGAATTAAATGCGGATTTCTGGAGCTCAAATCATTGTCAGAACCAGGTCAGAACCAACCACCAGAAGAGACGCTCGGCTCAGCAGGCCAGTGGAGCTGGTTTCTGGGTCGGATCCAGCTCACAGAAGCCCGCATGAGCTCCAGAATCGAACAACAAGCATCTCTCTCTCGGCTCAGCGGGCCAGTCGAGCTAGTTTCTGAGTCGGAACCAGATAAGAACCGCTGTGGACCTCCAAGAGAGGATCATGCGCAGGCGCATGGGCTGCATGGTGGTGCAGTTGTTAGCACTGCTGCCTCGCAGCACGAAGGTCGTAGGTTCGAAACTCTGCTGCGGCCTTTCTGCGTGGAGTTGCTTGTTCTCCCCATGCATGCGGGGGTTTCCTCCAGGTACTCCGGTTTCCCCCACAGATCACAACATGCCCTATAGGTTATAAATTGTAAGTCGCTTTGGATAAAAGTGTCTGCCAAAAAAATAAATAAATAAACATAAACCTTCAAAAATACTAGCTTGACTGGCTCATTCAGAACCAGATGACAGGCGTCTCTCTCCCTCTCTCTAAGCGCTAAACCACGTTACGTGAACGGATATTAACGAGTATGAGACAGTTGACAGACGTTCATTAGTATTGTGATGCTGGTGGTGGTCGGAGGGACCGGTGGCACCTGTGCTCGGCAGCCTCGCCTCTGTCAGTGCGCCCCAGGGCAGCTGTGGCTACATCGTAGCTCATCATCATCAGTGTGTGAATGGATGAATGATACACTGTAGTGTAAAGCGCTTTGGAGTCCTTACTCTGAGAGGCGCTATACAAGTGCGGGTCATTTATCATTAATATTATATTAACTGACCGATACTATTTCAATTGCCTGGTACATGATAGTAATCTGTACAATATTGTGGTGTTGGCAAACGAGTTTAAGCTAACATGGTTAACTCACCTGCTGCTCCCTCGCTGCTTCTTCTCCTCAATCTCTCTGTTTTGGCCGATGGTTTCTCCCTCTGGTTTGTCTCTGCTCTCTGGGGCGTGCAGCAAACTCATAACTTTATGGTTTTTGTCCATCATAAGTAGAATTATAACCATTTAAAGTTTCTTCTGTGTCAGAGCCGCATTAGAATCCATATTTTTCTCTGGATGAAGCTAACAGGACTCCTACTGATGACGTCACTTAGGCCTAGTCCACACGTAGCCGGGGTTTTTTTAAAACGAATATCCGCCCCTCCAAAAACTTGCATCCACACCACCGCGTTTTAAAAACAAACTCTGTCCACACGTACCCGGATAAATACATTGTTAAGGACATACCAGACCTGTAGGCGGCAGTACTTCCCCGTTCTTAACCTCGTCCTTCGTCTGTGGTCTTCCTCAAGGAGCAGTAATTCCGCTTGCAAAAACAAACAAGCAAAACGCGCTTGGACAATTGATGGATTGGGTAGTGACAGAACGCAGCTCTGAGGGCTTCCATGATGCCGGCTAGTGTAAACACAGGTTGCACACGTGATGTCAGCATTTCTTTGTCACGGAAAGTGACGTTGCGGACCTTAAAACTCCGGTTTTGTCCGTCCACACGCAGACACCCAAAACGGAGAAAACGCAGATCTTCACTTTGGCCGGAGTTTTTAAAAAGATCCGTTTTCGTGTGAAAAAACTCCGTTTTCGTGTGGATGACAGGCCAAAACGTAGAAAAATATCTACGTTTTGGCAGATTCCCGGCTACGTGTGGACAGGGCCTTAGTTTGGCAAAAATAAATAAATGTTCTCACAAAAATGACTCTAAAAGCCTAAATAATTTATATATGTGTAAAAAAGAAAATTTAAACGAGCTTCTATTGTTTCCCTAAACACTGGTTCGTGGGAGTCTAACTTGCAATTTGCTCTTTAAAGTAATAAAGCCCTGACACGGCTCATTCAGGAAGGCACTGAAACTGTCAAGAATAAAATTGCTGCATGTGAGAGCGGTTTAACATAAAGAACTAGATGAACATGTCTGGATAGATCGTAGAACTATTATAACTTAAGTAAAAAGTATTTTGATTATAATTATAACAACTCCTGACAAGCAAGTCCTGAATGAGCTGAACTTTCTGGTGTGTAATTTGAAAATGGCACAAAACTAGCAGAAGCAGCAGCACAAAAACACTAATGGAAGAAAACAAGTCTGAATAATTGTTGCACCGAACATTTAAACATGATGAATAACCTCTCACAACCTGCTTGTTTCCTTATTTATTGACTCTTTTCTTTTTTCCACTGCAGAAAAAAATTTGGATTGCCGTCTGTTTGGCCGTCCTCATCATCATCATCGTCGCCGCTGTTGGCGTCTCCTTCAGTTAGTAACGTCTCTGCAGGAAAACTCTGCAGAAGGTTATTAGCTTCAGATAAATCCCTGTTTGTGTAAATATCAACCCACAGGATGCACGGGTGAATTTAAGTTTTGTTCTTTCCTGCATTTCACACTAGTCTTCCTCCAACTTACCTGTCCATCAGAAAGTAGTTTTTTCCCCCTTCACCTTCTTCTTTTCCAACCTCCAGTTGAGGCGATGTTGCAGGTTATAATCTGTTTTCTATACAAACATAAAGACCTGAATACATGAACTGTTACTTCAGCTTCCCTCCTTCCACTGAGAGGAAACCAAAGTGACCTTGAGCAAGGCACAATGCAGTATTTAACCCCGAGACTGGCGCTGATAATACTGCACTCAGGAAAGCTGTTGATCCTCGTTACGCTTTTGGAAAAACTCGAGACAAAAAGAACAATTTTATAGAATAAAACTTTTCTTTATAGACGACTACAGAACATAGACTAATATAATTGTATAGAACTCTGCTGGTGATTGGTGGATGTTTTTTTTTTAACTCATTTGTTTCAAACTGTCTACATGTAACAAGTGTAAATACGTTGTTTTGTTGTGGATTAACACTGATAGGTTTATCTCAGTGCTGCAACAGTAAACCCAAACCTGCTTTTATTTGTATTTATGATCTGATCATTATGTAAGCTGCTACAAAAAAAAAAAAAACTATTCAACCCATAAGGAAACCCTTGGAGCCTTTAGAACAGTGCCTTCTTCACACCGGTCTAGGAACACCATATTGTGCACTAACATTGTCAAGAAGGGATGGAGTTTGTCGTCGTTGCATCACAGATTTAACATGTTGGTAATCTTCTTCCCCAGTTTGTCACGTAGTGGCGTCTCCGTCCAGTTTGGTTTGATGCAGGAGCAGCAAGTCAGAAATAATTATGGAGACGTCTCAATGAGACAAGTGTGTCTGAAGTAAGTTCAGACTGTTAAATTCTGTGCAGTTCTCATTAGTCTACTTTAGATGCAGGAAAATGCACCAAAAGGGCTGAAGAGAACTTTCTACTGTAAAATTATAAGATGCATGTTTGTTTTTAAATAAAATCTCATTCTATTCTTGTTTTTCTTGTGTAATTATTTGCCTTCTGCTTGTCTAAGTTTGGTTATGGAGGGAAACTTGAACATCCCCTTCCCGCTCCTCCTCGGGGACCCCACTGTGTTCCCAGTCCAGAAACAGAAGTTAACACCAAAAAAAATCACTCTTTTTATTCAACTGTAATTGTCTTAATTTTTCAAGTAAAACAATGTGGAATTACAAGGGGTCAAAGGAATGCACCAAATCAAACAAAAGACCATCACCAGGAACCAGCTACTCCTGCCAAAATTAAATCAATTTACAGTCACCTGGAGCTGAAGCGGCCACTTTATTCACAGATTTTGTCCCAGGATTTTATTTTCTACATGAACCAAGAAACTCATAATGAAAAACATCAGGTGGCACAAACCAGCACTAATAGACGTGTTTTGTTGGGTTTTTGATGGATTTAGTTTTTATAAAACGAGGCTCAACACTGCCACACTGGATGCTTCTCAAGGCAACGGCAGGCTGGAAACCATTAAGCCAAAGAGGCACTGTTCCTCCACACACTTTCCTTTCCAGCATAAATACATGACTTCAGCGGTCTGTGGAAGATTGGAGAGAAGATCTATTGTCTCTGGAGACCAGTTGTAAGACCATTCCTTTTTTTTTAAACCAGGTGAACACTGCAAGACACTAAGGATCATTTAACTGACAAATGTGTCGCTACACTGTAACGAGCTCACTAAGCAGAGGGCACAGTTTTTCTTCTGAATGTGCAAAAATGAGAAATTCAAGGCTGGATTTGAACTCAATCCTCTGAACAGAAATGACATGAAAAGGGGGCCCAGCACACTGACCTGTTCTTGTTCTGTCATGGAAGAAATCAAAAATATGCATAACTTAACTGACTCCACCGAACCAAAATCAGGACAGTTGATGAAGCTTTGCAAAAGCAAACCTTCTAGACCCTCCCACTTACAAGACAACTCATCACTCATAGGTTTAAATGTCACACAAATGACTCCATGTGTTGCTCTGACCAGAGGAGCAGTAAAGTCCCATTTCAGGGTTCCAGTCTCTAATAATTACAGAGCATCATGGGAACTTGCTGGCCTCGGCCCCTGATGGAGGACTGATCCCCTGCAGCGCCTCAGCCTGCATGTTTACAGTCAGTCCAGTATTCCGGCGCTTCCACCCTGCTGTCAGTCTCTGAGCTAGAGAGGAGACCAGCTCCGTGTCAGACTTCTGCAGGGCTTGCTTCCCGTGCAGCAGCCTCAGAGGTCAGGACATGCTCTCTGCAACACCCTCGCTTCGGTTTGTTTCTCTTTGGCACTCCGATCATGTCTTGTTGCGTTGTTGATTGGAGGAGGAGCGGGTGCTTGCAGCTGGTGAGCGGGCCTGCACTGCTGCAAGTGCTGCGACACTCCTCAGCACTCTGTCCGGTGTCCCCTCTGTTCCCGAACTACTGGAAACCTCCTGCGAGAGCTTCTGGCCCCTCCTGCTTTCCTTCTGGTTCCGCTTGTCCTGTTTACTGTGGCTCTTGCCGTGCTCAGGGCTGCGGTCCCTGTCTCGCTCACTGCCAGAGGAGGCAGCCCGGGAACCCCGGCGCTCTGTATTCTGGGAGCTGAGGCTGAGGGTGTGCTGGCTGCTGTTGCTGCTGCTGCGACTCCTGCTCCTGCGCCCGCCGCAGTCGCCCTCACCGTCGCTGCTCATGCTGCTGCAGGCACTGTGGCCTCGTGATGAAGACCTCGTCTCCGTCTCTGCTTCTTTTCCTCTCAACTTACTGCTGCTGTCCTTGTCCTCCACTTTGGGTCTCTTGTACTCGATTTCTAGAGGAGGAACCAGCGCGCCCGGACACTGTCTGGTGGAGCGAGCTGCAGGGCGGCTCGTCTGCTCAGGTGTTGAAGGTTTGATACTCTTGCTCTTATCGTTATTGGAATTTACAGAATTACTCTGAGGCAGGACATGTTTGGGCTTTTGGATCTTGTCAAAGGAAGCCGCAGACTTGGCTCCAGGATCTTTCCGAGTTGTGTGACCTGGAGTATCCACCCTACCTTTCATTGCTAACAGCTTGGCAGCAGCATTCAGAGCTGAGCACCTTTTCCCCAGAACCTCAGGCTCAGGAGGCAGCGGGGGTGTATTGTTGGTCTGTGATTTACTGTCCTGTGATGACTGAGATCCTGCAGATTTCCTGATGATCCTAACGGAGGACGTGTCGCTTCCAGACTCCCCTCCCGTAGAGGTGGTGTTGTGTGAGGCATTCCTGTCTGAACTGCGTACAGGTTTCTCTCCCTTCCGGGCCTTGTTGCCCTTTTCCTTCTCCTCATCCTGGAGCCGGCGTTTGGCAGAGCGCGTCAGACGCTTCCTGCTCTCACTGCTGTCCGAGTCAGAGGAGGAAGAGGATGACCTTGACCGCTTCCTGTGGGATGGCACAGGAATGGTCTCCATTTCTTCACCTTCCCTTTTCTTTGCCCCATCTTCTTCTTTCTCCTCAGTCTTTCCCTCAGAGGTGACGTCCACCCGCCTTCTCTTGACAGGATGTCTGTTCTCGTAAGTCTTCTTATGGTGAGCGTGCCGGGTGAGGGTTGATGAAGAGCTCCCAGATGATGGTGAAGATGAGCGCACAGACTCCTGACTACTCTGGCGGCTGAGGGGTCTCTTCTGATCTTGATTTTCTCGCTTAACTTCCTGATGAATAGCTTTTGTCTCTCCTTCTCCATCTTTGCTGGACTCTTTTGTCTCAGACAAACTCTCCTCTCTTCTTCGTTTAGTCTGGGACTCAAACACACTGGGCTTTATCGCCACTTCGTTAGATTTTTCCACAGCATCAACAAACATCTCTTCCTCAGACTGGTGCTTAGTTACCCGCTGTATAGATTCAGTTTCAGATAAATCAGCAGGTGTGGCGGCAGAAGGCAGAGCCTCTGCAGGAGCTGGTTCTGACGTCTCCTCTGAACCATGGGTGGAAGGTGGGTTCTGTTCCTGTGGACAGGTGACCTCAGAGGTCTCTGCGGTTATTTGTGTAGCTGCTATGTTTGTTGTCTTTGTATGTGGTTGTTCCGGGGGCGATGTTGCGTCAACTGTTAAAGGAGCTTCTGTAGAGGTTGCTACTGCTATTGGAGTGTGGATAGTGGAGGTGGAGGTGGAAGAAGCTCGTTGGACTTGTTCTGTTGGAGTTGGCAGAGCAGCTGCATCACTGACAGACAGTGTGGTTGGACTGGGTGGAGCAGGAGACGCTACTGAAGACTTCTCGAGCTCTGATGAATCCTCAGCAGCTGTATCTGGTGGTGGTGGTGATGCTGGAACTACTGTGGTCCTATTAGTCTGTTCTTTAGCTGATGGAGTCTCATGTTGCTCAGGAGGTGTAGCTGTTGTTTCTTCAGGTGGTGCAGCAGACGCCTCATCAGACACAGTTGGGTTTAACAAACTTGTTTGTTCTGTTTTTACTGACGTGTTGTCTAATGGGTCGGCATCGGTTGTTTCTACTGGAGTCAAAGTTGTGGCTGTAACCTCCGGACCAATTAGAGTAGTGGAGCTTCCAGTTAGTGAGGTGGAAGAAGCAGAATGTTCTGATTCCTCTGTAGTGTGAACACTTTGTGTTTGTGGTGCTACTGTAGCTGTTATGGTTGTAGAAGGCTCTGCTGAGGGTGACACAGCTGGTCGGGGGCTAGCATCTGTGGCGGGTTTAGATTCTGGTTCTGTGGATTTTACAGATACTGAAGAGGAATCTGGCTCTGCAGCACTTGTGGAAACAACTGTAGTTTGTCTCTCAGAGGCTGATGAACTGGGTGGAACTGAAGTGGCGACAGTAACAGTGGGACACGTGGACCCTGGGACAGATGATTCTAAAGTACCTAGGGGGGATGTGTGCTGACCTGGGGGTGGAGCAGAGCTTGTGGATGCTGTGGTGAAGGCAGGAACAGGAAGGGGTGAAGACAGCTGGGGGGTAGGTGGTGTGCAGGGTGGAGCAGAGACAGGTGTGAGAGTTTGATCCAAGTTTGTTTCAGACGTCTGAGCTGGAACTGGATCAAGAGATGAAACGTTCGTCGTTTCTCCAGCTTTGGTGGACTGAGCGTCTTGATGTGCTGCCTGAGTCTCTGATGGGACTCCCTGTTCTGTTTTAGTGTCAGAGCTCTGTGCTTCACTAACAGCGTCTGCTGTGGCTGTGGTGTCTTTACGGGGACGGCCCCTCTTACGTTTTGGGGACAGAGGGGGGTTCTTTTCTTCTCCTGGTAAGGAGGGTGAAGGAATCACACTGCTGTCAGTCTCAAGTACACTAGAAGGAGTCTTCGGGGGACGGCCCCGCTTTCTTTTCAGAGGCATCATGGAGGAAATCCCGCTGGATACTGTGGAAGCTGAGGAGTTGTCTTTGCCTGGAGAGGGGTCTACCTTCTTAGATAAGGTTGCTCCTCGTCCTCGGCCCAAAGAGAGCTGCTGCTGTTCTCCAAGCTGAGCGGCCATGCGGGATTCTGTCTCGAGCCTGCGTCGCACGGGGAGGTTTCTGAGAACGGGCATGTCAGGGGACAGATGTGGGGGGGAGTACGGAGGGTAGCCTCGGACCAGCTGTGGGTGGACAGCAGAACTCGGGGTGGACTCTTGATCCTGAGGAGATCCATCAACAGTCACTTTAGTCTTTCCATCAGGACTCTGTGGGGTGTTGTCTTGGTTTGGTTCTTCAGCATTTTCAGCAACATTCTCCTTCATTGTTGCCTCCTCTGTAGAGCCTCCAGTTCCACCCCCCCTCTGTCTCCTCCTCTGGGGCTCCTTTTCCTCCACCACAGTGACCAGCCTCCCTGGAAGCTTCCGCAAGACTTTGGCTGATGGGGAGTCGTCCATCAGGCCCCGTAGCACCTCGCCGTCGGCTGACTGACGCTTGCGAGGAGATCTGGAGCTGTGCTCTTTCTCATCGTAGTCCTTGTTCAGATGGTCTGCTGCACAGCTGGAGTCCAGAGAGGACTCAGACATTCTCCTCTCCTTCTCCTCTCTGCCCGTTTTGAAGTTCCTGCCGTCAGGCTCCCCAGCATGTTGTTTCCCTGCAGGAGGAACGCTCGTAGACGGCGAAGGCACTGGGCTGTGATGGGAGCGAGTTGGCTGAGTCCGGGTTTTTATGGCCTGCTGATCTCTGGCAGGAGACAAACCCTTTGAAGGTTTTGATGAATCTTGAACTCTGTTTGCTGAGGAGGTTTTATGATCTGTGCGAGGGGTCGACACAGCACCAGCACCTCGTCCTCTCAGACTACTGCGAAGTCTTTCAGGCACTTCTTTTGGCTCAGGCTCTGTTTCAGGTGACGCGCCACGAAGTCGACCACTTGTCCTTGTGGAGGTGAGCGTCTTGTCCTTGGGTTTACGTCCACGACGAGCAGGAGCTGGCTGAGCGGGCTCAGAAGATGTGGGGATTGATAAGAAGTCGTCATCGTCTACATCCGATGAAGGGTGGAGCAGGAGACCTTCCTCCTTGGCCTGGTCCAGGCCTTTCCTGGCAGCTTCTACCTGCTCCTAAAGAACATAAACACACACCAGACAAGAGTTTACACTCATTCAGGACAGGGTTGTGTTCCCCAAACAAAAATTATTGTGTTTTATTTTGAATCATTCTACAACACAACAGCAAAGGGAAAGAGTTCAACCTGGATGAACACTAAAATGTTGACATTCTCAAGGATGAGTGCTTTATGAGAGCAAATATCTGACCAGAATAAAGGCTCTTTTATATCTTTGAAATATGCTAATCTGTCACTTTTTCTCTTTAATCTGCCCTTATAGACCAAACACACCAAATACAATCTGAGACCTGGTAGCGGTCACCGAACAACCGATATCAGGGGCCCAGTGTCCTAATTTTTAACAAAACACTGGCTTTGGAAAAAGAAAACCCGCAGTTCGTAAATGGATCTCGTGGTGAATGAAAACAAACTAAATCTTGGACAAAATGCTTCTAAATGAGTAAACGACAAGTGGATATCCACCTTAAACCACCAGTCAAACAGGATATTGGATAAACCAAGAGCGGATCGGTGAGTAACATCAAGTTAAAGAAAGAAACTGAGCTGATAACATCAATATAAACATATAAGGTGGCCTCACCTCAGCCTGCTTCAGCTCCTCTTTGCAGACGTCTTCTAAAGAGGCTTCAAGGAAGTTCATGGCGTATCGTTCAATGGGAGTGAGCTGAAGAAAACCGGAGAAAAGTGTGAGCATAATCTAAATCTCTCCATGACAGAAACAGAATGGATTTATTTTATGATAACGACGAAGATATGTTTGGTCAAAGAGCTGCGTTAGTCCCGCACCTGTTCCACCAAAGCAGCTATTTCCTGCTCGGCCTTAGAGAGCTCCTCCACCTCCTCCTGCTCTCCTCCGTCATCCAGCGGTATGTTCTCATTAAACTCTGCCAGTTCAGCCACCTGCTCCGCTTTAGCCTGAGAAGCTGCCACAATGTCCTCCTCATCCTCTGCCCGACACAGTGCCTAAACAATTCATGACGCATTAACACAATCAGTCCAACAGCAACAAGCCAAAGTAATTAACCATACAATTTATCCAGCATGGACCCCACTCTGTTTATGTTTGAGACGTTTGGCAAAAACGTGTTTCTGGTCCTGCAGTGGCTGAGAAGGTAAAACCCACAACCCTTAAGCGAGTGATGAATACCAAGAGCTGAATAAAGGTTTGTCACCTGCTCCAGGATGGTGGTGTTCTGCTTGTTGACACCTTCCTCTTCATCAGCTTGAGGCACCGATAGCTCCACAGCCACCTCTCTCTTCTCTCCGTCGTTCACATCAAACAGCTCTCGAATGGTTTGCTGAAAGGAAAGCAGGAGCATTAAGTCCTGGAAAAGGATCGGTCGCTTTAAAAAAAAAACCTAAAACATTATCTTGTAGGTTTCTAATTAAGTCGAGGTCTTTCAAGGTGAGTTTACATACTTCTAAACATGCTGGCAAATAACACATCAAGACTGTACTAATGTGCAGACATCAAATTTTATTCAGTTACAAATAAAATGTTACATTCTTAAAAAAGCAACCAAATTATGTGCATTAAGGTCTACAGAGAGGCGAGAAAGAAAGCGTAAACAATAAAACTCCAGATGTTGTCGAGTTGGCCATCACCGTCTCAGAGGCTAAAAAAGTTTTGCTTTTATTAAAAAACAGAATCTTAATTATTTTCTGAGAAAACTATTAGACTAGATGAGTTTGTGACTACACCAACAAACTGTTTTAATTAATTTTAATAACCATTTCCAAAATTAGTTGAGTTTACTAGATTTCCAGCTCACAGATGAACCCCCAAGCTTGACATTGTTGTTGCCATCACACACACAGATGCTGCTGCGTTACTCAGCTTCAAAAACACCAAATGCTTAATGTTAAAGGTAAACCGTTTTAGAACAACAAATGGATTTAGTAATAAATAGTTTATTTTTATAAAGGCAGACCCAGACAAAAGAATAAAAGTCATATATGTGTAAATTAAAAGCGTTTACATGCACCAGTAGATCTAATTTCAGCTAACTTTTAAATTAATCACATCAGAAAACACTGAAAATCATTAATAATAAAGCCAACAAATAAAGATAAAGAACCTTGTTTCTCTGATCAGATGGTGTGAATAAAAGCCTCATATTTTAGTTTTAAAATACAGTAATAAACCATGCAATGGTGGCACAGGAGTTAAGAGCTCGCCCCATAATCGGAAGGTTGCAGGTTTGAGCTACACTCAGTCTGTTGCTGTTGTGTCCTTGGGCAAGACATTTAACCCACCTTGCTTGCCTGCTGGTGGTGGTTGGAGGGACCAGTGGTGCCAGTGTACGGCAGCCTCGCCTCTGTCAGTGCACCCCAGGGCAGCTGTGGCTACAGTGTGTGAATGTGTGTGTGAATGGGTGAATGACTGATTGTGTTGTGAAGCGCCTTGGGGGGTTCCAGGACTCTAGAAGGCGCTATATCAAATACAGGCCATTTACCATTTCAAACCCATTAGGATCTCAGAGGGAATCTAAAAATAGTCATCTGTTGAATTTGGCTGTAAATGCCACTGATAATTCATCTAAACAAGCACCAACACACACACACACAAGTCTAGCATTCATTGTGAGGCCCCGTCATTGACTTCCATTCATTTTAGTGACTGGATTGTGCCTAACACCTAACCCTAACCCCACATCTAACCCTAACCAGTCTACTCCTCACCCTAACCTCATCTAAAACTTAATTCACACCACACCTCTTAAAACTAACCAGTAGAGCTCTGTAACATTGTCCCATAAGTGAGGACCAGCAAAATGTCCTCACTTTGTTACCAACGTCCTCAGTTTGCAGGTAAACTCTTGTTTTGGTTCTCACTTTGATGTATAGACCAGTACGTACGCGCACGCACGCAAAACATGTCAAAGGTACCTCTTTGAAGAAAGCTGTGGTGAAGTTTCCTCCTTCGATGGCCATATCTCCCAGCATCCTCTTCTGGTTGGCCTTCTTCAGGATGTTTTCCTCCACTGTACGCTCACTGATCAACCTGTAAACAGAAAACAGGGTTTGATTTTCTAACATGAAACAAGAAATATTCTCTTTGAACATCTTAGGTGTGTTCTTGCTGTGTATTAGTTCTAATTCCATGCTGTCGTTCTTTTTTTTAAACACAGAAACGGTGCCGGCGAAACATAGCGACAAAACAGCTAACGAAACCGTTTCTGTGTTTAAAAAAAAGAACGACAGCATGGAATAAGAAATATTCTTTTTTTCTCTCCCATATTATGCATGTTTGTGATTTAGTTGTATATTTACAACCAGAATATTAACTAAACAGCGATACAATAAGGAACCTGAACCTAAAATATTAAGCTTCAAAATTTCAGCAACAAAGTGCAACATCCCAAAAACTTTTCAGTTTTTTTTTATAAGATTAAAAGCATCAGATAAAACAAATAAAACCCGTCTTATCTGTGAGCAGCAGCCAACAGCTGATCAGACTGCTTGAGAGTAGCCAACGTTGTCTGCTGTCGTGTCTTGTACGTGTTGGAGAAGCTGCAAGGCTGCTTCCTGGTTCACAACTCCTTTCCCTTTTTTGAGCACCAGCTGCTGGTATTTCCATAATATTTCCTTAATAACCGATGCTTTCATCCACCTCAACAACCCTATACTACAATTCCTTAAAGTTTCTGTGCAGTTTAAACCAACACATTCTTGTGAATTGTGCAGCAGCAGTCATCAAAGGTAAGAGATGGTTGGATCCTCCCTGCTTGTAGTTATAAAATTTCTTTTTCGCTATTATTTCTGTCAGACACCAAATTTTATTATGTTTGAGTTCAATCTGCCCTGACAGGATTGATTGGATCAGATCAGATTTTGTAACCGGAAAAATATATTTCTTAAAAAAAAAATTATGCCTTAAAGGCTTCTTTTTATATTAAAAGTTTTATTTTTCCTCACAATGTTTCTACACAAATTCTGTAAAGCCATTTGTGCAAAAAGAACAAACAAAACAACTGTTGCATTTGTTATTTGTTGAGAGTATGGTTTTAAATCAGTAAAAAGGCCTTTATGGGGTAAGTTCTGATTTTGTGTGTGTACACAAGTCACCTGTAGATGTGGACATCTCGGGTCTGACCGATACGGTGGCAGCGGTCTTGTGCCTGGGCGTCCATGGTGGGATTCCAGTCGCTGTCGTAGAAGACTACAGTGTCAGCCCCCGTCAGATTAACTCCAACACCCCCACTTCGAGTAGACAAAATGAAGCAGAAGATGCGTCTATCTGCATTGAAGCGCTCCATCAGGGCCTGTAACAGAAGGTGAACAAACAGTTAGCATCACAAGGACATCCAGGATGTTTTATTTGACCCCAAGACTATATAAAGAAAAAAAATACCTGTCTCTGCTCCACTCGGGTGCTGCCATCCAGACGGAGGTAGATGTGCCCGTGGTAGTTGAGAAATTGCTCCAACACATCTAACATACGCGTCATCTGAGTGAAGATCAGCACTCTGTGGCCTCCAGACTTCAGTTTTCTTAGCAAAGTGTGGAGAGTCTGAAGTTTACCTGCAAACAAATGACATTTTTAAGAAAACAGAACACAAGAGATTCGTTTTCTTTTTGATAGCTGGCACCTTATTAAGTGTAGAACCACTTCTTTTGTTTCTATGTTTGATCTCTACCTTTCTGCAGTTATTTTGTGCCTGCTGCAGGAACAAAATAAGTTTGTTTAATAGATCAAATACCCATCACAAAACTCAATGAGCCTGAAAGAGTAGAGGTGTTTAAAATTAGGATTTTACAGTAAGTAAAAAATGAAGTCAGTTTGTTTTTATGTGGAAAAAAACAAATCTGGATGCAACCTGCATCAGACAAGCATAATGAATATTAGAAAACTTGTAAATTTGCAGTGAAACTCAATGAAAATTATATGAAACTGGATCATTTCATCAGAAAAATGCTGAAAACCTTTTTCTACAAGACCCAAGGCCAACTCATCTCCTGCTCTACCTCTTTAAAAACACTTTGGTAAAACTTTAGTTTTTTAAGCACAAATCAAATTTGAGCCAATGGGAACAAAACGACTATTAAAAACGATTGCTACTTTTTTTTTTTTTGGCTCAGGTGACTTTACTGGAAAAAGGTGAACTTGCAGAACTTTCCAAACACCTGAGTAAACACAGCTTGTTAGCATAAAGTCAAGAGTTTTATCTACACTTTATTCAAAGGCTCAGTTTTTTCCTTGCATTTCATAAAGCTGCTGAATACATCTCTCCTGCATGTTGTAATTAAGAACCAGCAGGGCTACTGAAAATAACTTGGGATAAATGTCAAATGAAGACTGATCGTTTCTGTTGATGACTCACCACAATCATACTGAATTAGTCTCAGGTCAGGGAACTGAGTCCTCATGTTGCAATGGATGCGGTGGAGGCTGCAGGTGAGCGGAGCGACCTGAGCTGATAGCACAGAGGAGAAGACTGCCTGTTTGTGGCTTAGAGATGGCGAAGGATGGCAGCAGTGCATGGAGATCCGAGGAGCCTCCACAGGAGGAATCGCAAAAACAAACCTAGAAAAACGGCAGCTTTACAAACTCTTCTGATGACACAAATTTTGTCACTTAGAAAACATTTAACCAATAATCTACCGGTCTATTATTTCACTGAGGAGCTCCAGTCTTTCCTCGATGCCGTTGATGGCTCCACTTAAAGCAGAACTCTGAAACCAGTGGTTGTTCCTGTTTTGCCAACATGTGAACAAACAGCTGCTGTGGCCTGAGCGGCTCCACTCCCCGGCAACCTTCGGCATTGCCGGGGATGGATCAGGACCGGGAAGAAAAGTCAGAAAGTCCAGAACCTCTCGACCATACACAGGTTTTGCTCCACATCGGCGTTCGTTGACCTGACAGATGAAATCCAGTCGGCTCTGGTGCTGCTGTTTGAGGCTTTCAGATAGCCATGGCTGTCAAAAAGGAGAAAAAAGAAGTAGGTGAGAGGCTGGAAGAAAAACTGGTCATGTTTTTACCAACTTTACAAAATGTCTGTTTCATAAATCAGATTCTAGGTGAGGTGGGACAAACTATCAACATGGGCCCTCATTCATCAACCTTACTTACACACAGGTCAGTGCGTATTTGGCGAGTAGGAATAATTTCACGCATTGTGTGGCATTTACAATTTTGTTAATCCACCCATCTTCTTCCGCTTATCCAGAGTCGGGTCGCGGGGGCAGTAGCATAAGTCATGAGGCCCAGACTTCCCTCTCCCCAGCCACTTGGGCCAGCTATTCCAGGGGAGTCCCAAGGCGTTCCCTGGCCAGGTGAGAGACATAGTCCCTCCATCGTGTCCTGGGTCTCCCTTTAGGCCTCCTCCTGGTTGGACGTGCCCAGAAGGCCTCACCAGAGATGCGTCCGGGAGGCCTCCTGACCAGATGCCCGAGCCACCTCAACTGGCTTCTCTCGATGTGGAGGAGCCGCGAATCTACTCCAAGACCCTCCCGGATGACCGAGCTTCTCACCCTATGTCTAACTCCTCCTTTCCACTGGAGCAGTCAGCAGCAAGTTACCGCAGCAGCACGTCTTGCTCGCGTATGCTGCTGCTCGGCCTTTCCCACAAGACGCGAAGCAACAGGGGAGCAGCTGTCACTGACGGAGCACGGTCACGCAACATTAGCAAAATCACAAGTGACTTCGTCAGTAAACACAACAACAAGCAGGCGAAAACTACAACATGGCTCACATAACTCACCATCTTGCCCCAAAACCGCAGATACGTCACTCTATGCGTTATCCTTCTCGACTTAAGTAAAGCAACAAGAAGGCAGTATGTTTCTTTATTCTGAAAATCTCGGGAAGCTTCGCTCCGTTTCTGCATCCGATTTCCTGTCTTTCCTTCCCCAAAAATGTTGAACTTGACCCGTTTCAGAGGCGTAGCGCGTAGAAAATAGAACCGGTGCGTAAGGGCCGCGACATGCTGCTCCTGAGACGCGGCCGACTTGCGCTGCTGACGGCTGCTGACGGCTCCGGTAGAAAGGAGGGGTAAGGGAGAGCCCAGCCACTCTGTGAAGCCACTCATTTAGGCCGCTTGTTTCCGCGATCTCGTTCTTTCGGTCACCAATTTTGTTAATGTGTGTAGAAATGTTCCTAAATACAAGAAAGTCTCAGACGTTTGTACGAGCAGCATCTAGTGGACAACTTTTGTTCCTGCGCACACCTGTAGTTATCGTCCATTTATCGTTATCGAGGTGAAATCCTCATTATATTGTGATATTAATTATAGGCCATATCGCCCAGCCCTAAATAACACAACAGAACATTTGATCCATTACTCCACATTTTTTCATGTTCAGTTTTATTAGGAATAATTTTTTCTTAATTTCTAACCGTGACAACTCCTCTGTCCCAACTGTGTTTACCTCCTCTGCAACATGTTTGGCTCTTTTTTACTTCAGCGAACAGTGCCTTGATCTCGCTGTCAATGAAGTTGTTGTTTTTTTCCTGGGAAGAATGCTGGGATGTCTCTAATTGAGGGCATTTCTGTATGTAAATGATGGTGAACGAACACAAGCACCTGAGTAAGCGCAGTTGGGATTTATCATCGCTTTCATAAATCAGGATTTTAGCCGTTCATACGAACATTCAAATTTAATTCGTTCGAAGGAATACAGAACAGCTCCTACAAATGTTTGATACAAGAGGCCCTGGACACTTAGTAATAGGATTGCAACAGCTACTGAGGCTTAAAAATATAATAGAGACTGAACAGAAGTTAACAGAGATCTTAACATGTGAACGAGTGAAGGAAACAGTAACTTTTAAAGCTCTATAACCTCAAATGGCATTCACAGCAGCACCTGGCTCATATTGGTCCAAAAGCTGGACGAATATACCACCTATTTCTCTGCAGTGTCGATCAATTAACAATAACACAACTTCCTGCACAAACCTGCCAGGAAATTGTAATACAGGTAAACTAACCCTAAAATGTACTTTAAAGCTTCAGACTTGGTTTGATTTGTCACAATAATCTGTTTCTTTGGGGGCAGCAGTAGCTCAACAGGTTGAGCGGGTTGTCCAGTAATCGAAAGGTTGCAGGTTCGATCCTGGCTCCGGACAGAGAATTCTGCTGTTGTGTCCTTGGGCAAGACACTTAACCCACCTTGCCTGCTGGTGGTGGTCAGAGGGACCGGTGGCGCCTGTGCTCGGCAGCCTCGCCTCTGTCAGCGCGCCCCAGGGCAGCTGTGGCTACATTGTAGCTCATCACCATCAGTGTGTGTGAATGGATGAATGATACACTGTAGTGTAAAGCGCTTTGGAGTTCTTACTCTGAGAGGCACTATACAAATGCGCCTCATTTATCATTTAACATGTCATTATGTTAATTTTAAAGTTTATAAACAAATTTCTACGTATGAGTAAATGTGGATTTTTAGCTGAGGTTTGAGTCTTACCACATAGAAAGGTGAGCGAGGAGGTGGACGGGGTAGCCTCCTGGGTGGAGGTTTAGGTTTTGGACGCACAGTGGGCTTCGACTTTGTGGAAACTGGTGTTTGACAGCTGCTGGTACTGTCCCGTGGTGCTGCTGAGGACTTGGACACAGATGCAGCTGCTTGAGGTGGAACTGAGGACAGAATAAAGAGCAACGCAGACAATCCATGTAAAATCAAAACTAGTAGTGGTTTTAATATTATTTAATTATTAATATTTTTGGCTTCATTTCAGAGAATCAATTTCTTGGTAATCAGGAAGGTTGAAGAAAAAAAACATATGGGTTATACGAACATATTTTACCAACGTGTCTTCTGAGTGACTAAAAAACATAAAACCTGATCAGGTTTTAAACCGCTGGAACAGGCTTGAAGGAAGAGGATTTGCTTGTAGACATGCTTATAAAGCTGGGAGAGGAGAGTTGAATGAAGCGAGCACTCTCACCTGGCTGCACTGTACTGGGTGGAGGTGGCTGCACTACTTTGAGAACAGGACGGGGGGCTTGGGGCTGGTTTGGGGTTGAACCTGGGTGTCTGGGAGGAGCTATGGTGTAGTGGGCAGTAGCAGGACCAGGTGTGCGTGGGGCAATTTGTAGCGGCACTGTGTTTCTGACAGGTGTAGTGTTAGTGTGTGGGTGCAGGGATGGGGCTGGTGCCTGGGGAGCAACACGTGGGGAAGGGGCCACTGCCAGCGTGGGCACGGGTCCGCCCTCCTTGCCTGCTGACTGACGTACAACGATCTTCACCACTCCAGGGCTGCTCACCATAGAAGAGGATACTGAAATCAAAGGAAGCTTAAATTATCTCCAACAGGTTAAATGATGAAAATTTTTGGGATTTAAAATTGTGAGGGGAGTGGCTGAATGTCAATAAGATGGTAACATTTTTAAGATACCTTGAGGTGAGGCACTGAGTGGCAGCTTGTTTACAGAAGAAGCAGCAGGTGTGTTTGCAGCATGTGCACTGGTTGTTGTCTGCACAGTCAGTTGAGCAGGCTGGCTGATGAGGTGATGCTGCACCCCACTAGACACCAGGTGCATCACATTACCTGCAGAGACGAGAAAACCAGTCCTTTCATTCTTTTTCTATAACAGCTTCTTCGTGTGAAGATGGCGGGGTGCCACTGCCAGCAATCACAGAGTAAGAAATGTAACTAAAGGAAACGTCCTGAATGAAATGTTAGAGTAAGAGCTAACCAAATTCTCTAAATTAACTTTTTGCAGTAGCATCATTCAAAGTAACTTTTAAACAATCTGATCAAACAGTGTCAACATAAATAAATGTGAAGTCACTACTGTTGGTTGCACAACCAACCCACAACAGAGGACACACCCTGGACTTGGTCATCACGTATGGTCTGTCCACCGGTGTGTCCTCTGTCGTGGATTTAGCGATCTCAGATCATTTCTGTGTGTTTTGTAACATCACCAGCATAATTCAGCAGGAGACTTCTGTGAGAACTGTAATGAAACGCCATCTAACCCCTGAAGTGGCTGCTGGTTTTCTGGAAACTTTTAAAAAGATGCCTCCTATGAATTTAAATGCCCCCTGTGATTTTATCTTCAGTGATTTTAACAGTAGACTTAAATCTACTCTGGATTTGCTCGCTCTGCGTGTGTGTGTGTGTGTGTGTGTGTGTGTGTGTGTGTGCGCGCGTGTGCGGGTGAGTGTACGTTCACCTTGGAAATTGGTTGCGGGAGGGGAAGTGTAATTGTCAATTGTTTTATACTTGGGGAGGGGGACTGGGATGGGAATATGGGATCTGTGGGGCCATTTTAATCTGTGAAGCACTTTGAGTTGCATTTTTTTTGTATGAAAAGTGCTTTATAAATAAAGTTGATTTAATTTGATTTGATACTGTAAATGGATATTTTCTCTGTTTAGTTTACATGTTTATTTCAGTAGTTTCCTGCTTGATTCGACACCTTGATTTACCACAAAAGTTATGTTTTATGCTGCTGATGTAAATAAACAGAGAATTCATATAAATAAGACTATGTTCACACTGCAGGTCTTAATGCTCAATTGTGATTTTTTTTTTACTAAATAGACATTTTTGAGTGGTTGTTCTCATTACAGGTAGTTTGGATTGGGGTGGGAGATAAACTTGGTTTTTAGATCCATCGAGATGAGAACACGAACGATTATCAATTTTAAAAAAGTAAAAAATCTATTTTATTAATGATGAGGCGCTAAAGAGGAACTCAGCTAAAAGGAAGTCTGGTGCTTGGACAGAAAGGTTACAGTATGCACGGGACAACATGGCTGACTGAGGAATAGGGCCAGCACCACCAACATTAAAAGCAAGCGTATGGAATTACTTTGGTTTTCATGAGTTTGAGGGGGAAAGGGACCTGGACAAAAGCCATACGGTATTAAAGTTGTGTAAAAAAATACTGAAATATTTTGGAAACACAAAAAACATGAGAAACCACATTGATCGTTTTCACCCGGAGGAGGAGAAACAGACACCGGTAGCTGCGGCTGCCGCCACCAACCAGAAAACTATTGAGCAGGCGTTTGTTAAAATTTCCACCAAACTCGGAAAGGGCGAACAGAATTACAAAGCACATAGCAAGTTTTATGGCGAAAGATTTGCGTCTGTATGCTATTTTGTTCCTGTTTTATGCATTTATACATTTAATTCAAGTTCTTGTCAAGGGTATTTATACTCAAAATTTTGTTGTCTAATCGTATTTATTTTTTGAAAAAGAACAGTTATTCATGTTCAAATTAATTGGACATCCAGCATTATTTTGTTTGGAAGCCGTTAATGACAGCACTTCTTTTCTTTAAAACATTGCACTGACACTTATGTTAATGAAAGATATTGGAAGTAAATTAATGTTTCATCATTATAAATGTTTTTCTCAAGTACCACGTAATCACTTGACAGCCAGGTGAGGGAGGAGAAAGATGCATCAATAATCGGAGCTTCCTGAATCGTAATCGAATCGTGATGTTCCCGAAGATTCCCACCTCTAATTTGGATGTGAAATCCTTCATTGATTGCTCATAAACAATTTCAGGATCACACCTGTCAAGTCTCCAAATTTTGCCTAGAAACTATTTTAAAACCTAAAAACTATTATTCTCCTTATTCCCGCCATCTTGGCATTTTGGTGTTTTCCCTGAAAATGTTCCCGTGTTAGGCTAAAGGGATATTCCACCCAAAATTGAAATTTTGTGGGTTGACATATTTCCCAGAGTTAGATAAGTGGGGAAACAACTATTTTTAACCAGCCCAGTCATTCTCCTGACCCAGCTGTACTTCTTTAGCTTAGCATAAAACACAGTTAGTGAATGTATCCAACTAGCATTGTGAGTTAAAACATTCTTAAAATCCCTCAATAGTGATCTCAATTCTGCTCTGTGACCTAAATAATCAGACTGATTGCAAGTAAGAATAATTAGTAACATAAAGGAATCACAGGCACCATTTTAGATGTGGGATTATTTTTTGACAAAGCACAGCTGTAAGCCTCAGCTGAAAGGTGCAAGGCAGCCCCAAAGTTGCTGTGTAACACCAACCTTGAACAGGGCGTGGGACAGCTGCTGGGACTTTGTGGATATGAGCTCCAGACAGAGTCAGTTTGTTTCCTTGAAGCTGGAAGGTGACGGGTTTGCTACCCTGACACGATGACACCGGTCGCCCTGCTAAAGAGGCCAGCTGGGCAATGCTCACCACCTCACCCGCTTCAAAAGAAAAAGATAGGTAAGAAGACGTCACACCCACACAAATTGAGCTGCATCAAAATAAAAGTTTTAAGAAGATAAAACTTCACAAAAATCTATGAACTCACAAGGCAGCCTTGCTTGCATGTCAGGACTGAGTAAAACTCGCTGGGGCATGATGCTGCCGGGGTTTGGACTTGGGTGAGCTGGAACACTGGCTGCACCAGGAACACTGGGAGGTCTCACAGTCAACACTGGTTTTGGGGTGCTGGATCTCACAGCTGTTTGAGGAGCAGGATTCACCAGAAGGCGAGGTGGGGGTATGGAGGCCACAGAACACACCACTTTAATAAAAAAATAAATAAATCAGTTAGCATGCCACGTAAAATACAACTACTGACACAATTACTCAATCAGAATCAGATCAGAATCAGATTAGGTTTATTGCCATTGTCAGTGAACAAACAATTCACAAACTAGGAACTTGCTTCGGTTCTAACGTGCTACATATAACATGAATAATATAATTAAAAATAGAATAAAGTAGAATAAAATATAATAAACTAGCATAAAACTTTGCTATAAAAATGGCAGGTAATGGTAATATGGCCGATAACGTGACGTTATGTCAAGTACCGAAGACGAGCACGGTTGTGTGTTTATAAGCTGTTCACAAGTCTAACGGCAGATGGAAAGAAGCTGTTCTAATGGCGGGAGGTTCTGGTCTGGATTGACCGTAACCTCCTGCCTGAGGGAAGCGGCTCAAAAAGTCTGTGATCCGGGTGAGAAGGGTCAGCTGCTATCCGACCTGCACGCCCCCGAGTTTTGGAGACGTACAGGTCCTGGAGAGATGGAAGGCTGCAGCCAATCACCTTCTCAGCAGAGCGCACAATGCGCTGCAGTCTATTTTTGTCCCTCACTGTGGCTCCAGTGTACCACACAGTGATGGAGGAGGTGAGGATGGACTCAATGATGGCCGTGTAAAACTGCACCTTCATCTGGTATCATTTTTAAAGGTATTTTCTTCCTGAAACCATTAATGCTTTTTGTTTAGTCATTGTTATTTATTTTTACTTGCCTTGCTGAACTGCAGGAGGAGGTGCTGGAGCTGAGGAGATCTCGGAGACCGGAGGGGATTTAGGGGTCTGAGCTGCAGGCGGAACTGAGCAGGTGGGTTTGTTCATCAGCACAACGGATCGATTATCACCTTTGGGAGGTGGTTGAAACGTTCTAAGATGAAAAAGGAATATTTGTTTTACACTCATCAACTCATGGATTCACTCGTAGGGCTCTTGTATTACACTTTTTTTTTCTTAATGACTTGAACACCAGATTCAAGATAGCTTAAGCCACATTTTGATTATTTATTTAGGACAGTTTTCATACGTCATGACGGATGTCTTCATGACATATGATGGATGACATACTGAGTTAGGTTAAATAATGCTGAAGTCCATTCAATCTGACCAGACTGAGATCTGCTGCAAAAAATATATGGCTGAATACTGTAGCTACAGCTCATACCTGTTGACTTTCATGCGGACCGGTTTAGGTCTCGGAGGGGGTTCAGGAGACTCCACTATCTCCTGGATTAGCTGGCGGCTGACCTTGTGGCGAGGTAGAAAGGCATCTGCCTGGTAACGGGACACGCGACTCTCCAAGCCAACAAAATCAAACATGGAAAGATCGCAGCGCTGCAAAAGATATAGAAGATGGGGGGTTGCTACTCTTGGAAAACGTTTATGCTTCATTTATTTTATATTTTTCTAAATTTTCTTTGCTGCCAACCTTTAGAGGAGGAACATCCAGAGCGTCCTGCACCAGGGAGGCTGTGCGGAAAATAATGGGCTGCGTAATGAAGGGCGACTGGATTGGACGAGGGTCAAACAGGTTAGGATGGTTGCACACCTTACGGAGCTGCATGAGGATGTTAATCACAGACATGAAGTGACCGCTGGCCAGTGTTTCCCGAGTCCTGACAATGAAATGGATAACAAGATAGCTTAGATCAAATAAACAAATAATGTTTGCAGGAGAAACGAAACATCAAGGTAAAGTGGGTGTACGTTTGTTAAAAAGAATCACTTATAAAACATGACATTAAATATTCCTGTTGAGCATCACCCTTATTTACAAAGCTATTTCATTCAATATTAATGTTCTTCTTTTGAACATAATCATTCAGGAACTCACGAGGCTTGAGCCATGAAGTCGTCATAGAGAAACCTCTGCCTCTTGGAGAGGCGACAGCGAACCACATGCTCGTATTTCTTGGGCATCTGCTTCTCGACGTCTGCCTTGATCCTCCTGAGCAGAAATGGTCTCAGCACCTTGTGGAGCCTCTTCACCAGGCCCTCGTTGTACTCCTGACTCCCCTCGATCATTCCCGTCAGCGGGTTGGAAAACCACTCCTTGAATTCGCGGTGAGACTGGAAGACGTGGGGCATCAGGAAGTGCATGAGTGACCAGAGCTCCATTAGGCTGTTCTGCAGAGGGGTTCCTGTCAACAGCAGTCGCCGGTGGCTGTGACAAGGTTAAAAAACAGGATTGGACAAAGATCCCAGAATTTATTTTATCAGACGAAATCAAATTTTAAATGGTTTATTTTTGTTTTGCTTTTGAATGTTTCACATCGCTGGTACTCTCACTTTTGTCCCTTCAGCAGTTTTTGCAGTCTCACATTCAGCAGATTTAAGATTGTGCAGTTGGCACCAGCATCACTTCTGATTTTACATCTGTATGTCTCTGTCCTTCATCCAACAGCATCAGGCTCTTTCATTACCATCATTAGTAAAGAGGTTTGTGCCTTGAGTAAAAACAGACTTCTATTGTTAAACAAGGGTCCAATCTTTACAAACACTTAAAGGGACTTTACGGACTTTTGAATTTTTATTGCCCCCTCAGGCCAAAAGTGTAACGGCAGCTTCAATAGTAGGCTCGTGCACGAGGCGCGCATGCTGTACTGATAGTAAATGCTACGGGCTATGCCTGAGCGTGAACGTGCATGAAGCAGCCTGCTCGACCCGAGCAGGCAATCACAGTAAAAATGCCAGGGCTCATTCTACAGGACCAGGACATTGCAGGAGAATGTATGAAGAAGACATTTATTATTTCTATACATGTTTTGGCTGTCAAACTTCCATAATGCCCCTTTAAGTAGTGATGCACCGATATGAGATGTTTGGGCCAATAACGATAACCAATATTAGGATCACTGTTATGTCCGATAACTGATATATGAATAATTAATGCTTCTAAAATCAACAGATTTTGTATAGAATGAAAATTATTAAAGCTGGATTTACATTATTATTTACACACAACACACAGTTACGCTTCTGAGATGATTACAATCACTGTCACATGACTAAACTAATATACGGCACACCCTCACTCTCTGAAACAGATAAACAAATGGAAACAAGATTGAAAAAAAAAAACAGTTGTTAATATCGGCTCGGTTTTATTCATCGGACCGATACTGATGTGTTAAAAAATGACTAACATCAGCCGATACTGATATTTTGTGCATCCCTACTTTTAAGATGAACAATTTATCCTCATTTTATTTGTACTCCGTAGGTTTAGTTAAGTTTTCTTTTTCCATTTGTATTTTCTATTAACTTATTTCAATACAAAGTTGCATAATTAGTTTTCCCTCTTTCTAACTTTTAGTTTGGCTACTTTTATTGCAGTATACCAATCTGGGATGCTCCGGTTATTTGAAATCTAATTTATAAGTTATTAACTGAGCACACCCTGCGATGGACTGGCTCTCTGTCCAGGGTGTACCCTGCCTGATTGCCCATTGACCGCTGGAGATAGGCACCAGCACCCCCCCCACCACCACCACCACCACCACCGCGACCCTGTGTGGACAGAGCGGGTTCAGAAAATGGATGGATGGATTAACTGAGCACCTTGTATTCACCTAAAAATATAACCAACCTGGTTAAAAAGATGCTTGAAGATGCAAATTTCATACATTTAATACCACTTTTTTAAGCTTTTAACTACCACGCCAAGAAAAAAAAAATACATCTCTGCGTTTCTTTTATTCACCAGAGGCAATGAGGGTGATTATGAAATAATGCAAATTAAAGAAATAATAAAGTAAATAAATAAAACTAGTAATAATAATACAACAACAATTATTATTATTATTATTATTTAAAACATGTATTCCAAACATTCCAGATTTATTTGGAAAAAATGTATTTAGTCATTTTCAGTTCATATTTACTCAAATTAAAGCCTTAATAAAGGCAGTCCTTATTAAATCATACTGCTAAATCAAAATCATGGTTTCCTGTTGCATCTATGCTGAAACATTAAGCTCAAGCTTGCAATTAAATTTTCACACAGCTGAATCAATTTTTAAAGTTGAAAGTTTTTGCAATGATTTTTCTGTGTGCAGAAATCTTGTATTTCAGATCATCACTGTGTCCAATGTACACACAGGTGCTCACTCTTAGTCTCCATCTGCTTCCTGTACATCATCTAAGAAGATCCTCACATAATAAAACTGTGAGCACCTCCTACTGCTGAAAGCCCCATCTGAGTGAGAAATGACCACCAGCTGGCGCAAACCTCCAGCCAAATGACGGCTAGTTAGGTTCTTTACAGACTTTTGGGAAAGAACAAACTGTTTCAAATGGTAGGATCAGTTCACAAAAACTTAATTTTCACACAGTACTACAGCCTGGAGAAATGGTTCATGGTTTTGGGCTATTTTAGATTTAAAAAAAAAACATTTTTTAAATAATTAAATAAATAAATAAAAATGTGTTTTTACAGCTAAACATTTTTTAATAGAAGTGCAGTGCATATGTTTGCTGGAAGAGAAATTTAGAATTTTATTTTTGTTTAATTTTGTATTTGTAGTTTGGTAGAGTGACGTATAAACGACCCATATTAAACATGGTTTAAGTGTTAAAAGGAGGCCTTCTCTTTGTTTCCTGGTGGTGCCCACCATTGTGGTAGCCTATTTAAGCAAAATGTTTTTTTCTGAACAAAGGCTACTGGGTTTCTTTCTTTTATGAGTTTGAGTAGGAAATGGTTCCCTTTCAGTCGATTCACTCAGTAAAACGAAGGTACTATGGGACATCATGCCCTCGTGTGGCCTGGCTGAAGACCGTTAATCATGCCTGAAAAGGCAAATGAGCCTGACGCAGGGTGATGGCTCCGCCCTCCACCTACAAGCCCCCAGCGTCACCAGCATTTTTCAGTTCTTATACTCTTCACCTCGCTGATAACACTTGAGAACAAATAAACTATCGTTAGCTATGCTACTGAAAAGTTAGCTTAACTGCTCATTGGTGTTGATTCTGTTGCCTTCTGGTCAGCTTTCGCCCATCGAGCGCTACCGTTTCGTGGCAGTTTTAGCCTTGTGCCTCCGTGCTCTTTTGCCCCTGCCGCTCCGCTCTGCGTCTCGCCATGAGCACCGTGTTGGACTCAGCTAGGCGAAAGCCTGCTTCGCATCCCTATTCTCAAGGCTGTGGGGTTTTTCTCCATGAGAAGCACCTGCACGAGGCCTGCCATGTCGGAATGTGGGTTATTCATGCCAACAGAGCGCTCTCAGACCTGGAGGTGTGCGATTTCTGTCGCCAGCTTCATTGTTCCACGCTCGATTGGCGTGTGAACTTCTTCCAACGTGTCTTGGGGGACACTGCAGGTTTGCAGCAGGACCTCATGCTCTCAGAGTCGGCTCCAGCGCCTTTGCACGGTTCTGACGTGGGAGGTCTAGTGATTGAGTTCCCCGTTGCTAGCTGGGCAGATCACATGGAGGTGACGGACAAGCAGACCGACCTGGAGATTTCCCAGTTCTCTCCTTCTGAGGAGAATGAGTAGGGCGTGCTGGACATTTGCCAACAGTCATGACCTGCCGGGGACTAGGAAACTCTTTGCGGTGGATTGTGTTACCGCTGCCTCAACTCCCGAACATCGGGAGGAAACTTCTTTTCTTCCGCTTTGCCGACGAGCGGCGGAGAAACTTAAAGTGGATTGGCCTGCTCATCCGCCGGACCAAATGGGTCCCATTTTGTTAGTTTTTTACCTCCCCACCGAATCGGCTGAGGTCAAAAACTTACTACCACCTTTCCCGGGCTTCGCGGCTGAGCTTGCGTCATACTGGGGGAAGCCACTGTCCATCTGCAACGCGGTGTTGGGCTATGGACAGTTCGTGGACCTCGATGGTGCCAAGAGGTTGGGGTTTGTGGACCTTCTCCCCCTTTGTAGCCCTTACTGGTAGCTTATTTGGCCTTGACTGGTAACAATGAGGTGAGTGGACCTGCCATTTCCCTCTACGTAGTGTGGGTTTTCCACCGCACAGCAGGAGAGGTTTCACAGTGCCCAGGTCTCTGCCGGTCTTCCAAGTCTCACTTTTAATCGGGTGAATTGGCTATGTTCGGTTGCCGATCAAACCCCTAGTCCCAAGAGACTTTGTTTACTGCCGCAGGTGGGTGAAAGTTGCACTGGTTCAACAGTTTTGAACAATGTTTCAATAAGACTGTAGTTTGCATTCAAATTAATGTCAATTTGACGTGTCTGAATGTTGCGGTTCAAACTGGTCACATAAGGCTGTGTCAGCCCACTTTGCTGCCATCTAATGGCTTAATTTTCTACACAACTCGTGTCTGCAGATGACTTCAAACAAGGCAGGGGAGTCCATTTTCTCATTTGGCTGGAAAACAGTGGCTCTCCACTGTTTGCAGACACGGAGCTCAGAACGTGTGTCGTCACTCACGGTGCCATGCCCTCCCGCTCCGCTAGAGGGCAACCGCACCACCATGACACCGTTAAGCAGCCAGCCTATTGCAAACCTTTCTCTGGCATGCATTGCGCTGTGTCCCCTTGGGTCAGTGCGTAGTTGCAGTGGGTTACTGCCGGTTACATTTCCGGGTCGGACAACCCAGGTTTACTGCTGTTGCGCGCACTATTGTGAATGCAGATGCAGTGTAATTAAACAATTTCACTTAAATTCGGAACAATTCACCTGAACGCACATTCCTTCAGCTCCGCGTAAACCTGAGATGCTCACCTGCAGCTTGTGCATACTCAAATGTCTCTAGGGAGCTTGCTGAATAAGTCATGAGGTTCTAGATGTTTGCCTCAGACAGACTCATGGATGTTTAAATGTTGTTCTGGATGAACACACTCAGCTGACACACTCAACGCAGGTGCTGAATAACGACGAGCGCTACTTCAGTCAAAGTTTTAAAACAGGAAACTTTTCTCCAACTGAAAAAACCAGAAGTCGTTCAGACTCTCTGAAAGATGAAAGGGTTTCCACTTCCACTCAACACCGCGCTGTTGTGTACAATATTGAGTGTGTCACAGACGCTCTCCGAGCCCCTCCTCAGCACACCGCATGCACGCCCACTGTCGGCAGCGAGATGGTGAGAAAATGCTCAGATGCGCTGACGGAGATCTTTTCTTGATCGTCACCTCTGCGATGTTTTCTGTGCGTAACGTGTAAAATATTTGTCATTAACAAAAATAACTCACGGGCAAACAAATAAATCGCCTCCTGCATAAATACAACCATAACGGCTCAGCCCATCGCCGATGGTTGATTCATTCGTCCCATGGCCCAACCCTAATTGGTTCTCACATTTGTCAAAAAGCCTTCACCAATAACATTTTTTTGACAAAAGCAACGACTGCACGGCCACGAGAAACTCCAACATCAATGTGAAGTTTGCGGACGACACCACAGTGGTAGGTCTCATCACCAACGATGATGAGACGGCCTACAGGGAGGAGATCAGCGCCCTGACCCACTGGTGTCAGGACAACCATCTCACCCTCAACGTCACAAAGACAAAGGAGATGATAATGGACTTCCGGAGGTGCAGAGGAATACACACCCCCATCACCATCAACGGCCACGCTGTGGAGGGTGAGCAGCTGACTGAGGATCTTACATGGTCAGTGCACACGAACAACACAGCAGCGCCTCTTCTTTCTCAGGAGACTGGAAAGGTTTGGCATGAGCCACCGCATCCTCAGGACCTTCTATCGCTGTGCTATTGAGAGCATCCTCACTGGATGCATCTCCACCTGGTATGGCAACAGCACCGCTTACAACCGCAAAGCTCTCCAGAGAGTAGTGCGGTGTGCAGAAAGGATTATTGGAGGTGAGCTTCCCTCCCTCCAGGACATCTACAGGAAGCGGTGCCTGAGGAAAGCAGGGAGGATCATCAAGGACTCAAGTCACCCCAGCCATAAACTGTTCAGACTACTTCCATCAGGAAGGAGGTTCTGCAGCATCCGGTCCAGAACCAGCAGACTGAGAGACAGCTTTTTCCATCAGGCCATCAGACTGCTGAACACTTCGCAGACACCTCACCTTCACTACTGAAACTCCAACATTACACACTCCATACTGTACATTAATGCCACTGTTTTGCACATATCAACCTCTGTACATTTTATATCTCTTATCTTATGGTTTACTTTATTAATTTGTAAAATATGTATATACACACTATACACACACGCACACACGTAGAAAAAAAATAAAAAATAAAATAAAATACTTAGCACACACATTTAGTAATGTATACACCTTACATACTGTACATATTATTACTTAAGACTAGCCATTTTTTATATTTTGCTTGTTTTTACGTTATTGTATTTTTGCACAACTCTGTTGCTGTGAAGCTCGCACACAAGAATTTCACTCGCATGTACTGTACCAGTGTACCTGCACATGTGACGTGACAATAAAAGTGATTTGATTTGATATTGGACCATCCAGTTATTGGTATCACCGAACCACTTCCCTGTGTCCTCCATTCATTACGCACTTGTGAGCAACAGAACACAACTGATTTAAGAGGTTCTCCGCTCAATAATATCAGAGAAGGTGAAACAGCCGGATGCTAGAACTTTAATTTTAGGACAAACTACCAAACTACAAGAGTCCCAAAAAGAAAAACACCATTTGAAGTCACAGATAACAAATGATGTTTGGACCTAGAAAACAGTAACAGGTGTAACGCACGACCTTGTTTCTTCCGACAATGCGGGTTCTGGTTCCAGAGGACGTGGCCCGGGAATGACGGTCGACAGGAGGGTGAGTGTTTAGTGACTGTGTGTTTAAAAGGTAGCTTGTTTTGTAGATTTGCTATAGCAGCTTTAACAAATAATATCAGACAGCAAACAAAAGAAGAGCACTTTGTTTTAGAGTGAAGAGCCTTATGATGAATGATCTTTAGCCGCACTATATCAAGACAGAAGCTGCTGCCATTCTGGCATTTAAATGATGTTTAGTTTGAATCATGATGTGCCTCTACATTATATCAGAGAAACAATTAGGACTGTAAAACATAATTTTGTCCTCTGTATGCAGAAACATGAAAATGATTCACATAAAGTGCAGTAACGACAGATGGGGAAAATGTCTCACCAAAAACACAAAGCCACCAGGTTGATATGAGGTTTTAGACTAATCATGTGTCCAAGACTGTAAATTCTCCAAATTCAGCACCAAAGCACTGAAATGTCTGTGTTTAAACTAGCAGGGATGAAATTCTACTAACGCATTTAATCTCAGACTACAAACCTGTTGAAGTTCAGCAGGCTCTGCCATCGCTGTGACTTGAAGTTTTTAATGTTCTGAGCCTCGTCGAGGATCAAATAGCGCCAAGACTTTCGTCTGAAGGCCTGATGATCCTGCAGAACCAGCTTGTAGGAAGTTATGCACACATGGAAGGCATTAGGTTTTGTCCAGCCCTGAGAACAGAAACAGAGCACTTCTCAGTTTTCAGTACTGACATTTTCAGTTTGTTCTTTTTAAGGAAAAGTCACTTGTTTCAATTTACTTCTGTGATATGTTCACTACCTGGACCATTTTGAACTGTTGTCTCTGCAGGATGTTAAATCAGTCACTGAATATATAAACAGGCAGGCCAAAAGCAGAGAAGCTGTTTGATTACCTGTCTCTTCAGCTTTCTCTCCTTTTGACTGCCAAAGTAGGTGAGGATTTTAAAGCCTGGACACCAGCGCTTCAGCTCCATCTCCCAGTTTAGCATCACACTAGTGGGAACAATAATAAGATGGGGACCCCAGTTTCCTAAAAGTAAACAAATAAAAACACCCAACACTTATCACATCAAGAATGTATAATAAAAAATAGAAGTTTAGGAGAAAGTAGCTCTCACAGGAAGAACTCTGTTACCTTTTTCACAAGCGAGGTGAGCCAGCAGAGCGATGGTCTGGATGGTTTTACCCAGACCCATCTCATCAGCCAGAATCCCGTTGAGTTTCTTCTCATACATGGTGACTAGCCAGTCCAGCCCGATGTGCTGGTATTCTCGCAGTGTGCCATGTAGCAGGAACGGGATGGGGGTCTTGACCTTTAGTTGGGAAATGAGAAACATTAACAGTCCAGAACAGAAAAGTTTTAAATAGATGAACATGTATTGAGTGTAAGCCGGACCTTTGTGGTAGCCAGAGTGTAACCTTTAGGCTGGAGGCTCTCTGCAGTCGCAGCTATATGGCTGATCTCTTTCTTTGGCCGAGAGCTGGAGGAAGGCGGACTGAGGCCCCCCTCTTTCAGCAGAAGCTCCATCCCTTCATCTTCACACTCATTATCCTCTTCATCACACTCCCCATCATCATTGTCGGTCTCATCATCTGCACTGTCTCCAGCTGAATCTTAAAGACACACATTGGTGAACCCAAAGCTTTTACATCTGTGTCTTTAGTGAAAGCAGATAAACTCTGACTGCGTTAGTACCGGAGGAAGAAGAGTTGCTCTCCACATCACACTCGTCTTCTTCATTCTCCACCTCCTCGTCCCCAGACACCTCAGAATCAGAGCTTCCTTTAGACACAGAAGCAGAAGGAGCCTCGAAGTCTGATGCATAAGCTCCTTTGTACTTCTCCAGTAGCTCTTCCAGACTTAAATCTCCTGAAAGAGAAGCAGATGTGTCAGGGCAAAAGCGAACCCTTTCCGTTTATAAATACAGTCCGGCTTCAGATAAATGAAACCGTATTCACACCAAATAAAAATAGGTAACAAACTCATGTTATGGAGAAGGGTTGGAACAGAAGCAGTTTCTTTTAGAAAAATATCAGTTTTAAGAGCTCTATAATATTCATTAAAACCTCTTAAATCATGAAAACAGAAGGAAAACACTTACCCTCTTTAGCCAGGTCATCCAGTTCTTCAGCATGATTGACATTTCCTTCTACCCTTTCTTGGGCTGCTATAGTGTCTTCCTCATCCTCAGCTGAACACACAATGTGAAATTTATTTTTCAAAAATAATGAAGAAAGAAAAAAGACATCATGAAACTTCATTGCATTTAAAGAACACTCAGTTTTCCTGTTTGATTTATCCTCATTTCCAGGTGTGAAACTATAAAGAATAATCTTACCATCCTCATCGTTAGCAGTGAACTCCCGGTCTTCCTCTTCCTCCTCTGAAGAAGATGATGATTCATTGGAGCCTTCATCATCTGAGCCGGAGTCCTACAAGCACGACGGTAATTACATACAGAACTTAAAACTTCAGATTGTCTTCAGCTTTATAGATTTATTACCAAACATTACAAACAAACACTAATTGTGAGTTTAAAATGAGGTGAAAACAAATTTAACTAGAATAGCATTAAACAAACCTGCTTACAAGGGCTACTTTGAGAATAAACGTAACATGAAGGGGTCCCAGTGATGTTAAATAAAAAATGAAAACCTGGCTCTTCAGTAGATATTTGTACACGTTTTGTCTGAAAGCATGCGCTGGTACCTCTGGAGGTGGGAGCTTAAGCGTGCTGAGCAGCTGGTCCAGAGGCAGCGTGCCCTCTTCCTTCAGCAGTTCAATCTCCCTCTGATGGCTCTCTGCATCGTTGCCCTCCTGCTGCTCCTCCACTTCTATGGTCTCTTCATCATCATCCTCTTCACACAAAGGCTCAAAGTCTCGGTCTGCATGAAAACATGATGGTTTTGTATTAAACCAGGACTTTCCCCTTGCTACAGGTTTAAATCCAGGACATTTTCTAAGCCTTCATTTTTTTTCTTTTTAACTGAAGGAACTCGGCTGAACAGAGTTCTGTGAGAGGGAGGTAGAACAGTCTCAACCATGTCCGACTGAGTATTTATGAAGCACTATTAACACTTTTCTCCATCAATCTCAGGCTTTATATCCACAATAGTTCATAAAATCCATTTAGTGATTAAAACAACAGCTGTTTCTGTTTGTCAACAAAACTTTCTAAGTCACACACAGTTTTAATTGGCAGGGGAGTTTTGTTTGGAGCCACAAAAGATTAAAACTGGGCCAAAAAACATTCAGCTCTAATTATTTCACAGCAGGTAGGTTTATAACGTCAATGAAAATGTTAAGAACACCCAGAAATTAAACAGATTTAGAGTCACTATAGCTGAAACACCTCCTGGTTTAGCTAAAGCAGCAGCTGATGTGTGAGCTAATCAGTAAAATAAATCAAACACTGGTTACAATCTAAGGTCCAAAGAAAACTAAATAGGTGAAATATTAAGAAGCATTGAGTGAAAACCAGCTGGAAAACTTCATTTCTGACCAACACACACTCTCTTGACAACCAAAAGGAGATTGGCCCAGAAAATAACCTCACATCAGTGGACTCAATTTCATTATTTCACCCTCCACCCAAGACCTTATTGAATACAGCAAACCTAGACTGAAATATAGGCTATAGTTTAGTTAGTAGAAAAGCACCTGTTGAGTTAGTGGTCTCAGCTGCAGGAAAAGCTTCCAGGATGCCTTTAAGTCTCTTTAGATGGCCGTAACTCAATATGCGTGTTCATCCGAACTTGTGTACTCATGTACTAGTGAAATGCCAATTGGCCCAAGTACTGTTCCAATCCTAAATATGCATCATGGCAAGTACTCTCAAAGTTCCTGGATGCGCTTTTGCAACACCTCCACACTTCTGCAATCAAATGTCAATGGCAACACCTGCAGCAGTCTAGTCTTGCAGGTTTGACGAGTGTCACCCCTGATGGGTGTCACACAGCATAGGGTACACATGGAATTTTACAGCCGAGACTCCTTTAAAAACAAATAAAAGCCCATCTGAGCTCAGGTAGTCAGGGGAACTTCACAGAACTTTGAGCACATAACCCAAAGTAACAGCGACCTTCGCAATTGATGAACAGCTTTTTGTTTCTGAAACATTTTACCTACGTGTGAACCATTCAGTCGCTGGTGTGTTGCTATGACAACATCCCTGTCTGATCCAATGAATCGGCTCTGAAGGCTCTCTTTAACATGTTGACTGAACCGAACGTTTTTTCATTTGAGGAGAAACATACCTTCCTCATCAACGGGAGGTGGCAGAGACTTTTGTGGTGACACAGTGGTTTCAGCAGGCCTGACGGGTGCCAAGGATTTACTGAGGAGGTCCGAGTATTTCTCGGTTTGACCAACAATGAAGTCGAGCTGAAGGTCCAGAGCCTTCTTCCGCTTCTCCTCCAGTCGGGACTGCTGCTTGAACTGTACCACCTTCAAGCACAATAAAATAAGACCGTTAGCCGATTTTACTTCAGACAAAAACAAAATACAGTAATCCCACGCTACTTTGCGGTTCGTTCATCGCGGATTCGCTGCTTTGCGGATTTTTTCTTTGGAGCATTTTTCAGGGGGAATTCGCAGATTCGCGGTATTTTTCACTGATTCGCGGTATTTTTCTATGCGAAATATCAAGAAATTCTTGGGTTTTTTTTCATCAATTTCATCATAAAATGCACTTTTTGTAATAAAACTAAAAAAAACAAGTAAAAAAATTTTTTTCTTGAGTTTTACCCACAAAAAGAGAATGTGATCATACGATAATTCAATATAGTACTGTATGTCAGACAGGTCGGCTGGATTCGGGAGCTGAGCTTGTAGGGAGCGTGGTTTCACAGACGCGGAAGTGATAGCGTCGGTGAAACGCCGGCTGATCTAGGAAACCCCCGAGCGTTCGAGCGTCAACGAAGTGACACGGAAATGCCGGGCTTTCCAGAAGTAAGTAAGATAACTTACTATGAGCTGATAGTTCGTTGGATTGATCGGTAGGTTGGAAACTCTGATCATGAATCTGAAGAAACGATTACTGAGTGGTGAGCTGGAAAGGTGACTTCCGTTTATAGCCGCGGTTTGTGACGTAGGTGCGACGTGGAGGGAATCCCCGCGAGGGGCATGCTGGGAGTCCCTACTTCGCGGATTTTCACCTATCGCGGCCAGGTCTGGAACGCATCTACCGCGATAAACGAGGAATTACTGTACAAGCTGAATATATTCACAACAATTCTACACACACAAAACATGCCACAAGTAAGAAATAAACAAAGATCTCACCATGACTTTACCCATTCTGTACTGTACCTTCTCTACGTTGCTCCAGAACGCCCGCACTTCCTTTGCAATAGAAGAAGCTACTCTCCTGATTTTGGCATGCTCATCTCTTTTGGCTTTCTCTTCTTTTTGCCTCAGGTCCTCGTGGTGGCGCATCACCATTCGTACCACCTAATAACAAATCAACAGAACACATCTAGAACATATACAGCGTACATCATCAGAAAAACAGTGTGTGACTAATATTTTAGGAATATAAAATCCACCGATCACACCTCTGCGATAATTAGCAATCCTACCTTTCTCGCCACCCCTCTCTTCCACCGCCTCTCTTGAGCAAAGTCAGCAGAGAGCCACTGCATCTCCTCACACAAGTAATCCCAGTGAACTTTGGGTCGCGGTGGCTCCGTTAGACGAGTGAGACGCTTCATTGACCAGAAACCTTCTCGTTTTAGAGCCTGAGATCGATGTTCAATATCTGCTTCCTGCAAGATATGTATACACATCAGTCGGTAAACCTCTTCTCTAAAATGATTAACTTATGAAGAGGCCTGTAGTGGGAAATGATAGCTTGTATCAGGGCAGCAGCAGCTCAGGAGGTGGAGCGGGTTGTCCAGTAATAAGAAGTTTGCAGGTTTGATCCCGTCTCCGACCAGAGAAAGCTGCTGTTGTGTCTTTAGGCAAGACACGAAGCGACCGGTGGCGCCAGGGATCGGGAGGCCTCGACCTCTGTCAGTGCACCCTAGGGAAGCTGTGACTACATTGTAGCTCATCCCCACCAGTGTGTGAATGTGTGTGTGACTGATTGTGTTGTGAAGTGCCTTATACAAATACAGGCCATTTACCATTTAAATACCAAACAGATTTTTATGTTGTGACATATGTTACTATTATACAAATAAACCTCACTGAAATTATGTCAAAGTAAACTCTAGCTAAAACATTAAGTTTGGTATTTATTTAGCATTTATTTGAAGAGGAGTAACCCCATGAGATGTGCCATCTCGTTTTCATGAGGGTCATCTTAAACAAAATAAAGCAAAGGAAAGCGACAGATGACAGCCATTACAATGTACAATTAATGAAAGCAAGAAATATTTTCTAAATCATAGTAATAAAAATAAATAAATATGTATTAAAAACAAAAACATTTACAAACCACTACACACACATGGATCAGCTCGCTTATAGTTCACCCCAAAACACCAGAAGTACAACTTAAGGCTCACTCACGTGCTTGGCCAACTCTGCCATGTCAGTGAGACGTTCTCCACGGGACCGCTGAGGGTTGGTCTGGTCAGGTGGGGAGGAGGAGGAGGAAGTGTAGCCGATAGAGGAAGGAGAAACAAACTGGCCATGGGGACCTCTGAGAGGCGACGACTTCTCCCGCCGGGATGATGCCCAGTCAGAGGTGGACGAGGGACCGAGCAAGGAGGACGAGGAGGAGGTGGAGGGTGAGGCAGGAGAGGAATTGATGGTGACTCTATCCGCAATCCACCGACGCACCTGAGAGTGAAGAGGAAAGGAGGAAATTATTTCTGAAAAGAATGTGACAAAAAGGACAAAAGCATGTGCATGTTTGGATGGGGTTAAAAGCTGAAGGCTAAAAAGCAAAGATAAGCAAAATCCATCAGTGAGTTTCTGCTAGATTGTTCTCTTCATGCAAAAAAAATTAAATAAATAAATAAATAAATAAAGAGAAATTGTCCAGTGCCTAAGTAAGACATGCTCATGATAATGTGAGCCTCTCTGGGTGTCTGATAACCACAGCTTACCTTCAGGAACAGTGCCTGTTTGTCTGTCCTGCTCTGTCCATGCTGGAAGACACACATGGCTTAGCATGCAGCCAACTTAAAAAAAAATAAATCACTACAGAACAAAAACACTGATTTCCTGAGATGCAGTAATGGACTACATGCAGAATAATAAGCTGGAGTACCTGACTGTGGTGTAGTGAACAACAATTCTTTGATAAAACATATAAAATTTTTGTTCTTTATTAAAGTTCAAAAGTAAAACATCCTAAAATCAGCTGAACACACACAAAAAGAGAAGTGGTTACAATTTAGATTATTTAAGAAAGTGATTTTAGATTGAAGTACCTTGTGTGAGGAGCTTGGAGTAGTCATCTCGTTTCTGTCGGGATCTGGCTCATCATCACTGTCCTCCTCTGCACTGCTAACCTGTCCCGAGATGTCCTCATGGACCTCACCTTCTTCCACCGGATCGTCCTGATCCATATCATCACTCTCTTCCTCTACATCATCCGGGTAGCTGTTGGAGTCACTGGGATTGGTGGACAGACTGACGATTGGTTCCTCTTTCTCTGCAGCCATAAGCGTGTCTTTTGCATGAGATGTAGCAACTGGGGTGGTTTCAAGGGGTACTGCAACAGTTTGAGGAGTGAGATCTTCATTGCTTGATGATGTGTTGAGTAAAGGTGAGCCCTCAGATGTGACTGTTGAAGCTGTGGGGGTGACTGAATCAGTCTGCCCAAACTGACGTGAGGTTGTCCCACTCAAAGCCAGCTGCTGAACTTCTACAGGAGCTGCTACCTCAGACATTTTACTGACAGACATCTGGGTCTGATCGTTCAAGCTGCAGAGAGATGGAGGTGCAGGGAGAGGCTCTGCTGTTGAGACAGTTGGGGGAAGGCCGTCCTCAGATACTGTGCCAGACAAAGATCCGTGAGCATGGGTCAACTTGCTGTCTGCATTCGGTTGTTTAGACATTTTTGCAAAGAGGGAGGGGGGATGTTTCAGAAGAGGAGCTTCTCCAGGTTTCAGCAGAAGCAGCTTTGGACTTAAAACACCAGTGGAGTAAGTGGTGCAGAATACCTCTGGTTTGCTGTCTACGACAATATTCTGAATACTCTGTGACTGAGTCAAAGGAGGAGAAACTTTGGTTCCTTCATTAGGGCAGACATCAGGATTGATGGCACTTACAACAGTGAATCCTGAAGTCTGATTTTCTACACAAGAAATGTGTAAAGAGACAGCAGTAGGCGACTGTATCCCTGTGTCTACACTAGTGACCAGTGGGGACAGGAGGGATAAGGAACCAGCTGTTATTTCTGCTTCTTGCTTTGGATAAACAGTTTGAACTGCAGCTGAATCACTCACCTCCATTAACTCTGACTGTGCTGCACTGACTTGTGAACAGGGCGTCCCAGTTTGTGTTGTGGTGCCTGTCTGTTCAACAGTGAATGAGTCAGATGTAACGGCAGTTACTTGAACTAAACAAACTTCACTTGAGTGTGCCACTTCAACCGCTTGGTTGGAATTTAGAACTAAATGGTGTCCCACAGCAGCTACTCCTGCATTCTGTATGGACAAATTATGGGAATCGTCACCAGATGAAGGCAAAGGCTGTTGGGAAATTATGATGGTGTCATTTTCACCAACTGTATGAATAGTTGGTTCGAAGTCCTCGTCAGTGTTTTCCAATAAGGCGTTGAATAAATTCACCTCGTATCCTGGAGAGTGAGGTATCGGCACGCCACTGCCGACGCAGACCGTTTCCTCTGCAACCTCCTCCACCAAGCCACATAATTCATACACCTCCACTGGTTGAGAACCCAGCTCGATACCTGCCTGAATACTTTCTTCATACAACTTTGGTTCCCCAGTTGATAGCTCGTTAACAATAGCAGCCTCGCAGACACTGCCGTCCTCTCGTTGCAGGAGGTAATTCTGATTCAGATGCATATTGGACCAGTCTCCACTAATATGAGCCTCCTCTCCAACAACCACAATTTCTTGAGCATCGCCAGTGTGCACGATCTTAGCAATCAATGAAGTTTCTGTTGACAGGGAATGATTTGCGATATGAGATGTTTCTGCTCCAACAACCTCCCCTGACTGCAGTGAGACTAGTAGGCTTGTGTCAGATAGAGGGCACCCTGTAGTGGGATTTGAGGAGCTCTCTTTCGTAGAAGAGAACTCCGGCAGCATTGTGAAGAAGGAGGGGGCTGAGTCCACTAGTTCATCCTTTGAGTTGCCATCCACTTGTTCTGCTTCAGGGGGACTGCAGGTGGATGCTGAGATTTTGTTTCTAGCAGAAGAGTATAATCCATGTGAGGGCTCTGCAGCCTTTGAGGTCTCAAACATTTCAGCTGAAGGAGGTTGCAATTTAGCGTACTTGAAGGTCTCAACTGATTCCAAAGAGTTTGCTTTTTCTGAAATGTCTTTGATGGTTGTAGGCTGGGTTTTTGACTGGTCAGAGTGTTTAATCTCTGTATTACCAGTTGAATAAAGTGAGAGTGCAGACTCTGAGACCTGGAGGCAACCTGCTGACTCTGCATCACATGATAGAAGTTTCTGGCTGCACTGACTTGTTGAGACAAGTGGAACCATGTCAGACTGCTCAATAACTCTACTTTCTCCAGACTCTTGTATTTTAAAACCAATGCTTGATTGGGGAACGGAGGAAGATGAGACTGTGAAACAGATTTGAGACTGGGGTCGAAAGAGAATCTCTGCTCCTGTATGCTCTTTTCCACCAAGTTCAACATGTATTCCAGTCTCTGTTTTATATTCCACAATGGACCGTTCCTTCTCTGTTTCTGCAACAACCACAGGTTCCACACTTTCTCCAGGCGACTGAATCTGGTTTGCCTGACTGTTTGCAAGGCTTTCCTCTTTAATAGTTTGTGACCCGTATTGAATCTCTTGCAGTGTGCTGTCAATCTGCGACTTGAGAGGAGGACAGAAGGATGATTGAAGTCTTTGCATGTCAGCAGAGGAACTGCAGTCCTCAGACAGTGATGTTGGCAAAGATCTTGCAAGTCCGGCGATGCTCTCCTCAGAAGGGACCTCTTGTGAAACGAAGTCCTTAAGGTTGCTGCTGGGGGGAGTCCCCGGCAAGGTCTTGGGAGCTGTGTTCTCCATGCCAGGTAACGCAGAGTTGCAGCTGTTCGGCAGCGACACAGTGGACGAACATGTGAGTGGAGGGACTGGGCGGGGGGCAGCTGCAACCGGCTGCGGGGCATGCCGAGGTGACTCCCCAGCCACATTCTGTGCAGCCTGGGGGTTGCTACCCAGCACATCCACAGCCGGAGAGGCGTGCTGCCGCTCCGCCTCCTCCCCAGATTTTTCTTCCTCTGGGCTGCTCCGGCTACACACGGCACCTGTGTTGGAAACGCCAGCAGTTAGAAGAGTGTTTGTAGGAAAGTTACCTGTTTAGAAGCTACAAAGTTAAATTGATAGTAAGATATAACAAGCTGACCAAATATTCTCTGAAGACTATACTTTTGTGAAACTAAAACGCATGGTTTGCCAGCCGTCTGATATGTTAGATCCACAGACATCATATACGTAGACGCAACGTGGACTGACAATGAGTGCCCATTCGCTCCCATTGCATTTATTTCCACTGAGGACGGTGTTTACCCAACAACAACAAAACATTTTATTATGCTTTTTCACAAAATCAGACATTTGGTATGACACGATAATAAAAATATAAATCTATTTAAATAAATTAAAATATAAAATTCCAACAGGTAGACTTGGAAAGTCAATAGTAACCCCAAGTGATCAGTTTTTAACTGTGCGCCAGTTGTTGCAACAGTAGGCTGCACAAAAATGGGCAGTTGCTCACTCTGCCTTGACTCCAGTTAGGTTTGGAAAAAGAGGAACCCACCCAATATGGCTGACACTGTTACACTCTCCTGCGCCCAATGGCGCATCTATGTATTCATGTCTATGTAAATCCAAAGAAAATCCTTTTATTAGACTTCAAATAATATATGTAAGAACTGGATACAGACTCACAAAATATGATTCAACTCTCTCCCACAAACCTTGTGTGACATTAAGTACCACTAATTGTCCTGATAAATACCAGAAGAGTACACACGCTAACGTTTTGCAGTAACATTCCTGATGATATTTAGGGTTTATCAGAGCACATTTAATTTAGAGTTGGAGTATCAGAAGTTATTAGTACAATTTTCTTTTCATCCAAGGACAAATCATGAGACAACACCGCACAATAATAAATTCAGCCACCTTCAGTCTGTGAGCTCTTGAAACCTACTTTATTATAACATCTAAAATCCATGTACCGTACTCTACTTGCAGCCTACTACAATTCACCACATCATAAGAACTACACACAAGTATTACATCAGTCTGTCACAAAAAGAAGGGGATACTCAGAATTACATTCAGATGACCTGATATTAAAAACTTTTCTAAGATTGCATGTCAGAAAACCGCTTTCACCAAACTGATTCATATGAAAGAAAACAACCGACTAAAAGCTGAGTGAGGTGTGTGTGTGTGTGTGTTGTTGCAACTTCTCACCTGTTCGTGGTGAGAGACACAGGTCTTCTGTGCTTTCTACTTCCAGGATGCTGAAATTAGAATGCCTTCCATATTTTCTGAGATGATAAAGAAAAAAAGGTGGTAACTTTATCGATACATCACGCAGCATTATTCTGTGAATGATAAATAGTGTTTTAGGTACGCAGCTAAAGGTCAAATGAGGTTTACTCGACAATGAATTACTGATAATAACCGTGAGAGTTTAGATGAGAAGCATGTCAGCGCCGCGCTAGTTGGAGTATGTGGCTGTGTGTGAGTGGGTAATCTTGCAGCAGTAAAAAAAAAAAAAAAAAACACTCAGTGGAGCAGCTCTAAATGAGCAGCTTCAAGTTGAATTTTGCTGCAGTCGCCCACAGGAAGCTGTTAGAAATCATGCAGCACGCGCTCCCAGACTAAAAAAGCCGGTGATCAAGCGCGCGCCGGGCCTCGAGTCATTCAGTCTGTGATCTCTTTAATGTTTCTTATTGTGGCAGGTTGTCGCCACATGTACGTGAAGGTCTACGTGGATCAATTGTGTCTTTTGTCAAAGGATGTGTGTGCACCGGTTGCACAGATCATGTGATTCGTGTAGACTTTTTCGCTTCCAAATGTGAGCGGCAACAAGCTCAAAATCAGAGTTATTCCTTAAGGCAGCAAACGCCTAACGCTGCCGGTTAGGCTAGCGTGGTTAGCGGGCTAGCATTAGCCTCTACAATAACAGTGGTGTGGCACGAAAAGGGAAAGCAACCTCGAACTAGTAGGGTGCGCTCGTTCTACGCGCAGGCGCCCCTGCCCTCCTTCTCTTATGTAATGATTCGGCTTCAAATCGTTATGTTCAAGTGAAGACGTTTGGCAAGTTACAACTCAATGAGACAAAAACATCAAAAAGTCTCATTAAAACCCCGCTTCTGCATGTACTACACAAGGGTGGGGGAATCGCTAGTGACGTCACGGTGTGAAGTCAAATCTTAAAAATATAGAACCTGGTAATTTCATTTTAATCAGCTGATAATACCATTAATAAACATAAAAGCACAACACATCAATAAACATTGTTTAAAACTTCCATACAAAATTGCAATGATTTTTACAGGGGACTTAAGGGGGGCTACAATGCCCCACCTCCGGATCTTTAGAAACGACGCTGAGAAAATGACGGCTCAGCAGCAACTAATTTCGATGCGAGCTGTTATATTGAGTTTTTGATGTTACTACTTTGTAACTCATTATTCCGTCTTGCAAGAGAAACTGAAGCTATACGCAGCTCGTATGTAATGAAATGTAGTCTTAAAGCGTCCTCTCGTCCGTTTAAGCACCCCCCTCTAGCACCCCCATTACTTCCTACTTTGCCCCCCTCCCTTTCAAAGCCGCCATCTTAAGTTCCCACCTACCTGAAATTTCCGACCGATTTTCTTTTACTAAATTCTCGTTGAAGGAGTCGTCATCCGCGTAAAATCGTACTCAATCCGTGATGCCAGTAATCCAAACTGTCTCTCGGTACCCAACGAGGTACCCCTAGGTCTGTGGGAAGAAGTTAAAATCCGGACCGGGAGAGACTGGGTTTCGGCGCAGAATGTAGCGGTCGCGGGGAGGAGACGTTACGCAGCGAAATGGTGGAGGATCGCTGCTGCTGACAAAGTACACAACACTCTGTCATCTCGCGAGATTCCAACGAAGCGCGCCACTTGAATTTAGGAAATGTTGAATAAATCTTCAGATTATTTAACGGTTAGGGTAAATAAAAACTGTCAGAATTAAAATAATATTGTTGCCTTGCAAAAATTGCGATATATAAGTTTTGTAGAAACCTTTATAAAATGCAACGAGACGATAACAACGTGAATGAGGGGCTTCCCACATGATGTTTCTGTTATCAGTATTATGGAAATGAGATGCAGATTTACACATTTCTAGACAAAATTGCGCAGTTGGCTGTGGTTTTAAAAAAAAGCATTCCTGTTGCTTTTTTAATGCATGCTGCAAATCTGATTTTAATATATATATATATATATATATATATATATATATATATATATATATATATATATATTAAAATCAGATTATATCAGAATATATATATATAGATGGCGGGGGGGGGGGGGGGGGGTGAGATAATCCAGGGTGTGAAATCATATTACTCTGACACTTGAGATGCCAGTTTTAAGGTATCTCACTAGGGTTCCCAGGTGAAAAACGCATTTTAACAAATTGCTACATTGTATCATATACTGTATGACACAAATGAAGGTCTTATTTCCTGCTAAATCTTTCAAGATCTGATCGTGTGGTCTTTGTAAATGTACTTACCTTTTAATTCAGATAACAAGCTTACCAATAATTAAATCATAAGGTCTCATATTTATAGAAGGTGTTTGAGTCTGGTTTTAATATTTTTTTAGAAATCTTGTGACGATTTCATTTGCACATATACATTTAAGGATAATCAAATTTACTAGCCATTTTTCAGTTTCTAAAAGGCTTAAAAATCAGGATTTTTGAAGTAAAATTATTATTGCTGGCATGAATTGAAACTTAGAAACCAAACATTTTCCAATCCTTTAAAAATGTTAATTTTGGCTTTCTGCCATGAAAGCCAAGAGATTAAGCCAATTCTGATCACCAGCCACTTTTGTTTTATTTCTGAAATCCCCTCAAAGAAAAACATCATTGCTAATTCTTGCATTATAAAATAATTCAGAATAAAAAAAGACACAACAGAGTAAACAACAATTCATTTAATAATTATTCTTTGTGGTCTCTAGGGGAGGATTTGAAAGGTATAAAATGGTCATATTAAAATATCCGACCCAGTCTTTTACCTCAGGATACTCACTGTCTGGTTTCATTTCAACATGGTTTTAATTTTTTTTTTTCAGTTCTTCAGCAGATGTCCCACTCATTATTGTATATAACTTATTTTTTTGTTGATGAAACAACATTGACAGTTCAATGTACAAGGTTTCAACAGTCCCAACAATAACACACAACCAGTGACTCATGGGCCAGCCTGGCTCTCGGCTTTAACTCAGTTCCTTGATGACGCCAGAGGCTGCCACGGATAAGGCTTAATGTTCACAAGCATGAAAAAGGTTTCAGTGAAGCCAGCCTTTTGCATGATTACTTCCTGCAGAGAGACAGTGCTGGTTGATAACCAAACAATGACAAGTAACATAACAATGAATATATTTATTATTATAGAAGATAATTAATGTTACGAATAATAATTACAAAGGCAATTTCTCTAGACTACTATAATCTGGTCCTGCTCATATAGTCAAGAGGAGACTGGGAATCAGTTAAAGGAAGCTCTAAAACACCGTGTGCACTCACACACAGTTGCACAGTTCATTAGCCATACATCCTTTGAAAGCAAAACAGCCAAACATTTCAATCTCATCATCAGTAAAAGGTGAGGGTGTGGAGTCAGGATTTTTGGATAAACCATTAAACTGAGGTAAGATGTTTACTGATCTTAACTAAATGGTCTAATCAGTAATGTGCCTTTTCACAATGACAGATGCAAAAATGTGTTTACTACTGTGATTTTAAAACCCCTCAAAAACAATACCAGGCTAATGTTAAGAAGGGCATTAAAGTACATGATAATAAGTGACCAGGTTGAAGTTGAAGCATGTTTTAAGGTGTCAATTTCTCTGGAAGTCACCTCTAACCCACCTAGGAAATGCTTGCTTAAGAGCTTGGATCATAAATTACTTGATGAATCTGTCCTCTGCCTCTTCTTACAGATTCATAAACTCAGAGATGAACCAACAGCCAGTTTAAAAATTCACCATGGATGCAGAGAAACCATGTACCGAAGCCATTGCACCGAAAAGACTGTTGGGTTTACACAAAGTCTTGCATTTTCCTCACAACCATGCTCCTTCAGCCTGTTGTTACTTTTTATTGTCTGTCTCCTTATTTGAGTGGTGGTGGTGGTGGGGGGGTGGGGGTCTGAAGCTGGTTTGGTTGTGTAAATGGGAAGGCAGGATTTAGTAGTCTAAATGAGGAAAAGGGGACAAGTTGAGAGCAGCACAGTGATCCTGACATTTCCCTTAATCTCCGCCATTGTCATCCCAGTACTATCTGGACTCCCCATCTTTGTGGGTGCTGTACAGCGCCAGTTCACCTGGCCGTCCCAGTCTTGAACTACGAGGGGGAGTAGACGACCGACTGGTTATGGACGGAATGAGAGGAGGTGGTGCCCCCACTGACAGAGCTCCCACCAATTCTGCAGTTGTCTTTGAGAGGATGCCATTGGGCATGTGATGCGGGTTGATCGGCCCGAGCCGAGAGTACAGACCCCCGTGGTGCTGGGAAGCAGCACTGGCTCCAGAGGGGAGGGGGTGGCCGAGAAGGCCAGGGTGGAGCTGCTCCAGGTGAGCGGCAGCAGCATGAGAAGGGCTTGACAGGTGAGGGCCATGAGGGAGATGTGGGTGCATCCCAAAGTAGCGGGCACGCTCAAAGTCTTCCCTCAAGATCTGGGCTCGCTCCTCATCAATGAGACTGCCTCCGGGAGGTCCAAGGTGAGGATGGCGATCAAAGGGAATCAGTCCAAAATCGGGGCGAACAGCAGCAGAGGGACCAGCGGAGGTAGACGTAGGAGGGTGCTGAGGCGCGGCTGCTGCTGCTGCTGCAGCTACAGCTGCAGCCCTTTCTGCTTCCATCATTTGCCTCTGTTGGAACAATCGAGCCAAATGTGGATCAGATCTCAGGGCTAGGTGCGGATCTGACCGAATTGCCAAAGCATCCCTACGATGTTGCTGCTGAACTGAAAACTCCCTCCAGGGATCCCAGGTGAAGCTATGTGGACCCTGACCGGGGCCTTGAGGGTGACCAGGAGTAAAGCGTTCACCTGCTGGACCTACAACAAACCCAGCAGCACTCGGTGCACTTCCCAGGAAAGCCTCAATTGCCCTTGAGCGGTCCAGTAGTGGCAGGTGGGAAGGAGTGTTTGAAGTGGGTGGTGGGAGGGAAACAACAGGAGTGGGAGTGAGTGATAAGGAGGAGGAGGAAGGGGTACCAGAACTGGGGTGATGTGGGTGGCTGTTGGGGCGGTCAAAGCTGTGACTAGGCAGTTGGGGATGGAGGGTAATGGGGATGGGCTCTGGCTCTTCTTTCCTCTCCTCTTTGACTTTAACTGGTGGGGGGGGCAGAGGTTTGGAAACAGGCGTTGTGGTGCGGTCAGACTTCTTGGCCTGAGACAACGAAGCAACAGAAGAAGAAGCTGCTGACAAAGCCGGGACGTTATTGTCTCTGTGAGTGTGTGATGGTTCACTGTGGAGGCTGTGGGCCGCTTGAGCCTGTGAGCGAGGGAACAGGTCCAAAGGAGATGGGATTGAGTGGTTGGAAGGTGGTGGGGTAGTGAGGACAGAAGATGAGGAAGACCGAGGCCTGTCCCTCTCTGCTCCCAAAGATGAAGGGCCAAGAGGAGGAATCCTTGAGGACACTGTGGGCACTGGCCTCTTGTCTTCATCTCGGTCTCTGTTTAAGCTGCGCGTCAGGTCCTCTAATGGTCCACCGCTCCCCCCCAGGGCACTGCTGTGTCCATTTAAGTGGGAGACTGGGGTGCTACTGCGGGGCTTGAAGGACGAGGCAAGTGGAGACATTCTCACGGGTTGTCGGCCATACAGCATGTTGTCTCTGCAAATCAAAAATGATACAAACCACATGTCAAATTATGATTAATGGTAATTTGTAAAATCATAATTGTGCATTTTTGTTTTGGCATCTATAACCATCAGCAGACAACTAGAACTTTTTAGAGTTTTAGGAACACAGGAGCAAAAGTTTGCTAAAGGGTTTTACGTTCAGTTTGTGTGTAATATAAAACATCTCCATATTGATAAACAATAAAACAGTTACATAACTGTTTAAACCTAGAAGTCAGTTATACCTGTCCTTTTCATGCTTTATTTGGGGCATGTCCCTCCTTTCTCCATCCTTCCCTCGATCCCTCTCTTCCCTTTTTTCTGCTCCTTTAGCCCAGCTGTGGGGTGCAGGGAACCCAGATGGACCACCATGCAGACGGTTCCACGCGTCGAGATGGTTAGGTGTGGACAAACCCCCGACCGTATTGGGCGGTGGGTCTTTATGACCAAACATGGAGCCAGCTACAGGTAACAAAGACATTTAAATGTAAGAATGGGCTATATGGTTGGTCAATCATACAAGAATAGCCACTCCAAGTAGAAGTGATTTTGTTACAGCATAAAAAGCTGACGAACAAAGGACAGAGTAGTTAGGTTATGCTATCACTGCAAAAGTAACAAACTTCCATTTGAAATTATTTACACAACTACTTCTGCCATCTTGTGGAACAAAACATAGAAATGGTTTTCTTATTAGCGTCTGATCTTACGAAGCCCAGTTTTTAATAATTATGTACAGCAAAAAAACAGTCAGAAATTTTATCATAAACCTGCCTGTAGAAGCAAGTTAAACACACTTTTTTAATAATACCACCATGAGATTTTCCTTGCTAAACAATTGTCACTCTATGGTTGAGACAGTTTAGCACTGGAACGTGTATTAACTCGCCCAGTTTAGTCTAGTTGATCAAGCACAACTAAACGTTGGGACAACTTCCCAACAGACCAAAACTGCGTTCTCGACATGCCAGAAGGGTTTAATCCACGTCGTTCTGGTGGACCCGCTGTTCATGGCTACTGTAATTAATGTATACAACCTTGTACTTGTATTTCAATGACAAGCCCCAGCACAGCCAATCACAGCAAGTCTCTGTGACAGCTGAGCTGTAGCTGTGCTATGAGACAGGAGAGAAAAGCATTAAGGGGGGGAGAAAAGCACTGATCACAAACTTGAGACAAAGGGTGAGAGGTGTGGCGGACGGAGCACATTAACGGGTCTGTTTTCTAGTTGGGCTGAAAGGATTTTTGTAATCATTTGTGATGTAGAAGCATAATCGGCTAGTACACGAGTCAGTGACTCGATGCAATCTGCTGGGTTCCATGTGTAGGAAACTTTTTACTGATTGGCTTAATGAACTGAATGTTTACTGTGTCAAGTGCCCTGAGATGACTCGTCATGATTTGGCGCTATATAAATAAACTGAACTGAATTAAACGTTTTTCACAACACAACTCAATGTGAAAACTGCTCACTGAAGAAGCCAGAGACTGTGAACCAACAGGATTGTGTTTCTGACGAAACGATAAGCTCCAGAGGAAGGAAATAAGTGAGGATCATAAAACTCACTCAAAAGAGTGATTTGTGATTAAGTTACGACTATCTCTTTAGATGTAGCAACCGTGTAAGTTCCTGTTTTCAGTAGAAATCACTGTTTATGACCTCACCTCTTAAGCACACAAGCTCTTCAGTGTGACTATGAAGAAGAAGCGCACTGATTTATATTTATTATTGTACCTGTTCATATAGAATCTTTGTGATTTAAAATTCTTCATGTGCTTTTTTAAGAGGAGATGCTAATGTACAACTGTTTATTGCCAAACACTGTTTTGAAAGAGCATCAGATTATATGAAGGAAAACACAAGGATATGGTTAGGGAAAGGTTTCAACACAACCAGGAAACAGGTTAGTCATCCTTTTCCATTAGTTTAAATCTACGTATTTAATCTAATTCCAAGAAAACTTTTTGTCTCTTCTGTTCTTTCCTTTGATTTGATTCCTTTCATCGTTTTTGATGACAACAGATATGTTAAGATAGTTCTTCCTGTCTGTTTACCAGTAGGCACATATATCTATCAAGTTTATCAACGTATAGTGTTTTAGCATGTATTAGAAAAGGCCTGTTATAATAGAAGTTTAATTCTCACTCCGTTGAGCCCAAATACAAGTGAGGAAAATCTGTTATACATTCAGGGCTTATCTGATAAGGCCTTCTGATGGTTAAATGGTGTGTGGCACTGCCAAGATGGTCACAGTCATCAGTAAACACCCTCCTATAAATAAAACGTCTACGATTAGAGTAAACATATATAAAGCTTCAGCACTTTAAGACCCATTTCCCTCCATACAGTCATGTGCCCAGACTGTAGGTGATGGTAGTTTCTAAATGATACAGCGATCTGAAAACTTGTTTTAGTTTATATTAAACTACAGTAAAACAGTGTTGTAACGCTATAAGATCAATTCCTAGAGAAACCATTTTTACTTGTTATTTTTTATTTGTGATCGGTCACTCAGTTTCACATGCAGGCTGAACGAGACAATAGTCTTCTACCTCTGTTTTCTGCATTAGCTGCTGATAGAAAATAGTCGGGGAAATGCTCAGATTAGAAAAGCCTGACATTTGCATGTCACAATGTCAAATTGGGATTCATGGGCTCAACCACCTTGGCGGGAAAAGCTGTTGTTGATTTAGCGTTCAGGAGAGAGTAGAGCATGTTTTAGCTAGTAGAAGCTAACCGTTAGCATTAGCAAATCTTCAACAAGGCACAACTTCTTCAGACTTGTGTGGAGATAAAACGTCGTCAGTCAGTGGTAGAGTCGTATTGCTTTCAGACAACCAGAGGCGAGATGTCAAAATATCAGGAAATAAGACTCCAAATCCTGCCGTCATCTGCTCACCTCTACTGTGGCTCACTTCTAGTTCCTGAAACAGGACCACTAGAGCTTTTAATCCCACAGAGATAGACTCACAAGGCATTCATTTATACTAGAGATCACTGCAAATGTAATAAAAAAAAATTGTAAACTTGGTCTTGGTCTATTTGTAAATTTTTGCAAATTGTTTTCCAAATAAATCCAAGAAGATAATCCAGAATATTAAAGGTTATGAACACTTGTTTAATCAATACATTAGCAGTGGTCTCTAATAGGAATGCCTTGTAAGTTGTACTCTGGGAAAAATGCTGGAGCACTATTTTCAGGAACTAGAAGTGACCCACATCACAGCTGAAATTCAGACAACAGGATTTGGAGTCTTATTTCCTGATATTTGGACATGTCTCTACCACTGAATCTAATTGCTTTGTGACATTGATATTCGATCTCCACAAATGACACAAGACTGGATGAGTTCTGCGGTGTGGTGGAATTGCTAATGCTCATGCTTAGCTTCTACTACCCTCGATTTTGCTGTTTCCTGGATGCTAAAACAACAACAGCCTTCCCCGTCATGAGCCAAGATGGGTGAGTCCATGAATGTTAAGTGACAGTGTGACATAGATCTGTCAGGCTTTTCAAATCCTAGAGTTTCATCGTCCATTTATAATTAAAAACTCTGAGTGACCGATTATAATCAGAAATAAGATTTTAAAAAGTTTTTTTTGGTGTTTCAAACCTTTAAGTCAACTGTTCTTCTTGGAAGTGAAGTCATTTTACTGCTGTCGCCTCACACCGTCCTCCATTTTCATAGGTACATGCTACTTGCAAAACCTTTCTGAATTTCAGGTTGAGCTACACACTAACGTCCTGGATCTCTGAGCAAAGTCCAGTAACTATTGTGTCTTCTGAAACAGTCTGAAGAACACAGAGAGCCTCCACTACTGCATAGAAACAGCTGTCAATGTTTTGATCATGTAACAACAGAGAAATAAAGACAGAAACATAAATCAAGTTTACCACAACACCCATAGTGAAAATGTTCAATTTAGACTTATTTAGCTTCAGCAGAACTTCAGTAATGCATTTGTGCACAGACTGCCCACTTCTGTGGAGGAGGACTAATTAGTGTCCAATAAGTCTGACTTTATAATAGAGGACCGCTTTAGTTGGAGGCTCTAACTTTAAGCAAGGCAAAAATACAGAAAATAAACTTTCATTAGTGTGATGCATTATACTGGATCAGGGGTGTTCAAACTTTCCAAGAAAAGAGCCAAAATCATTACACTATACTTTCTTGAGGGCCACAAAAACTGGACTTTTTTTCCCCCACAAATTGTAAAAATTATCGTGTAGTGAATTTTTGTACTGATAAAAATATACCTCAGCATCTGAATTAAAATGTTGAAAAGTTTCACTCAAAAGCTTGCAGAAAAATCAACTAACCCATTCTAGAAATGCAACTGGAGACCACACAAAATCACTCAGAGGGTCAGAAATGCCCCCTGAGCCACACTTTGGACATACCTGCTCTAGACAAAGAAATTACACATGATCCCTAAAAACGTGTTTCTTTCTTTGCTTTTGAGTTTTTTCAACTATTAAAGACAAACATGCATAATGCCACGTGCCATTAGGACGTTCGTTAAACACAACTGCATCCAACTCAGACTATAGCTAAGATGTGAAAATTAAAAGGCTGAAGCTAGAGGCTGGGTCTGATAAGAAATTGGCAAGTAACAAAGGAATCAAATGAACTGCAGAATAAAAAAAAATGTGAAACATGCTTTTGTATAACAGGTTGTCATTTCTTCAGTGTTTGAATTAATTTAAAAACAGAATTTTTCCATCCTGTTATTTAACCTGTACATGGAAGTTTTGTGACCCCACTAAGCAATGATTTGTTTAGCTTTAACATATTCATGTTTTCTGTTCTAAACACCCACTGATGTGCCACAAATACATAACGAGTGGGATTTAATTAGAAGAGCTTTTAAAATGTTAACCCCTTGTTTAAACTCTGTGCTTGAAGAGTATGGAAACCAAAAAAACTGACCCAGCGTTGGGCTGCCGAGTCCACCAAAGGCACCAGAACCAAGAGCTCCAAGGGGAGTAAATGGCGGGGATCGAACATATGGATCTAAAACAGATAATAATAATCCTCAGAATCCTGCATGAATATAACATTTACTACTATTACAGCAAAATAAACACATAAAAATGGCACACTCCCAAAACCCTTTAAAGTTAAAGTAAAATACTCACTATGTTTTAAGTTTCTCCTACCTAAGTGAGCAGCGGGCGGAAGGAAAGAGGAGTGTGGCGCAGATGGAGAGATGAAAGGTGCTGAAGATGGATTAACTGCACCTTAAGGAAAACACAGCAAGAATTAACAAAAACAACAGATTAATCAAATCGAGCCCTTCAGGCTAACATGAAACCAAATGTTCTACTACAAGAACTATCACGCCTCCAGGAAATCAAAGCTCAAAGCAATGGCAGAAACACAAAAAAAGAACAACTTGGTTACCATTTTTTGTCCTGTAGCGAAACACATTTTTAAAACCATCTGAAATATTCATTCTGCTTTTCTTAAAGCAGCCTGTTCAGGTACGTACCTGCAGCTTGGAAGAGAGTAGGGGGTCTAGTCAAGTCATGAGTTGGAGGCAGGGCTCCTCCCATGGGCCCCAGCTGGCCCAGACCCACAGCTCCAGGAAAACGGGCCAGCAGGTCACTCCGAAAGTCCAGCTTGTGAGGCTCGGCCTGCATCAGCTGGAGTTGGGTAGGATGGTTAATGTGGTGTTCATGTCATCATCTCAGTGCAGCCATCTGAAAATACTTACCTTCACTTTCTTTTGGTGGCTTAAAATCATCCAGGCCACGTGCACGTGCATAGCACACCATTTTCCTGGCTTCTGCGCAGCACAAAAATCACAAGAGCTTCACTATGATAATCATAAATATTACATACGTCACTTGAAAGCCTTTGCACACAGAGTCAGACATTCTTTATGTACTTCAGAAATATCTGGTCTAGCCTCTACATAAGGTTCCTCTCTGTGGATCAGTATGGGTTTGAATACAAACACAAAAGTAGGAATAAAAGAAAAGGAAGCCATATGCTGAATAATGTCTTGGTCTGAAATATCTAACTGGGTGTGCAAGGGCAGAGAATAGACCAGCAGCAGTCAGGATTACAAGTGAGATTAGTGCAGAATGAGTGAAACAGTGAGACAGTGAAAGAGGCTGAAGGCTTAAAGGAGCCAAGAGATTCAAAAACATCTGCTTTTGCTTACATTACTGATTTTCAACGATGTCCCAAAATGATCAGTTAGCTAAAAGAGAACAGAAGTGCAAGACCACTTTTAATTACCGAACCTCGCTTAACGTTTTGCACTCTTTACTGCTCTGACTATGCCCGCGGTGCAGCACGCCCTGGCCTAGCTGGCAGTGCATATCTTACATGCAAACTCAAAAGCAATAACTCAAGAGATGTGATATCACGTTAGCTCATTGTTCTTCTTACCCTGGGGTCTTTGGGCTGCAGGTGGTGAGGCACAACCCCGAGTCGCGCTGTTACGTCAGGAGCTGTTCCCTGGGGAACAAGAGGCTGTCAAACACAACACAACATTACTGATCTCCAATTCACTCAAATAAAGACATTTCCTTATCAGTTTATTTTTGTTTTATCGTAACTGACTAAAAGCACTTCTGCTATAGTTGAGTCGAGTTGAGCTTAATGCTCAAAGCTCTAATAGTTACCAAACAAGCTCCACCGTTTCATCGTTAGCCTCTCAGTGTGGGAGATCAGATACTGTCACTCCAGCAAGCTTCAGTTACGCAGGGTAACACGAGAAATGTCTGACAGACAGACAAAGAGAGTTCTTCCTCACCTTTGGCTGAAATGCTCCTTGCAATGAGCCAAAAGGCCCAGCAGGAGGAATCACAGGCTGAATACTTGACACTGAGGGTGGGGTGTATTGTTGGAAGAACTGAAACACAAAGAAACACAACTTAGTAATCGTCAAAAGCTGATCATCACTGCTGTATGATGGCAGCTTGGTTTAAAAACCAAGAATCTGTTTTAGGCTGGGTAAAACTATCACTGTTAGGATAAGATACATACTGGATGCCGGTACAGCCCTTCCATTTTGCCTGGATACTTCTCAAACTGCAAAACAGAATTATTTAAGTGGATCAACACACTTCAACCAAACTGAAAATCTCCCAGACACCCCGATGTTCAGCTGAGCAGCAGATCTCACCAGAGGAGGTGCAGTAGCTGAGGGGTGCATAAAGGGCGCAAAGTGTTGGTGTGTGTGTGTGTGTTGGTGCTGGTGGTTGTGCTGATGGAACTGGAAGGCCAGCGGCGGGACGCTCGTCTGGTTATGAGACGTCCGGCACGAAGAGCTGGAGGCCGAGCTCGATCCCGATGGAGCACCGGGGGTGGTGCGGCCCGTTGCTGTAGAGTTATTTTCTGCCCCTGGCACGCTGCGTCTGCCCTCGCGCTCTGGTGACAACAACAGCAATGGGTGAAGGCTTAATTCTAAGTCAGTAGGAGATAGTGTGTGAGAATCATTAGCTGAAAATAACCCGTTAATAACTAACACAGTTTAGCTCAAAAAAAGAAGAAACACGTCAACAACTAAGCACAAACTGTGATATGTTTAAGAGTTCATGCACATCTAAGGCAGGTCACATGTGCAGCTTCTGCTTTATACCAAGAATAAAAAACTGGTCGTGCGAAAATTATTAGATCTCACTTCACAAACAACTTCCTCCACACACTCAGACCACCACCAGAGGAAGTCTGAGTTGGGTTTATTTTTGCACCACAAAAGTCATTGTGCACTTCTGAGCAAGTAAAACAAACCAGTGGACTGTAACAGAAGTTAACGGTGGCAGGCCGTTCTTCATACCTGCTGCAGCTGCTGCTGAATTAGCAGGAATTTGTAGTAGAGGTGGAGGAAGAGGCAGGCCAGGTGAAGGTGTGAACAAGGCCCCAGCACTGGCTCGGGAGGGGGGTCGGAGGGGCCCTGAAGAGCCTGAGCCCCGACTGTGGGACAGGGACACGCTAGTGGAAGGAGTTGGAGAACGCATAGCGATTGAAGGGGAGGCAACAGATGAAGCAGACAATGGAGGTTTGACTGGAGTGCTGCTCCTGAGGAGAGAGAAAGAGATAATCACACTCTGAAAACACACCCGAAGAAAAAAATCCTTCAGATGTTGATAAATGCAGGAAACACACTTGTAGTGAGAGCGTGGAGGCAAACTGTGGAAGGGTTTGGGTTTGGAGAGTGGCGGGCTGCAGTTGTAACGAGTGCTGTTCCCATTCATCGGACTGGGCCGGGGTACGGCGCCTGAAGCTGTGACTGAGGAGTTGGAAGACAGGCAAGACAGGGAAACAGAAGAGGTAGAAGACGAAGAAACCGGCTCTGGGAAGTGCGACTCCAAGCTTTTCTCCTGACTTCGCTCCAGGCCGGACACTCGAGGGGTCACCATTAACCGCGAGACTCCGCCACAACTTGCAGCTAGAGACTGGCAGGTTTTACCCACGGACGTGCTCATGCTTGAAGGAGCGGGATCCACCACTGAAAAAGAGGAGCAGCTGTTAGCGTGTTCTTTTCCTTCACACATGCTCATGTTAGGAACAATGACTTGTTACATGTGACACTTTGTCTTACTGCTTCAGACGGGTCTTGTGGTGCATTATACACAATTAGAAATAAATTAAGACACCTGTGCAAATTTTCTCGTTGCAATTTTGTCTTCGTTATGTCTTAATTTGTTTTAATTTTAACCTCACTTTATCCACAGTCTGTGGCAAAAACCCCAGAGTTGTTTACATTTCTCACATGTCTGACTCGAGTCTTAATTGAGCAGGAGTCCAGATATGACCAGTCAGAGACTTAGGAAGAAATTTGTCACAGAACTTTCAAACCATGTTGTAAGGACCTGCAGCACAAGAGCGAAGCTCTTCAACTCACACGTGGAAACTAAAAACTCTTGGGAGACTCACTCAAAAATGTGGTTTGCAACTTGTTGCCAATAGAAGCGGCTCAGTGAGATGAGATTCCTTTAGTTTAAACCGACCGGGTTTTATACATCTAACAATGTAAATTATCATAACACCAATAAACCATAACTAAGCACTCTTTATACTGGATAAAACAAGAAACAAATGCTGCAGAATTTGGTTTGTTATTAAAAATCCTGCAATCCTAAAAACTTTCAAACACCAGATAATCAAAAACAGACCATCGACAGGGGTCGACGTGGATCTTATAAAACCAAAGGGATACATGCAGACTTTGTAAATTAATAAAAAAAAGAAAAATGAAAAAGATAAATAAAAAAACCTGAAAAGGAAAAAATACTGTCCAGTGAATTTGAAATAAGACTTCTAAAAAGCAAATTCTCACTGACAAGTCTGGAGCTGATGAATTCAGCTGAACACAGACATCAGAATCAGGGTTAATCCCATCATAAAAACGGCACTCGTGGTCACTAGAAAGAAATTAAACTTAAGAAAACTTTTATCCTACATTAAAGCATTAACATAATCTCGGAGTTCCCTCCAGTTTAAGCTGCTTTAGAGAATCTACAGCAAAGGCCAGGTTTTGAACACAAATACGGTCATGGAACTCTCACCCCTCCCCTCGGGTATCATCTCTGGATTCGCATCCACCGGAACCGGAACACCACCATGCCAGATGAAACAAGATGGTGCTAAACACCAGCGACTGTTTTCTAGGTCCAAACGTCTTTTGTTGTTCATGACTTCAAATGGTGTTTTTCTTTTTGGGACTCGGGTAGTTTGTCCTAAAGTTGAGGTTTTAGCAGTCGGCTGCTTCAACTTCTCTGATATTACTGAACGGTGAACCTCTCACACCAGTGGCGTTCTGATGCTAAGTGAGTAATGAGTGGAGGACCCAGGTAAGTATGGCGGTATGGCGAGACAGACAACCGGATGGTCCAATGGTTGCTTTTGGCCCAAAAAGTGCTACTGGGGAAAGTCTTTAGACAAATATGAAAGAACCACTTCATTTTTTTTGTTGTGTGTGTGTGTGTGTGTGTGTGTGTGTGTGTGTGTGTGTGTGTGTGTGTGTGTGTGTGTGTGTGTGTGTGTGTGTGTGTGTGTGTGTGTGTGTGTGTGTGTGTGTGTGTGTGTGTGTGTGTGTGTGTGTGTATTAAGTTATACAATGTTGGAACATTGCTAAGAGGCATTAAAGAACAGTTTTAAGCTTATTTGTTTTCCAAATTTGCCATTGTAGCTTTAAATCCCGATTCCATGTAGCAAACATCCACTCTGCCACTGCAAGTTTTATATGCCATGCTGCATGCTTCTGTATGATTTCAAACGACAAGAAGCCAATCCTGACCACTTACTGAAAACAACCACCTAAATGAACACATCTCTGTTAATGAGGAGCAGCAGCAGAAACCTGTTCTAACCTTTTCTAGTGCTGACTGTGAACACGGGATCCATGTCGTTGTCAGAAGCCTACAAGAGAAATTAGAATATAAAAGATTAGTTAGCATGACGTTAGCTTCCAAATACGTTAGCACACTAAACTGTGATGTTTGACTCCATTGAGTTAACACAAATCAGTGACATGCTGTGAAATGCTGCCTTGTAAAGTAAAGGCTTGCAGAGAAAATTCTTGTTAGAACAAACAGTACTCACCTTGTCTCCTGTATCGCTTTCAGCGTCACACTAACACAGAAAAAAACAACAACATTAGTGTTTATAAAAATGTTTACATATAAACAAAACAATTACTAGAATATCAGAAAATAAACATACTATGTAGCCAGTCTCCAAAAGAGGACCCTAGAGAGAGAAAATACGTATCAGAAGAAATAATTTTCACATCTGTGAATTATTTGGGAGATATTTTCCTTCTTAGTTACAAAGAAATATTCCTGTGTTTAATTTCTAATCCACCCAAGAATGACAGAGTTGCTCAACGGCGTGACAGTGAACCAGTTTTACTTGCTCACGTTGAATAGCAGGAAGCACAGGTCATTAGCACTACAGAACTGTAAACATGGCTGTTTGATTAGGAATTATCTCATCATCTAACATTTCAAGTGGCTGTGCAGTCCAACAAAACATGAAAGTGCAGCACCTCGATCTTTCTTCTCTTGTTAATGCTCTTTTTCCAGCAGCTGCTGGAGTAGCTGTGAGGAGGTCCTTCCTCTGGTCCCGACAGCGGCTCCCCGCCGTTCTGCTCGGGGCCCCTCTTCCCCTTGTTCCTCCTTCCCAACATGTCGGTACGCTGATTGGGCTTCAGGGAACAGTCCATCTGATAAGAAAGGAACAGGATCAGAGTTTTTGAGTCTACGAAGAACACAAATATGGATGTGTCATGGCAGAGACAAAAGGCAAACTCAATGCTGATAAAACGCACCGACAAACAACTTCCCACAAAGATCTGTGGATTACTGAGAGCAAACTAAATGATGGAGTGAACTACAGCCTACACAAGAACATCATGTGAGTTATTTGTGTGTATTTTGTTAAATGTTGGGTTACGAGTTTGTTCTTATGATGCATCTAATCACTTTGACTTACTGATTTAGAGAAAATGTAAAATCGCTTAAAGATATAATCATAGACTTTCACAGACGTCCTAATGAACCATGGGGTGAACACATTTAGGACTACACATCCTCTTGAAAACAACAGTTAGCGCGTTAGCACTGCAGCTTTGCAGCAAAAAGGTTGCAGGTTCAAGTCCCAGGTGCAGTCATTCTATGTTGAGTTAGCATGTTCTCCTCATGCATGCGTGGGTTTTCTCTGAGTACTCCTACTTCCTCCCACAGAAAAAAAACATGTTATGCTAATTTATTTTAAGTCCCTTTGGATAAAATAATCTCCTAAATCAATAAACATAAAAAATAGATAGAAAAAGCATTGCTGCATTGTAATATCTTAGTTTTTTTTTCCCTTTTGCCCTTCCTCTGTGAATTACAAGAAAGCTCTGGAGGCAGCAGAGGTTTAACACAAGGGATATTGTAAAAGTTAAATGATTGCTTTATTAAACCACTATGCAAAAGACATAGGCCATGACTGATGAGACGTTTGAGTTATTATTATTCAGTAATACAAGCTATAAATAACTGATTTACCAATAGTTTCCAAAAACAGTTCATCACATTTCAAAGGCGATTAGAATAAAATGCATGCAACCTAAAATGACTTGTGATTTAGTGTCAATAACCCAGTTAATTAAATTCTGAAATTCAGTTTAGCAGGACCATGTCATTGTTTTAATGGGATTCAACTGAAAGTTATGCAGAGAAACACATAAGGGAGTTGAGATTATAAAAACAAATATTCATTTTGAAAGTGAAGTGAATTTGTCACAAACAAGATGACTTTTGTTTAAAAAGGAATTGCTTAGTCAGCAGGAACTTCAGGAAGGAAATTCTGAGGTTTTCTATAGATTTCCACTTTCAGGCCTCTGCTGGTCTATAGCAGAGCCAATGAGCAAACGTGAAATTTACTGCTTGATTTGACTGGAAAATCTAGCTGCACATGAGAACAGAAGCTCTGTTTGACTCTGTGTGTGTGTGTGTGTGTGTGTGTGTGTGTGTGTGTGTGTGTGTGTGTGTGTGTGTGTGTAACCTAAATTTGGTTTTTCCATCTTAATGCAGATGTCACAAAGAAATTAGATTGAAATAATCATGTGGATGCAGATTAGGAATTTTTTAAAGCCATTAAATAGAATCTTTAGACACACAGCTGCATTATAGGTAGTATGACAAGTAGTGAACCTAATAGTACTCCAGTGTTTAACACATTTCCTTTACTGTCATGACGGACCTGAGGTAAAACTGAAGTATTACACAACTGGATCCAGGTACTCTGACTACACAAACCCAGTAAGAGGGTTAATACACACTTTAATTCTTGTTCTTCCTTCTTGCCTAATGAGTCATTAGGAAGCTCATCAACACCTCCTAGAATTAGAGCATGAATAATTAAGGATATCCAGAACCTATCACTGGGATACCTTGGGGTTTGGAGTTGGGGTGAGTGAATTGCTTGAGACAGGAATGGTGTCACAGCTAATGAGTTCAATGTGCAGCTTTTCACACATTTAGCTGCGAAAACGTGCATTATCTGAGGTGATGTGGAGTTAGAGGATCAGATCTGTCACCTTTAGGTCTACACATGCTGACGAAGATAAATGAGGAGAGGCGTGTGCCCACTGCCTGTCACACCACATTAAAGAATGATCATGTTCACGCTGTTGTGGGATGCAGTTTGATCAATGACAGCTGCTGTGGATATATTTACCTCCAGTGCCTCCAAGCTGATGAAGCTCGCAATAGCGAAGCCATCGATGATGTCTTCCTCGCAGGACACGGACTCCCTCTTCCTCCGACGTGGAGGCCTGTTTCTCCCAAAACCGGGCCGACATTCTCTCCCGGTAGGGCCGAGGCCGTTGTTCGTCCCGCAAGCCTCTCGATCGGAGCCCGAGGACAGGGACGTGGCCCGCTCATCGGCCAGGTCCACTCTCCTCCGCCGCCGCTCCCTGTCTCGCTGTGAACGGGACCGTCGGCTCTGTCTGAAACCAGCGCTCCGGCTCGGGCCCTCCATGTTCGAACACCACCTCCCTTTGTAACGCCAACGGGACCAAAAGGCACTTATTTAAGTCCAGGTTCGGTGGAAGGCACCGAACCACTTTGGGTGAAGTAAAACAAAAATACCACACAGGCCCTCAGAGGGAGCCTCTGTTTAAAATGGCCTTAATGTAACCAGCAGTTTATTTACCGTCCAATGACAAGAGTCTATTGGCATCTGTGCCTTTCTTTCTGCGAAATTTTAGTGTCATTTCAATTAATCAGAACACAGACGGAGATCCGCATCCACGACAGATGTCAGGACATGGCTGATTGTGTCTCGGGTTATATATTCACACAGGTCAGACGCATGTAAACAAAAAGACTAGTGTAACAGACGAACCCCAATAAGCTGCCTAAATGCAACAAAATCAAACCCTGCTTTTATACAACACAACCGTTATTTTACATTTATTTACAAAAATGTATTAGCTAAAAAATGCGGTTTATCATTAATGTTCATTTTGTCGCGTTAATGTTGTCAGCTAATGTTAACCGAGCCCAATCTAACCAATAAAAATAAGCTGTCTAGTTGACTTTAAGTAGTAAAGGCTTGTTGACGTTAGGTCAGCGATTAGCTTCTTTTCGATAGCATCGCGGCTAGCGCAATATATTACAATTTATTTGGACCGCAACTTAAGGATATCACAATATTAGCAAAACACACTCGGAAAGACGGACATGCTGAGCTATACAGATGAAAGCTAATTAAAACCACACAGCCACACGAGCCATTTTTCTTAATGTCCCAATGTTGATGGCCGATGGTTGATCAAAAGAAAAGACGTAATGTTAGCAATGCGGCTAACCAGTTAAACCACCCGCAACCAATCCCTCAAACGTTAACGCGTGCAGGAAGTTTACATACGCTATATAAAAATATCCGCCACAGAATAATAATATGTCGCCTATTCACGTAGAACTCTCCTTTCGTTCATAACAAGAAAAACACCAAGGCCCAAATTTTAAAGCCTCGGTGTCGATTTCCAGGGTGTCCGTCGAGTCGAGCCCCCCGATGGGCTGGGCAGCTCCTTCATACAGCCTCTTTATAATCCAATGTTTGGAAGAAGTTAACCGTCAGCCGTCGTTTCCGGTCTCTTTATCTCATAGTCCTGGGTGAAACTGTACAAGCAGAGGAACTGAACGGCTCCGCTGCTGTTGTTTCACAAGTTTCCACGGAACTGGGAATTAATGGTGAAATGAGAGAGACACAACCCTTGTCTGTCAGCCCAGCCGTGCTGCTGCTGTGCATTGTGTGCTTCGCTCTTCTTCCTCAGTCATCAGGCTGGAGGTTGGAGCCGAGCTCGTCCGTACCGCCACCGAGTGGAGACCAAGAACATCCTCAGTGTGTAATAAACGCTAATCATGACATAATATAAAAAATCTGACTATGCTAATGCACAATAAATAGTACATAAAAGAGGACAATTCTGTTTACTACATGTGCACATGTATTTGCACTCACTTTATTGTGATTACGGCAAAAGAAAGAAAGAAAGAAAGAAAGAAAGAAAGAAAGAAAGAAAGAAAGAAAGAAAGAAAGAAAGAAAGAAAGAAAGAAAGAAAGAAAACGATATTTGGCGCCTCTCAAGAGGCTCTTCACAAAACAAAAATACACTGAGCCTGACCAAAGATCAGTAATAATGTATTTATTTCAAAAATAAGGTGTGGAACCTGGATTACTTTACCATAAAAAGTGTTGTACACATGACTACCTACCTATAAATATTGATAATCCGGTAGGTTTGAAAAACAAACTTTCAGTGGAAGTGTGGTTTTCATGGTTTATATGAGAACGGCATTCGCTGCATTAGCTGACCTCCTTTTTGACAACACAGTCACATGTGAAACTCGAAAAATATGGTGCAAAAGTTCATTTATTTCAGTAATAAAATGTGAAACCAATGAATGAGATAAACTCATCACATACAAAGCCTTTGTTACTGAGGTTCACCTGTACATCATCCTCAAATATTGAGATGCTCCTCTATTTCCTCACTATTTTCCACAACCAGTAATTTAGTTCTTGACACTTTAGCAGCTGCTGGTCTCATGTCCCTGGCAAATGTTCAGATATTTAGCATTTTATTAGGCTATAATAAAAACTGCATTACAGAGGATTTTTTGTATTGTGCTGGCTGGGGAAATATGTACATTTTTCTGGGGGGTTTTTTCTCACAGGACTCACATCAAAACTTCAGCACTGTTTGTAGGATCCACACATCACCAGAGCTGTTAGGTGAAATAGACTAAATTCTTGCTTTGCAAAGTTTATTTAGCAAATATATGTATTTAGTCTGGCTTGCCAGGCTTGTTGGGTACAAATATAATGAAAAATGCAGCTGAATAGAATAATGGCAAACCAATATTTAGCAGAATTTCTTCACGTCACGTGTAGATGAAATCTGACCACTTTGGAAAAACACTGTAACCAGAGATCAGTAATAATGTATTTATTTTAAATGTACGGTGCGGAAACTGGATTACCGCACTTTACCATTTCAACCTGAACCTGAGGATTGAATCTCTTCAAGACGTTGTCTCCCAAAACCTCAGTAAGTTTTGAATAAGAAAAAATGTAGTGGAAATGATTAAAAATCCAACTTAGGTTTTTAATTGTTGAACTGCTTATTGAGATTTTGAATTTTTGACACACTAGATGGATCAGTGTCCTGAGTTGTTTTTCTCCAATATACATTTGAATATTTAATCTAAAAAAAACATATGAGGCAATAATATAACCACCAACAATTACTTTTATGATCACTCTAAAATGAATATTTACATTATTAAAGTTAACAAATCTTGAGAGAAATTACATTTGTTGTTTTTAAACCTGTACATTTAATAATTTATCCTATAAACAGTGCTACTAAAGTGATGTAATGTGCTGAATTTTCTATTAACCACTACTACAGTACTGATAAAATGTTCTAAAGTTTAATACACTTCAGTGACAGTTTGGTGTTTCTGATCATTTCAACAGTCCAGACTCAACATTATTCTGAATATAAGAAAAATAACAAATGTCAAATTGATTATAAAACAAGAACAAACATTTAGTAAAGCTAAAAGCGTTAAACTCAAATATTTAGATTTATATATTTATAATTACAATTGATTTCCAGAAAGATAAAACAAACATAAATGCATGTTTTTCTACACCTACTATTCAACATCTGAGTGAAAACTAAACTGGAATAAAACAAAGCCTTTGAAAACATATCCGAGACAATTATTTTACACTCTCAGTAGTTTATTTTAAATTAAAATCCTTCATAGAAATCAACTACCAAGATGTTTTGCTCATAACGATACAATAAAGTTCATTATATCAGTTTAAACTGATCTTTATGCTCAGATGTAGTTTTAGGAGTCTTGATGATTAATGCTGCGTTTTTGAGCTCCCTGTGAACAGAAGGGAGTGCAGCAGAATGCCTGTAGCCACAGAAACGTTCAGTGACTCGATGCCGGGGGACAAGTCCCTTCCAGCTGGGATGGTGAGAAGGGTTTGGCACAGAGACAGCAGTTTGGGCGACAGACCCTCGCTCTCGCCTCCCATCAGCAACACTGTCGGAGCACTCATTTGAAAGTCTGAACACGGGACGACAGGAATGTGAGACACTTCTGTGCCTGCTCCCACTGTACCGACCACCTGCCAGCCCTGCACCACCTTCAGCCTCAGCATTTCCTCCAGGTTTTCATGCGCGTACACCCCCATCACTTCCATCACCCCTGAGCTGGCCTTGCTGACCACCGGAGACAGGGGACAACTGTGGCGAAGACTGCTGATGACCTTGTCCACACCAAGGAAATAGGCAGAGCGTAAGATGGCACCAAGGTTCATTGGGTCCTGGATTCTCTCAAGGACCAGCCAAAGAGGGGCGCTGGTGTCTCGCTGCTTAGCTTCTGAGTCCAAGGCTATGTAGCTGAGAGGACTTACGCACAGACAGACTCCTTGGTGAACTCCTCCAGAGGACATCCTGTCCAGATCTTTCTTGCTAACCCTATTGATCTGTACTCCTCGTTGGTTTGCCTCCTCACATACCTTTAAGACAGAAGCTCTCTGAGAAGTCTCACCATCTTTTACAAACAGTCTGTAGGCATGTCTTCTACGCTGAGTGAGAGCCAAGAAACAGGGGGCTACACCAAAAATCACCTCCTGGGCTTTGGAGTCAAGTGCTGGCTTCTGTATCACCAGCCTCCCACTGTCTGCAGGGAAATCTTCTAGACACAGTTTCCTGAGTTCAGATGACACTCTGGAGACATCTGTCCTCACTTGATTCCGTTTCTGAAACAGGGGGTTCTCAGTCTTTACAAATTTATTCTGGGATGACTTCCCACGGTCCTGCAACCCCCCAGATGCAGCAGGCCGTTGTTGATCACTGGATGTTTTAGGCCCTCTGAAGTGTCTCCTTACAGCTGGGTTCCTGTCCTCTGTCCTCAGGAGACAAGCTGTGACATGGTAAGAAGCTGCCAGAGAGAAAGACTCCAGTGTGTGCAGTTTTCTGCTCCAAAGAAGCATAGTGTTGAGATGACTGAGAGCCGAACTGTCTTGACTAACCGTACTTTAAAAATTGTAGAAACAATCAATCCAGTCCCAGTGAAAATTGCCTGAACAGCCCATGGATCTGCAGATCAACCAGGTGAGCGCAATCCTAATCATCAACATTCAAAAAGCAGAAATACGTTTGCTGCTTTCACGTTATAACAGCACCATTGATCAGCACGTGTACAATGAGATCAGTCAAGCTACAGATTTGCAGACCGGATGCCAGGAAGTTTCCCTTTAAATTAAAAGTCTTGACTGTGGATTTTCATGTCAATACCGAAAACAAAAAATTGCAAACACACTCTCACACTCACACAAGCCATAAATAGATAGATGGATAGATGGATAGATGGATGGATAGATAGATAGATAGATAGATAGATAGATAGATAGATAGATAGATAGATAGATAGATAGATAGATAGATAGATAGATAGATAGATGGATGGATGGATGGATGGATGGATGGATGGAACTGAGGACTTAAAGGAGTCTAAATGATACATGCAAGTTGTTTACATAGGCTGAGCAAGCATGTAAATTAAAGAGCCTAGTAAAACATTTGATAAAAATTCTGACAACTGAACTGACCATGAACTAAGTATCAGAGTCAGCTGAATTAAGCACAAACAAGTGATTTTTGTTTCACAAGCTCACGGTGACTATGTAGACTTTGTGGGCAAGGGCACAGAATCTAAAATATTTTTTCAATCTTTCATTATTTCATTATTTCATTATTTATTTATTTATTTATTTTTACATGATCAATATGTTTAGTAATAGTTTTTACTGTTGAAACCACATTTTCAAAATATTTCTGCGTCAAAGGTCGGTTGCTGACGATCCTCGATGAGTGTCTTATTTTGAAACTTTTCGGCTCCGTTGTACTTGTCCTTTCTTTGTAACTTGACGCACGTGACGCAGTGGCAAAATGTTTCTTCGGGCGTACGCGGCTGCGTCATTTCCCGGAAAAGCAACCGTCTCAACACGGAAGTGTTGGAAAGAAAACAAATAACCGTTTGTTTTATTTTTGGACTCGAGTAAAAGTCGTTGAATTCTCCCTGAGCGCCGTTGAATTCCCAGACTCCCGTGTCGTCGCTGACGAGTGAAGTTAACGGTGAGTGTGATACTGTTCGGTACCACTGGGTTCGGTCTGAGCTTTCAGGTCGGGACAGGAGAACCGAACCGAACAGTGATGAAACCGAACCTTGGGCCTCTAGCCACACAACTGACTGCTGAGTAATTTGAGTCAGGAAAACAGAGTAGTTAGTGTCAGAACTGCTGTTACCGGAAGTATGTTAAATGTGACTTTAAAGTGTTGAGTAAAAGTTTAGCTGGAAAGCCCCTCCGTGTTCAATGCTACTACCTTCACTGGGCTGACTGCATTTCTAAACCAAGGTCAGTTACTCACATTTGTCTGCTGGGACTTCAACTGGCGATCATTTCCTATCTGAGCCTTGTTGATTTATAACTACCGAGTAAATAAATAATACTACTCTTTTATAAATCACACCTGGGTTGGTGACACACCTTATGTGACAGAAACTGTCAGAGACTTGTTATAAACACATTTACGTTTGTGTTAAATTAGGGTTTTTTTGTCTCTATCTTCACTTTATGCCGCAATTTCGCACAAACTTAAAGAGCAAGTCAACCCTTACAAGAAGCATACTCCACTCCTACTTCATGTTTGAAAAATGCAACAAATGCTGTTGCCTAGCAGACCGAGAGGGTGGAGCCACTAACAAATACACACACTCACGACATTGTGACATCATAATGTACCAGTTTACATCATAGCATACCTCTTAGCCAATAGCGGTGGCAGATTTAAATTCAAATGCAGTGAAGAGTTTTTACCTGACAACGGCACAACACTGCCAGTTTCAGGCAGAAAATTTAAATTATAACTAAAATGCACTAAAGTGCAAAACTGTTGACTACACTTGTCTGCAGCATGATTAGACACGCATTTATATAGTTTATCAGAAAAAAATAGTTGATTTGGGGGTGACTTGCTCTTTAAATTACCCAACCAGTTAATGCAAAGATATTTTGTTTATTGGGATAGGGGAACAGAGTTTTCATGTCAGCCTAAAGAAGTGAATAATCAAAAAAAAAGAGAGAGAGAGAAAGAAATTCAAATATTAATCTGTCTTTTAAATTATGATTTGTCTAGGTAGTATATTTCAAATACAGTAAAACAGAAATTAAGCTTCCTTTGTTGGGGTGTTGTGTTCTTCACTCTATACTTTACACTTGTGGTTAAATAGCAGAAAACTGACATAAAGTTGATGTCATTAGTCAGGAGTTGAATGAGTCAGCATTTCTGAACAACTTTATAGTCATTTAACATGAAAAATTATTTTCTGTGTTTTTTTTTTAATTATTTCTGTACCACATCATGTCACATTCAATATTAAATGAGCCTGTGTGTAATATTTATTCTGGGTTAAGTCTAGTTAAGTCTAGTTTTAACAGTAATAAGATTTCGGTTGAATGAATTGAATTTTTGTCAAATTACATGTCCATCCTCAAATCCTCTTCAGGTGTCTTCATAACAATCACAGCATGTCTGATAAAAGCTGAAACATTTCCTCTTTTCAAGTTTAACTTTTCTGGCTGTTCAGCCTTACTAACGTTCTGATTTTGTTTCTTGTGAAAAGATGGATTTTCTGTTTGGGAGGAGGAAGACTCCAGAGGAGATGCTTAGGCAGAATCAGAGGGCGCTTAACAGAGCCATGAGAGAACTGGATCGAGAGCGAATGAAACTGGAGCAACAGGAGAAGAAGATCATTGCTGACATAAAGAAAATGGCCAAACAGGGACAAATGGTGAGGAGAGGGAAGCAGAGTCGATTCACAAGGTAAAGAAGACCTCTGATGGCTGTTGGTGTTGTTTGGTTCTTGGCAGGATGCAGTGAAGATTATGGCCAAAGATCTGGTTCGTACGCGGCGCTATGTCAAGAAGTTCATCATGATGAAAGCCAACATTCAGGCCGTCAGTCTGAAGATCCAGACGCTCAAATCCAACAACAGTATGGCACAGGCCATGAAAGGTGTCACCAAAGCCATGGCCACCATGAACAGACAGGTGTGTGTGTGTGTGCGTGCGTGCGTGTGTGCAACAGAGATACACATGAATCCTTCCTGTGTTTGACAACTAGTTTTTCCACTTTCACAGCTAAAACTGCCTCAGATTCAGAAGATCATGATGGAGTTTGAGCGACAAAGTGAAATCATGGACATGAAAGAGGAGATGATGAACGACGCCATCGATGACGCCATGGGTGACGAAGACGATGAGGAGGAGAGGTGAGGGAATAAGACATTGGTGTTCTCCTCGACTCAGTTCTTTGCCTGTCAAACCAAACCAGCAGTTAGTTAGCATAGTTTAGCATAAGGACCCACGTGCTTTTATTTAGCTTGTTTACAGTTTGACCCCCAGTGTTCTGCTTGTTTGTTCTGGAAGTGAAAGTCAAGAGTTAAAGCCTGACTTGTAACAAGCCACTCCTCAGAGTTTAATGAAGTCTCCATGGTTTGTGTTTTTATTCTGATCTGTTTGTGATGTGTCTCTGCTTCTTGTGCAGCGACGCCATTGTGTCCCAAGTGCTGGACGAGCTCGGTCTCAATCTGTCCGATGAACTTTCAAGTAAGAAAATTTGAGCTCTACTTGTAGAATTGTTACTAATTTATCTCCTTATGTCATTTACCACAACATTGATTTCCTGCTGTGTGTTTATTCCAGGTCTTCCGAGCACCGGGGGAAGCTTGTCGGTGGCGGGAGGGAAGAAGGCAGAGCCCCAGGCTGCCCTGGCCGATGCAGACGCAGACCTGGAGGAGCGTCTGAATAACCTGCGGAGAGACTGAAGCTGTCCGAGAGACGAGCTGTGGAGATTTTGTCAACACAAATATACTCAAATCTGAGTCTAGATTCATTTTGAAGGTGTAACAGTCCAGCTGTCTCACAAAGAGGCTGTTATTAAGGTCTGTGGCGCTGTTTGAGTTTTTTTTCCCCCCCATTTAATGTGTCTATTGTGTATCTTATCAAAAGAAAAACTATTATAAAGGTAAAAAATTCTCCATAGGTTTAGTAAATTCTCAACTAATTCAAAACTCTGCCAAATAAACAGTGACTTCATTATCTGTGTAAATACTAACCTCAAAGCATGTTTTCAGTTTTAATGAACACTAAAATATTTAAAGAAAACCAAAAATAACGGTAATATTAAAGAAAATCATATTTTATATGATTTCCTTTCGCAGATGTCGGTGTTTTGTACCTGAGGCTGGATTGGTGTACTTTCTATCATCATCAAAACATTTTCAGCATTTTTAATATATTTCCTGAAGAGGCTGAAAGTTGTTAAATGTGATCATAAGTTGGTCTGACATTCGTACCTGAGTGGTTTATTTTCTAAGTGATATTGGAAACACTCCTGCATTTTGCCTGGTGACTCTGAGGGTGATGACGCAGAGATCAGCAGCATTTGTCACCAAAAGGATTCACTGGTGTTTATTTTTGAGAAACTGTCCTTTTCTTTATTCAATAAACTTTTTGTTTTCCAGTTTTGAAAAGAAAAACATATGGTTGGACTTTGTTTAATAACCATTCACTCAGAGTGGAAAATATTAAGGTATTTAAATAGGATTAAATTTACTTCCTTTTTAACGTGTGGAAACCTGTAGTCAGATAAGTCTGTCATGTCTGAGTGAGACGGTCAGTTGTGAATGGTAAAGTGGAGGCTACTTTAGAACAAAAACAGCATTCACCGTGAATCAGATATGCCAGAAGTGTAGAAAGGTCGGATAAAAGCAACAAAACAACTTTTTCTACTGAAACTCTTACAAGTTTAACCTGAATTTACCAAAATAAAGAGAAGACTATCTTTAGATCAGCAGATGCCTGTCAACCTGTGGTTTCAGGTTGCCATGGTGATGTTAGACATGGTGTTTTAGGTGGATTTCACACTCAAATCACCAGAACTGTCTTAAACTTGATTTATCCAGGAAAATCAGAACTGTGCATACTTTTCTGGAGCACCACAATTTAATACTGCACGGATTGGTGTGACTTTTTCTGCTCTGAAAAGTTAAACACAAAACCTCCTGTGTGAGAAAGTCTTGTGGTCATTTTTATTTGCACCCAATGAGACATTTGATCGATTTTCTGTCTTTTGGAGCCTTCTGATACAGAAAATTGGTCTCTGTTTATTGACTTCAAAAGTTAAAAGGAAGACATTTTTCTGCACTTTGGTGTCGAATTTCTGATTGATTGGGGCAGCAAAATGAGTACAGGTATGGTCATGGGTTGGGAATGACACTAGTGTTTTTGTGACATTAATGCCCTTCTTAACCTCTGAAGCTAAATACAGTGTAACAGCTGCCTCACGGGTGATGTGAAGACTGAGTTAATATCTACAGATTTAATAAAAACAGCTCAATTATTTTGTTACAAACTAAATAATTTGATTTCAGCTCAACTCATTTTGACCAAGTCAATGATCACAGTCACATCTGGTACAAACTTCATTACCAATCTTTAGTTTTAATACATTTACTGGTCTATTATAAAGACATCTATAATCTATGGTCACAAAGACCAACAACTGAATTATTTCAGAGAGAAATCTATGGTTATTTCCATGTTGTAAGACTTGTGAATCCTCAATAGAATGTAGAAAAGCTGGATTTTCTTCAAGTCCTTTATGTTTTTGTATTGTTGCAGGCTAACAACAAACACTATTCAGTCAATCCTAGGTGGTAGTGAGGCAGCATATTGAATAATAATAATAATTAAAGCTGCAAGCAGCGTCGTTCGGCCCTCGCAGCTCCGGCCTGGCCGGCAGTTTGGTGCACCCGGGTACGTCCGCTGAACATAAACATCGACCACCCTGACACCAGAAACAGTGAACGGTCTCTTCGTCTGCATCACACCCTGACTCAGCATCTTCTCTGAGCCGACCATTAAATTACACATCTAACTACTAGGGGATACTCTATCTTTACCACACTGGTGGTGTGATGACACAGACCAAGTTTAATGCTATTCGACCACATTTTTTGAAGTTAAAGGTTAAAGTTATCTGTGACCAACTACAGAAAAATCCATTTGAGGTCAGCTTTGGTTGACAGAGATGGTTTTCTGTTATTTTGGCATCAATCAGACGTTGTGTATGTTATCTAGAGCCAGAGAGCCGAAAGGGGGTGGAGCTACAGGGGTTGAACCATTGACATATAAATATTGGACAATGGGTTTCCATAGACTCCTATAACATGTTTTTGAGGCCAAATGGGAGGTGGCCATCACCGCCATTTTGACCGTGTCACAGGTTCCGTCAAGCCCAGACAAAAGGGAAGAGAGGTGGAGCTGAGGGTGGGGCTGTAAGGCTGGGATCAACTGACGACACCCGGTCGAACTAGCTACAAGCTAATCTGAAGCTAACCCAAAGCTAACACGGAGGTGGGAGCTAAGCTAATGGAGGTAGCAACCTAGCTACAACCGGAGTTAACTGTGCACAACACCAGAGCTTCTGAGTTAGAGATACGCCGGGCTGACCGCTGGGTAAAACCGGGTGGAACACAGAAGTCTCCGAGAGCTCCACAAGCCGGCAGCCGCACAGCAGACAAGCACCGTTGCGATCTGAAATGCGCAGAGCTGCCGCTGGGGAGACCGGGTGGAAAGGTTTCCATCCCAGAGCTCCACAAGCCGGCAGCCCGTGCAGCAGACAGAAGCCGCGATCAGACAGAGATGCGCCGAGCTGCGGGGAGGGGAGAACAGGTGGAAAGCAGAGGTCTCCCGAGAGCTCCACAAGCCGATAGTTGGAACCCAGCTCCACCAACATGTTATATTTCAACCCATTTTCTAAAGTGCAGCATTGTGTTAAATGCACTGGGTTTTACCCTATTACATTTAAAGTTCATGGTTAAACAGTACATGTTAAAATCTAAGCTCAGCTCGGCAGTGACCTAAAATATATAAATATAATTTTACTTACAGAAAAAAATGAAGTGGAGACTCCTTGGATGCTCTATTAGTGCAATTAATGCCACAACAAGTCATTTTGTCCAACAATTGCACAAAAAATAACTAAACAAGAATACACAAACACAGAGACTCAAAATCCCGGAACAGTTTCCAAGCCAGACCGAGGCTCTGCTGAGGCATTTTCACGGAGCTAGCACTGTGGTCACGTGGGTCTGATGCTCATTAATTATACAGAATTTTAGGCTTTTAATACACTTAAACAGAAGAGTGAAAAAAAAATTCACCCCCATCTGAGTTGTCATGAGTGTAAACTAGATAATTTAAACCAAAAACATGTTTTGGTAACATGTTTATTTCTGCTGTGAAATTGGTATTTTTAACATGGGAGTCAATGAGGATTTGCTCGCTTCTGACACCAGACCCAGCGGATGAGGGTGGAACTGCAATTTTTGGTACTTCCGGGTTGGCCTCAATTTTTGAGCCGCATTGTGGGGGATTGGTTTGAACCAACAACCACATCAATGTGTTTAGTGCAGTCACGTGATGACACAAGCCAAGTTTAATGCCATTGTGACCTTGTATTAGGAAGTAATTAACTCTTGATCTTATCTAGGGGGTGCTGTAACCAATTACATAAAAATCCCGTTGAGGTCCTCTTAGGGAGTCAAAGATGGTTTTGTGGTAGTTTGGCATCAATCAGACGTTGCGGGTGCTCTCTAGAGCCAAAGAGCTGAAAGGGGGCAGAGCTAAAGGGATTTGAACCAACAACCACATCAATGTGTTTGGTGCAGTCCTCTGGACGGAGGACGACGAGAGAAGTTGAAGAGAGTCTTAGTCTTGGACTTAGACAGTTAGAGTTGACACAAGTTGACAAAGTAGCAGCAGTTATTCTCAGGAAGATTTTTAGAAGCAGCATCCTCCTAAGGGGATTGTTAATCTTATATTTACTCTTTTTTGTATTTTTAAATTTTGAAATAAATTTTTTGGAAAAAGAATCCTCGTTCTCGATTCTTAAAGGTCTCTTTTAGCCTTTTGAGTTGGGAGCCCCGACCAGACCTAAAGGAGAGGTAAGCCACCTTGACTTGCTTGTTCCTGTGCTTCAGGACTTGTTTTCAGGTTGTGACAGATTAAGAAAAGATACCTTAGGTAATGGGAGCTAGTCTCCCCTCCTCCTTGGTAGTGGGACACCCTAAGGAATGTTTAGATCATAATGGTTTGATGGTTCAAACAGGCTCTGTTTTGCACTGAAAAAGTCTCTGTTTAGCGTGGGAAGGAACCATTTCAAAGGGTGGATTAATTAGATTAATAGATAAATCCATGTTAGTCTGATCAACTAACAGGAATCATTTTCTAGTTACCATCGCCCACATTGCTGACAGAGGTGCAAATTAACCCTGATAGGACCCAAATAATATGAGATGGCCTCTAGTGAACTTCCGCCCTAGTATTTAAAACAATGAAATAACGGGAGAGTTTAAAAGGAAGAGTGTTATCACAGAAGAACAAGTACGACAATTTTCATTTCACCTTAAACTAGAAAACGAGTTCTAAATTAGGGAGTCCAAACCATGGGTCAGTACGATAAAACTCACCTACGGCCTCAACCTCCCTGAAAACTCAGCGTATTCTAAGGTTCTAACTGAACCAGGTTCTAACGGAACCAATAAAAGTACAAGCTTGCGACAAATGTAATATGTATTGCTTTATGCCTCTCTGCATGCCCACTAATTCAGACACACCCGCACAAGCCACACACACACACATTCTTGACTTCCCACACACACAATCTCTCTCGCTCTCTCTCTCTCACTCCCATCTCTCTATAAATAAACTCTGTGAACAGATGTCCGGGGCATTTTGTCTCGTGCATTATGCCACAGTTATAACTGTTTGACTTGTCTGCTCATTGTCTCCTTCTCTCTTCACTATAGGAAATGGGTTATTGATAAACATATTGATACAATCCATGACAGCCTCTTAACCCTCTCAGGCTCTAAATAGGTTTTGATAAAAGGACGAACAACTAAGTCCTTCAGGGGTACTTCTTGGTTAAAAAATGCTCATGAAATACGTATGTGGAGTAACCAGGTAGGTAGGTTTTAACTGTTGCAAATCTGCAATGTCTGCCTCCAGAGGGTTAAGCTAAAAATCATGAGGCGCTTCACAAGAACTAAAAATAAAAAATGGAGAAAAAGTAAAAATTTAGATAAAAAATTTGAAAGAAGGAAAATAAATAAGTATGAAAAAGAGGACTTGGTCAGAAGCCAAGCACAGGCGTTCGGAACCACCTGTAGACGGTTCAGGGAGGTTCTGCTCAGACATGTGAAAAGAGAGTTGCAGTAGTCTAAGCGTGAGGAGATGAAGGTGTGGATAACTGTCTCAAGTTCAGAGCGGGACAGAATGGGACTCAGCTTAGCAATGTTCCTGAGATGGAAGAAGGAAGAGAGAACAAGAGAACTGACATGAGAATCCAGGGTGGGACCTGGGTCAAAGGTCACACCAAGATTCCTGACAAGAGGGTTTGGTGTGAGAAGCAAGCTGACCAAGAGAGTCTCTGACTCTGGGAACCAGCTTGTCTGGGGCACAGATGAGGATCTCAGGCTTATCTTCGTTCAGCTGTAGAAAGCTCCCAGCCATCCAGGTTTTGATAGAGTCTAAGCAGGAGAGTAACAGCTGCAGCTTAGACATCTCATGAGGCTTAAAGCTGATGTACCGTTGGATGTCATCTGCATAGATGGTTGGAGCTTCCTTTAAAAAAGCTCAGGATGTGCTGGTAACAGGTTACTCTGTGTTTAAATCAAACTACATGAATCATTTTAGCGCAAAGTAAAAAATATTTAAAATGTTTTTAAAAATACACCAAATCCATGTCCATAAACATTAGTTTTATTCCAAAAATTTAACTTTCAAAACTGGTCAATTTGTCAACATACAATCATAGAACAATGTTGAATGTGCGAAACACCTCCAACATTAAATAATAAAAAAATAACAGCCATGTTTTATGTACATTTGTTTCTGAAAGCTATGTACAGTGACAAAAAAATGTTTGCACCTCCTTTTAAACTCTGCCTTGGCAGACGCCTGCAGAAAAGCTTCAGCATCAGAACAGGAAGACAGAAATCAATCAGTGCGATTGGAACGAGCTCAGAACGGGCAGGTAGAACTACAACTAGAGAGCCTGTTAATCGTCTAATCAGCTGATGCAGTGCATGTGCAGAACTCTCCAAATATGAACTGGCTGTAAGCAGATTATTAAAGATCAGAAAGACATACGTCAATGTTTCAGCCTGCTGTTCTGAAAGGAGCAGCTTTTCAACAACCCATGCGTACAAGGTTAACATTTTTAGATTTTGTTGCCCGAACAAGCAGGCAAAAGCTCTCCACTCTTGGATCAAGCCATGCTACCATCTTATTGTTGCAACAGAGTCCATGCAGCTCACATAAAAAGGAAACCAACAGTAACAAAGCAAGTCTTCCACTGGTTTCAGTTGCCATGCCAACACACAACCAGCACCAGTTTACTGCTTATCCGTACAATGAATTGTCTTAAGTTTTTTTTAATAATTTCTGTAAGCATGCTGGTTCTAAACTCCCAGCATAACGTCTAACATTAATAAAATTTTCTTAAATGTGTGTGCAGACAACAATATGAGCAGTACACAGCACGATAGTCAGATTCTGACTGGTTTTTCCACTTAAGCAGGAAGAATGAGCGCGGCAGAACTACTCACAGCAATATTCAGCTTCAATATTAGTGAACAGTTTAGGCTTTGTTTTGTGGACAAACCATTTTCCTACAAGCTCAAGATGACAGAACATTAGAACTGACTGAAACTGTACGTTGGAGCGACTAAAACAGATTTTCTATGGCACAGAACATGCCCCGAACTCCTGCATCAACGGATGCTAACGTGTCGAAACAAATCTTGTTTTATTTTTCCCAACTTTTAAAATATTTCTGCAGTAGATCAGCTGACCCATGGTAAGATGTTGCTTCAAGCTAATACAAAGATTTGTTCCAGCCATCATGGAGCAGAAACCCTCTGCAGTTGATGCCGCTGGAGTTTCACTTCCGACACGTTCGGTGAGGCGTGTGTTTCTTGGGCACCTCGATGCGACATCGACTTCGGTCATCCAGCCAAGGCAGCTCAAAGTTCCTGTGTGTGTGGGTGTGGGGAGATATTTGATTAGCCCACTTTTAAATAAAACACATGAATGCAAATTCATAATATTCATCCCAGTAGAACAAATTATTAACAAGAGAATAAGGACAGATGAAGATGTTAAATACTGAAAAAGAGTTACAACTACACAAAACTTTCTGTTTCAAGGACAAGAAGGTACAGAGCTGTTGTCTGCAGCTGCATTTAACATTAATCAATCGTCACCAAAAAGGTTATCGTTTCCAGCTGATATCAGAGACTGAGCGACAAAATGACTAAACTACACATAAACAATAATTATAATATTTTAAAATAAAAATTATGAATTTATTCTCTAAAAACGATTAAAAGGCGAAGTACTGAGCTTCATTGCCAATTTTTTAAAATACATTTGTGCACATTGTTTGTCGGTCAATTGATTTCTGTTTTCTTCCTTCACATTAAAGGACAGGAGCACAGAAATCTGTCTGAAGTGATTGATTAAAATGCCAATATTTTTAGCAAATGCATCATTTCTAATGTTAAAATGAGAACATAATGTCTTATAGGATAAACAATAAACACAGAAAAAGTTTAAGCTCTTAAAGGTATGGGAAACTTGATTAATCGAGAATGTCTTGCAAGCAAAAAATGCCCAGAAGCGCTCGGAGCAGCACAGACATGCCTGTCGCAGCAGTAAGTGGCACCACATGGCAGGATTTGGACTCTTATTTTCTCATCTCAGATTGGATAACGGCAACACGACGCTACCACTGACTCCCAACGCTGATGTTTTATCTCCACAAATACCACAACCCTTAAGGAGTTTTTCTGCGTGGTGGAGTTGCTAATGCTAATGGTTAGCTTCTACTAGTCGGCACATTCTCTGCTGCTTGCAGGTCACTAAACCAACAACAGCTTTCCCCGTCTCGAGCCAATATGGGTGAGTCCATGACTGTAATGTGACGTAGATCTGTCAGGCTTTTCAAATCCTATAATTACTCTGTCTATTTTCTATCAGAAGCTAATGCAGGAGATAGGTGTAGGAGACCATTTTGATGTTCAGCCTGCATGAAAAACTCAGTGACTGATTATAATCAGAAATAATAATTAAGAAATGGTTTTTAAGCCTTTCACACCTTTAAAAGCAAAACCTTCATATTGTTGAACCTTGAACTGCTGCTGATACAATAAAGCATTTATGTAATTTATTCTATATTTCAAGCAGGAAGAGCCTTTCTGATCATCTTATCCAACCCGGCTCAGATCAGCTAACTTAAACTTAAGCTAACTTGATTCTTTGTGACATTTTTTACTTACTGTTGTGAGAGTTTGGGCAGTGGCCGGCCAAAAGCGACCACGGGCAAGAATGGAGTGACCACTATAGCTTCAACTGGAAGAAATGAAAAAATCAAATTAAAACATCATCTTCACATCCACGCTCCTCTGCTGGCAGATAGGATCCCAGCAAACAGTTCTGTACAGGTTAATTGTGGCGCCGTACCATCTTCGGTTTCAGGGTAGAAGGACGAGAGCTCAGGCTCCGCCTCCTGGATGACCTTCTTCCTGTTCATGCGCTGCTGCAAACGCTGGAACATGCGCTGCTCTCGGATCCTCTGTATGTCCCACCTAGAAGCAAACACGAGTATTTAAAGAGGGAGGAGTCACTTTAACCCTGTGGAGATTGTGTTATTGTGTACGACCAGAATGTGAACGTCTGGAGGAGAGAATATAAAATATCTGTTGTTTCCTCTTTGATGTTCTGAGTTTGGTTGGCAGAGATGGAAACGCGTACTTTAAGAGCAGTCACTTAGATAATAATTAGCGTGCTCTAATTTACTTGCATGTTTATAACAATGTAGAGTTTAATGTCCAGAATTAGCCATGAAGTCTGTATGTATCCATTTTAAAATTTATGTTAAAATATTTTCTTTTGGAGTGTTTTGCGCTTAGAGTAAAAATCCAAGCGAGATGAGAGGAAACACCGTCTCCTCTGTGTTTGGTAGAGTCTCATAAGATATCCAGAATGATGTAATCTGATGTGAACGGTACCTTTTCCTCCGCTTCTCATCCAACTCCAGCTTTGCGTGGCGTTTGAGGAACGCGCCGTCATCCAGCGGCTTGATGGAAGACAGAGTTGAAACGTTAATTGAAAAGGTTAAATGCTTTTGGATCTGACCAAATGCTCACCACGTTCCTCTCAGACGTGCCTCACCTCGGGGGGGTTGCAAGAAGAGTCCTCTTCCACAGGCTCTATGTGGTTTTCCCTCCAGGAGGGGACTGGCAGGTGGGGAGAGATAAAGGGGAGGGAGTTATTCATAGATGGTTTGCTCAGTAGATGTGTTGGATAAAGTGATTAAAGTTGGGATATGGGTTAGGCTTACAAACAATCAGCATATCATGTACTACATGAGGAGTCCACTCACTGGCCACCTCTTCCTCTTTCTTAGGGGAAGTTTCTCGCAGCGGGGAGAGAGGAGGTTGGTTCCAGCAACACAGATACATCTCTGTGGTTGACATGAAGGGCAGATCCTCCATCTGGCAGCTCAGCTCCGGCTCCTCTTTGCACGGGAGCAAACTGTCCCTTTCTGGTCCTGACCTTGCTGAGAACATATTCTCAGGGGTTTCTTTACTGCGCAGCTCTCTTTGGTTAGGAGAGCCGGGCTCCAGTTCAGACTTCTGGGGACTTAGCTTTGCACTTTTACCCCGAGATTTCTGACCCTTAGCATCCCCGAAACAAGACTTCCTGTGTTTGCAAAGAAAAAAAAAAAGTTTGTGCATGTGCAACAGTGGAACCAGAAACTTGTATTAGTTTAGACCACAGGCTGTCAATGTTTCTTTTTTTCTTTCTTTCACCTTTTTTGCCCCTTGCCTCCCCGACTGAATGGTAAAGGAGTGGCTGAGTTGGGCTGTAAGCTCTCCTCAATATCCAGATCCCACATGTCCTCCTTGTCAGGAGTCCATGGTTCCAAAGGCTGGAAGAGGCGCTTGTCACGAGGCGGATCCTTTCTTGTGAGCTGGAGGCGACGCTCCATACGCTCAATACGTGCAAGTAACTGCAAAAAACAAAAAACAATCTACATGGTAAGTGAAAAAGCCAAATTTAAGGCACATCAAAGCAATACACCATACAACTATTAGTTTAACACACCATCTCCTTATCTGATTTGAGCTCATCGATCTCCTTGTCCTTGGACTGCAGCTGTTGCTGCTGCTGTTCGATGAGGTCCAGCTGCAGGAGAAGAATCTGACGGAGGCAGTTGGCTTGTGCCTGGGGACTGGCAGGAGTCTTCCTGATGTTCCTCCATTTACCCTCAGGGGAGAGCTCGATGGAGGCAGAGCCAAGGACTCCAGGGACAACCCCCCTTGCACTGTCACCAGCACCAGCATCTCTAGGAGTGTTGTTCACAGCCATCTGAGGATTATCCATGTTATCAACAGAGAGGGTTTTACCTTTCACTGGGGTTCCCTCACCCCCCATTGGTCTGACAGGGGACAATACCCCCACAGTTTTGTCTCCTTGAACTATTTCTGTGACTGTGGCAGCAACGAGTTTGCTTGTCATGTAAATCCGATTTAAGTTCTGTGACAGGTTTGGGATCTTGCCCTTCTTCTGCAGGTCGTGCACATCTAGAACAAAGGCGCAGGGCTGCCGCTTGATGCTCACAGGACTCACGGCGTGTCTTTTGTCGTCGGTGTCAGCGTTCTGCCTGAACCATGGGTTTGAAAACTGCCTGGATCTCAGAGTCATGACAGGCACGAAAATCTCATTTTGCGGCGCCACAGTGGTCCAACTCACCACCCAGCCGGGAATGTCTGTAAAACAAACATAGTAAGGACCGGTATATGATTACGTGTTGAGCAGGAACTACGCAGCTACTGAGAACACTTTCAACCCAAGAAAAACGTGTCAGAATAAATGTACATCTTTCATTTAAACCTTTCTGCGAGCAAAACGTAAGCAAAGACGCATTAGCTCTAAGTTACATCACTTAAAGAGCAAACACGGTTTTTTTCAGGAACTGAACTGATAACTGCTGCGTCAGGGCAGACATTTTAGTGTGAAGGCTTTCAACGAGGACTCAGGAGACTCGGGAGTGGCTGAGTAGGACAGCAGTCTCCTCCATTTTGGTTCTCTTGAAAAACAATAACAGCCAGCTAGCTAGCTGGCTAACGTTAGCCGGCTAGGCTCACTTCGAAAATTCGTCTCCGGAGCAAATACAAAGTAACGACGACGTCATAACACTAAACGCTAAACCGGACCCGTTTTAATGCACGTTAGTTTTTATGTTATAATCTTACCTCGAGCGGAATTCAAGGGAGACTACAGTATCTTCGTGTTCCCTCCTCAAGACTTGTATTAAAGCGCCCTCTACAGCGCATGCGTAATGTGTTGGACAGTCATATATATATATATATATATATATATATATATATATATATATATATATATATATATAACGTCTGGTGGAAAACTAGAATGTTAATGACGTGCCGAAAAGAAGCTTTACAATTTTACAAACAAAATGTTATTTTCATTTAATAGCTTATTTTACATCTATAGTATCTATATTATTTGTTATGTTTTCTTCAATGTACTGTAAAAATAATTTAAGAAATTAATGTAGTGCACTACATAAATTTAGATCAGGTTTATTAGCTCTATCACAGATTTTTAGTTAACTAAATATACATTCTCCTGTTTGTGAAACAGACAATGGCTGTCTTACGTTGCTTGCATATCTGAAGTGTTCTCAAGAGTACAAGAAACCAAAAAACGTGATGCAGCAGTGATATACTTTTTTCAGATGAAAATAGTTAATTAAACTTAATATTTTATTTACTGACTCATTCAAAAATGTACATTTGATTACTGCAAGGTAAAATCATTTCAATATCTAAGGCACAAATTTAAATAAAATCTCTTTTCTCATAAGTATTTGAGGCTTTTCAGACTTACTGTGGCCTGTACGTTACCCACCGAAACACCAGGGGGCGGTAGCTTAATATACAGGAAGTAGATTTACTTCCTGTAAGATAGAATGAAAACAGTTTTGCTAAACGAGCGTTAAATATGCTACATCTTTCTGGAAAACTACATTTAGAGTTTTAGGAACTGAATATATATATATCATAGACTGATAGTGTAAAGGCAGAACTTAGTGTATAATGTCGTGTCGTGGTGAAAACATTAGGAACTAATGAACAGCTAGTGTTTTCTGTGAAGCTATGGCGTATTTCTGAATATTAATGTAACAATATCTGGGATTTGTGTCATCTGTCTGCGTTAAACCCACCTGTAGTTTACTTTTAGAGTTTCCACCCAAAACCACCACAATGCATCGTAGAGGTGTCGGTGCGGGAGCTATAGCCAAAAAGAAACTGGCCGAGGTTTGTTTACACCATTGTTAAACATTTTATTGTTGTTTTAAAGGCGTGTAAACTTAAAAATTTCTAAAAGGCGATGTTATAAAACGTTTTGGAAATATTCAGTATTGTTTGGATTCTATAGTTATAGAAAGTGAAAAGCTTACAAATGATTAAATGTAGGCTTCTTGCTGTAAACATTATTTATAGTAATCAGGAAATAAGTCTTTCTGGTAAAATCAGCACTCAAAATCATAGCAATGTTTATTATGATTAAAACAGTCTGAGTAGACCTAAAAGAAGCTGTCATCCAACAAATCTATCAAAATTACTATTGACGACTCTTCAAATGCACTAAACACGCCATTTGTTCATTCTTGTCATCTCAGCACATTTTTATTTACAAAATATTCATTAGGAAATACGAGTTAAATCTTCGATATCCCTAAACTTTGTTTTGTTTGCAGGCCAAATATAAAGAAAGAGGAACAGTACTTGCAGAAGACCAGATTGTACAGGTAAGTTGTTTATTTAAACAGCCATAGGAAGATCATTTGTTAAATTTACCTGCCTTGTAATGATGTCAAGCATTAATGGTGAAGAAAAATGAAATATTGTTTGTTTCCACCCTCTCACGTGAGAGGATTTGGCTTCTGAGATAATTGTTGTTTTTATTTACTAATGTCTCTTGAGATGTGTGAAAAGTCAAATCGTTGATGTGTTTTAGATTTTCTTTTAAGGTGAAAATCTCTTAAATTTTCCTTGTGACCGTCTATTAAAAAAGAAACTGGCTCCAGTTTGTTAGAAAAAGCATGTAGCCATAAACTGAAATTACTGTACATAGTAAAGAACTTTTTCAGTCCTCTCTTAGTCTATTAATTTCATTTGTGCATTGTATTAAAACAAATGTCATGTTTGCTATCATTTTGGAACTGTTTAATTTTAACATATAAAATATTACAATAATATAATATTGTTTTTTTTTCTTTCTGCCAGATGTCAAAACAGTTGGAAACATTTAAGTCCAACCTGGAGGAGTTTGCCAGCAAGCACAAACAAGAGATCCGTAAGAACCCCCAGTTCAGGGTCCAGTTTCAGGAAATGTGTGCCACTATCGGCGTCGATCCACTTGCTTGTGAGAATTTCTTCGATTCTTTGTTTTATACATTTGAAATGAGAGGGGTTCCTGGTCCAACAACACCATGAAACCTGATTTCTTCTCCCCTCATAGCTGGAAAAGGCTTTTGGTCTGAGATGCTCGGCGTTGGTGATTTCTACTATGAGCTTGGTGTTCAGATCATTGAAGTGTGTCTTGCCCTGAAACACAGAAATGGAGGTTTGTAATGATGCGTTTTTGTGGATCTGATTCATCTGATATTATGTTAACAGGGTCCAGTACATGTCAGCAACAGTCAGTGGCAGCTTGGTGGATTTAGTACATTTGAAAGTGTGTGTGTGGGATTTTACTCGTGTGTTTTCTAACAGGGTTAATAACTCTGGATGAGCTCCACCAGAGAGTGCTGAAGGGACGGGGTAAATATGTTCAGGATGTGAGCCAGTAAGTTCGACTGATTAAATTTCTGTTTCCATAAGGATCATCCTTTCTGATAATGATGCGTTGCATCGTCATTTCTCCTGGGTGATCTGTAAAATGAGTTTGTTTGTGCTCCACAGAGACGATTTGGTCAGAGCCATAAAGAAGCTGAAGGTGATGGGAAATGGTTTTGGCATGATTCCTGTTGGTGGGTCTTACTTGGTCCAGTCAGTCCCAGCAGAACTCAACATGGATCATACTGTAGTGCTGCAGCTGGCGGAGGTGTGCTGGAGCTTTGAGTTGGTTTTGCTGTTTTACTCTTTTTTTTTTTTTGATGTGATATTTTCTGTTAGTCTTTCTTTTCCTCTTCAGAAACAACAATCGCAAACAGATCAAACATCAAGTATGTCAGTTGTTGTAATTCACAAAATCACAACCATCGGCCTGATGTTGCAGCTTCCATGTTAATATCAGAGGACACGATTGAAACCAGAAGCTTTCACTGATTTATGAAAGAAGTCTGTTTCAGAATTTTGTTTCTTTTTTTCTGTTTGTAGAAAAAAGGCTACGTGACCGTGAGTGAGATCAGAGACAGCTTGAAATGGGAGAAGGAGCGAGCCTGTCACGTCTTGGTGAGTGAAGGAGGCGTTGCGCTTTAAAAATATAAAAACAAACAGTGCTTCCTTCTAGCTGCAGGAACGAGGCACATTTTCTTCTCAACAGCCATGAATTTTAGAAACTTAGATTTTTCAATGAATAAAACAATTTTTTACATAAATGGTTGGATAAGTCGATCAATAATCAAGGTTCCGAACGTACGCCAAACTATTCCTGTTGAAAACTGAATAGTGCTTATTTGTGTTTAAGTGTAAGTAAACAGATCTAAGGCCTTATGACGGGGAAATCCTGCGCTCATATTGAGTAATGTTTCAGGATCATCTGCTGAAGGAAGGGTTGGCCTGGCTAGACTCGCAAGCAACTGGAGAGGCTCACTACTGGCTGCCAGCACTCTTCTCCGAGCTGACCTCTCGTGATGTCACACCAGAGGAAGCCAATCAGATGACGCCTTAAAGCGCCACCTGGATTTAGACGAGCGTCGTGTTGATAAACAAAATGTGCCTGAAGGTTCATGTGAGGGAGCTGGATGAACTCCTCCTGTGATCAGACTCTAGGAGGAGGTTTTCTCCTTCTCAGGTGCTCTTTCATCATGAAGAAAACTACTGGACAAGGAGTTTGTTTTAGTCTTGGTGGTGTTTTGCTTTAAGGGCTCATAGGGACACATTTTAAATGTTATAAAAATGTAGTTTTTATTTCTTGCAATAAAATGGAACATTTTAAATAAAAAGTTTGCAACAGTTTTGAGTTTTTCTTTATTCAGATCAGCCTCCTTAACACATTCATACAGAATCATCTCTGACTCAAACTCACTCCCGTTTCACCCAGCGTGTATACGTGAATCAAACATCGTTAAATACTCTGCTCTTATTGTAGTCGATCAAATTACTCTCAAATCATTAAAGTGCAAAGCTTTGAGTTACCATCTACTGGTTATTTTTGCATCGTAAGCTACAGGTCCCAACCCCTTTAAGGCTTGTTACTCGTTTACTTCAAAAGGCATCTTCCAGGTTCAAATTTTAAGACTTTTTATGGCAGCATTAGTTACATAAATCAGGGTTCAAAAAAGCAAAGATTACACAAATTAATTTTAAACGATCCCAATTAAAGTTTAGCTTTAACAATTACATTTAAATAAATCGTCATGTCTGGCTCACTCAGATGTAAGGTGTCCCACAAACATGTCTCCCTTTATTAAAAACACCGACAACAACCCGCTTCACACCAACATGATCAGTTATCCATGTATTAAGGTCTATAAAAACTGCTTTTCCATGAACTTCTCCAGTGTCAGGAGTTGTTCTATTAATGTATGTCTGTCTTTTTTCTGTTTAGTGATAACTCAGAATAAGAACCATCAGCTATGTGTCTTGAATTGAGTCTAGTTATGTTTCTACAATCACTGCAGATTTAAAACAGCACAGCATCTAACGGGCAAAGGTTTAGGCATTTTAAGAAAGCTGGGCAGATCATGAAAAAATTAAACATTCACATGAACAGTTTCTTTATTTCTAATTTTCTATTTCAGGACAACCTGCAGAAAGCATCTCAGTTAAATAACAGTATTGGCTGCAGGAGTTTAACATCAGAGTTCAGTAGATTGTTGCCAGTGATTTTGTAAAAAAGATTTACGCACTAAAAAACAATTTCTAACCAACTTTAGATTTTTTTCTTTTGGATCAACAGATGAAAGAAAGGCACCTATATTTTAAAGAATTATAGAAAGAAAAAAAACTGTTTTGGGGCAAATTTGAACTTACAGAACTAAACATTTCAACCCTTCCTATTTAGACATTTTGATCTGCTTCACATTTAAAAAAGTAACACACGTGATGTTTGCTGTGACGAACGAGAGCAGATCTCATCTGGAGCTCGTCCAGAAGTCCGTGACCGTTAAGTAAAATCCCCACCACCAGCGCCCTCACAGCTCGTGGCCGTAGACGTGATCTTCGAACACAGATTGCTCCATGTGGTCACAGATCATGGTGCAGAAGGGACAAACCCGGTGGCTCTGCTCGTGCTGCTCCAGCTCGTTCTCAGTTATTCCTGGAAAGCTCTCCTGGCAGTGACGACACACCAACACCGGCTGGAGGCGGAAATAAGAGACACCGCGTCACAAGAGGAAACAAAATCAGGAGTGGATTATGTTTGGAGTTAAAAATAAACGGCAAACAGCCGAGTGACCCAGCTGGATGAGCAGATCATCATGTGAAACACGTGTGAGGAGGGATGTTTTTATCATTCATTAGGAGGTGAGAGAGGCACACGACATCTGGTCCTCATTCTAATTTGTGCCAAAATTAAACACTTGCTTTTCTAAATTTACATAAAATCATGAATCATTTCATGAAAAACTGTTTTTTTGCTTCACATCCCAGTCTAATTACATTTAACACATACAGCTGTAGGCCATTTTATATCAATATCAGATTATTGCAAACATTTCATCTTTTTGGGTTCAGTTCATTTCAGTCATTTTCACTGATTTGTTCCATATATTTCCCAGTTTAAAATAAAATCTGCTTCATTAAAGGGACTAAATTGGTTATAATTAGACATTTAATCCTGCTGAATCTTAAAAGTAAATATGTTTTTGTCTTATTTTCCTTCTTGGATAAGAGCAGGTTTGTCTGCTTTAGGGTTGTCACGGTGTGAAAATTTAACCTCACGGTTTTGTGACAAAAATTATCACAGTTTTCGGTATTATCGCGGTATTTTTATAAACGTGTTATATGTTCAAAATAAACCCTGTATATCAGGAAACATTGTCCTCAGTTTGTGTCTAAATTTTGCCTAAAATGTGTTATTTTGTAATTATGTTTTTATTTGTTTAAATTTTTTCTCTTTAGTCTTTAAAATACCAATATTTGCCCATAACTTTTTTTTGTGTGTTTGATGTCATCATTTAAAAAATATTAGATCAGATGATACTCAGTACTCAAGTAGCCTTCTAATCAGATACTTTTTTACCCTTACTTGAGTAATAAACCCTATATCAGGAAAATATTGTCCTCGGTTTGTGTCCTTCCAGTGAGCTTTGCAGATGTGGGAAAATGTCATCAGGCAGTAATCATTGTTAAATTCATAATTATTCTCGGAGAGAGGCCAACTCTTATCTGCCCCTGGGAGCCCCGTAATGCATAGCGTCATTTCAACATGGGAGTGTCCGCGACACGGTTTATATGCAGGTAGCGGCGCTGCGGCTGCTTTATATAGCCACTCGTTGCATTCTCCCTCAACCCAAATCCTCGGATCACGCATTTTAGCTAAAACGTTAACGTTAACTTGCCTTGTGTTGACTGTAGAGTTGTGGGTGATGGTCAGGCAGATGTGTCATGAGATTTGAAGCATTGCTGCCTTTCACAGACACTTTTTCTGCACGTGCTGCAAACACAACTGTCCCTCGGCATTCTTCAAATATCCAAAAAATGTCCATACTTCCCACTTTGTCTTCTTTGAGGGATAATGAATGTCCTGAGCGCTGCCGTCTCCTCCTTTGGCCATTATTTCAGCTTTAGCTTCAACAAAGTTTTGGTTGTAAACAACAAAGTGCGCATGTGCCGCCGGCAACTTCAGCAGATGATACGGTGGCTGGTAAGGGTCACCGCGCCTACACCACAGCCACAGTAATCCAGAGAGATAATATAGTTTTTAAAAAACAAGACGGTTATTATTATTGTCAACTTTTTTACCGGGATTTACCGCTACACCGGTTACCATGACAACCCTAGTCTGCTTTAGTAATTAATATCACAAAACCTATACAAATTCAAAAGATCTGTAAAATTTTATAATTTTTTTGTACATTTTTATACATTTTCTGCACATACAAGTTTTGTTTGTTTGATTGCTATGTACACAGAGCTGTTTTTGTGTCGTCATCTGAATTCATTTTGCTATAAGATGTGTGTAACACTGTGTAACAAAATTCTCATTTGTGGGATAATAAAGGTTTATTCTATACTATTTCTTGACAAAAACATTTAAATTTGTCATTAATTCACACATCTGAATCTAGATTAATTTAAATGTTTATTAAAATCACCCAAAGGAGCCACTAAGTTTATGAAAATAGCTCCACAAAATCACTTGACTGACCTCCTCCTCCTGTGGTGGCCGGATGCTGTCTGTAGAAGAGAGAGAAAAAACAGAATTACAAACTAATTGGGTTTTATTTTACCGTCAATCTGAATCCGAATCTCCAAACAACTTTCTCCCAGGAGGAGTGTTGTTTTTTCCTGCCTGTCTCAGCCAAATACATGGATGTCTCATACTGAGTTAGAAGACCCAACTTCGACATCTACAGACAATTTAAATGTATTTAGGGTCTTTTTAACCATAAACAGAAAATCTAAAAATAAACAAACTCCAGATGTAAACGTTTAACCACAGAACAGCAGCATCGTTTTTAGAGAAACCAGGAAATAAATATTTAAACAATAATGAAACTGTACTACATTATTTACCGTATTTTCCGGACTATAAGCCGCTACTTTTTCCCACGCTTTGAACGCGGCTTATAATGAGGTGCAGCTTTAAAAGGATGGATGCTGGAAAGCAGTGCTACGGAAAGCGCCCTGGAGGATTTTTTCACAGTAAAACGGCGCTGCGTGTTTTCACCGCTTCACCCCCGGATGATGACAGCAACACGGAGAGCGACACCGACAGTTAAACTACGTTTTCAATTCAGTAGATATCTGCGGCTTTTAGCCCAATGCGGCTTATAATGAGGTGGGCTCTAAAGTCCGGAAATTACGGTATGTGTGAATAAAATATTTACACTAAAGGCTACTAGAATGATGCAAAAGGGTCGCATTCCCCAGGACAAGCAGAGTGGTGAAAAATAAATGTCTGTAAAGTATAATTATCACAATTAAAGACAGTTTTGCCCAGAAAGCACAAGAAAACTTCAGCTAAACAAAGAAATATAATTAGTAGGGCTGCAACAAACGATTATTTGGATAATCGATTAATCGGATGGGGTCTCGACACGATTAATCGATTAATCGGATTACATGGGGACATTTTTAAAAACTGCTAGGGAAACGTTATTTCTCTCCTTCCTTCACTTTATTTAACACAACATTATTAGAAAACAGTTCAATAGCAGAAAAACAACATGCCATCACCTAAATTGTCTTATAAGGTGTATAGACAGAGACCCTAAGCAACATCTATCTGTGACCTAAAATGCTTGGTCCAAGTTAAATAGCTTAAGGGCAATTCTCATCTGTTTTGTTTGATCTCATCTGTTGACATTTATTTTAAATGTAATTAAACATAGGCTGTGACTTAATCAAAATTGATCACTATTTCCAAAAATGACTGAAAAAATACCAAATAAAACAAAAGTAAATGAATGCCATCCTCCTTGCGATGATGCCCTGGGCAACTGCCATAAAGTCACATCAAGCAATGCTGCTGATCATTCCAATGATCCCAAATAGACTCACATTAGGCCACATGAAAGCAACTAAACCCAAAAATATATTAACCAGTATATAACTGCACTCTCACACAACACGCCTGCAGCAACAGTTAGGACTCCTCCCTCCCTTTTAAAAGCGTTTTTGCTTCTGAGGACATTGTGGTTGTAAAACCACATGCTAGTAGTCTGGCCCCGGTGTGATCAACCAGTTTCTGCGGGAATGTGACGGCGGAACCAGGGCCAGATTAACACTTTGTTGTACCCTGGGCAACAATATTCAAGGGCTCCATCATCACGACCCAAGGATCACCATAATGTGGTCACATACAGAATATTTTACTGTAATATGCAGTAAATATACTCAATACTTGAATGCCTGACAACACGTAACCCGCCCAGAGTAACCTTTGACCCACCTCGTGTGGACTGACCAATGAGGAGAGGGTCTTAACTTGAGGCCCTCTCTTCATTGGTCAGTCTGCATGAGACTGACTCTCAACTGACGTTCAGCCAACGAAGCGTCTCTGTGCAGTGCAAAAGCCCGGGTGGACAGTTTGTTTAATGTAGGGTGACCATATTTCCATTTCCAAACAAGAGGACAGGGGATCTGTGCCTATGACGTCACACTATGGCAACGCCACACAAACCATGTTGGGACCCATTTTTTGTAAGAACTAAATTAATATCAGATTCTGCCAATTAAAGGGCTCTAAAACAATTCATATGTAAATATTTTGCATATTTAATGCAAAATCTAATTTTTCTGCTTTAGTGCTGCAACAAGGTTTTATTAATAATAAATTATTATACCTTTTGTTTTACTACAGCATCGGTAAGCTTCCTGTGCACAGATTATTAAGGATGCTTGTTTCAGCTGTGAGATTAGACGATAGGATCAATGAAAAAATAAGTTGTCACACACTCCATGGAAACTTTCAGAGAATCCACAAATAGTGGCTTTCAAATGGTTTTGTTACTTTTTGCAAGTTTATAAAAGAAGCAGATGAGACAGCATGTCTGATAATTTAGTTTTTCATCTGATAATATTAGAACATGTCAGTAATGTCTGAGGGGCTTTTATAAACACTGTATAACTAACACTACTGGAGAGGGCATGAATTACACAGAGGCTTCTGGGGAGCCCAGTTATTGGGGGGGGGGGGGGGGGGGGGGGGGCATTTTGCCTTGGCCCCCAAAATGTCTTGAAACGGCCCTGGGTGTGTGACTGAGTTTTGAAGGTGATCTGAATTGTATCAGATGTATAAATATAACATGTGTATAACTTATTGTTTTTTACTGGTAAAAACTTGTAGTGGAGATAAATCTACCTACATTTGACTTTTCAACACTTTGTTTTGTTTTCTTGTTTTTATTTAACTATTTTCCTGTCCTGTCTGTCTCTCATCTTCCTGCATCTCCTCTTAATTCTCCAGAAAATCTGTTGCCTGGATTCTTACCTTTTCACCTCATCAGTTACTTTTGAGCAGATCAAAGGGATCTCCTGACCATAAAGCAGAGAGCGCGTTTTCGATGCTGCGTGAGGTGAAATCACCACAGCACAGGTGATGAGCTCCGCAGTAGCGCGCTTCAGGCACAAATAAGACAGAAAATAGAGAACATGTGCGGACATGAACGATCGTGTGCTAATTATAGTTTTTTGGTTGTGCCACTCTGAGAATGGACCGTGCGCTGGAAGCAGCTGCCTGGATCGCTGCGCAACAATGCGGAACCGGTTCGCAGCAGCGCAAGTCTGCCGGCTCTCCCTCGCGCTGATCTGCCGGTACCGGCTCTCCCTCACGCTGATCTGCGGCTCTCCCTCGCGCTGATCTGCCGGCTCTCCCTCGCGCTGATCTGCCGGCTCTCCCTCGCGCTGATCTGCGGCTCTCCCTCGCGCTGATCTGCCGGCTCTCCCTCACGCTGATCTGCGGCTCTCCCTCGCGCTGATCTGCGGCTCTCCCTCGCGCTGATCTGCCGGCTCTCCTTCGCGCTGATCTGACTTGCTCTGGTCTGCGCGCAACGGCGGGCGGCAAGGGGGGGGGCGCTTTTGGAAGAGTTGTGCGACACAACGAATCGATGACGCAATTCGTTGCCAACGCTTTTAGTAATCGATTTTCATCGAATTTATCGATTCGTTGTTGCAGCCCTAATAATTAGTTTCATTAATGTGAGCTTCACGCCAGTGAAGACTAATGGGCTCGACACACGGGAGGCGACATCACCTCTCCTCCATTCATTTTCAATGAGACATGCGCGACAAAGCGATAATCGCGGGTCTCCCTCCTGCCAAGCGAAACGTGAAAAACGTGCGTGTGAAATTTTGCGCTCGTGCACGTGTCGTGCACAGGCGACCCAGCGACGCGATCCCAGAAAGTTGAAACATTTTCAACTTTTCATCGCTGTCGCTCGGACGAGGACCAATCAACGGAGGTTTCATTCACTGACCAATGAGAGGACAGGATGCTCCGTACACCTCCGAGCAAACATGGAGGAGAAGTTGATTATTATTATGTTTTATACAGTAAAATCAGAAGTAAGATTTCACATAACTCTAGCAGCACCTTGTGAAACATCATATCTACCACTTTTTTTAAACTCTGAACCGCTTAAATAAGCCTAATTCCCTCCAACCTGACACAGCCAAACAAAACAACGGAAGTTTCGATTTCGCCATGGAACAGAACGCGTAGACGGCTTTGCCACTGCCGCGGATCGCCTTCCGTGTGTCAGGTAATAAAAGCGACAGCGACAAATTTTACTGATCGCGATCGTTTGTCGCCTCCCGTGTGTCGAGCCCATAAGCTGTCCGGAGTGTGATTCTTCCTCACCTAAGGTCTCATAGATGTTCTCCTGGTGTCTCTGCGGGTTCTGGTTGGCTGAAGTTTCTCTGACAGGTGCTCCGATGTCGTCGTGCTGCAGGTACATTGATTCTGAAGCGGCAGCAGGAGTACCAAGATCACCGAGGCTTGTGTAAACCACACGCAGCTTCTCAATCTCACCTCTGAGTTTCTGATGGAATAAAGGTTTCAGGTGTCAGAAATCACACGAGTCATTTTAAATATTTACTCAGTAAAGACGGCGTTTATGTTTGTGTACCTCATTTTCTCTGACAAGTTCGTTCTTCTCTAGAGTCCACAGCATAACCCTTTTCTCATTGTCTTCAATCAGGATGTCCTTATCGGCCATCAGTCCACTCATCTCTTTAACTTGCATCTGAAAAATGACCAAAGAAACACAATTATGTGACCAGAAGTCAAAACAACAATCTTTACTCTGTTATCTATGATTATCATTGATGAAAAATAAATATGGGAGGAGAAATTTTATAGAAAATGCAATATAAACAAATCTAAATCGATCTTTATATTTTTCCTTTGCGTTGCTTGAAATCACCTCATATTTCCCATTTATACTTCTTTCCTGGTTGCACATTTCAGACACTTTTTTCAGCTGTTTTTTAGCATCTTCCAGCTCAGATTCGAAGACCTCAGCTTGTCTCCTGGCCTTTCTGGTCTCCTCCTTCTCAGATGCCAGCTTCGCCTGAGTCTCCTGCAGCTGCCTGGTGACACCCTGATACTGTACCTAAAGAGTACAAGATGAGTATTATGCTCCTGTCATAAATCAGGTCGCTTACTTTTGCTCTTCGTACCTTCACGTCATCCTGTGGCGATGTCTCCTGCTGTGACAACCTCCTGCACAACTCCTGGTTCTCCCTCTTCACTTCCTCTATGCTGCAGGTGAGGCTTTGTAATCTTTGCAGCTCAACTGTGAGTTTCTCCTTCTCTTTGTGGGTGCTCTGATAGTCCACCTGATGTAAACCAAATAATAAAAATGAAAAAAGTCATCGATTGTGTTTCAAATTGTATTAAACACATTTCTTAACAGAAATAGTGATTTCAGCTGGTTTTTACCATTTTTGTTCAGGGGTTATGTAACTTATTGACTTCCGGATATGTTGCTCTATTGAAGCTTGTGTTTCAAGATTTAAAAATAATCTAATAAAACAGACATTTGCAGATGAACAGATGCAGTTCACTTTGTGAGTGAAGCTGGTCCTGAAACTATGAAGTTCTGTCACATTTTTATCCTCACACAGACTCACTTTAGCATCAAAAGTCTTTTTGAGGGAACTTTTTTTTTTACTTTGAAGTTAGCAAAGACTTCTCAACTCAGTGAATGAACAAGAAAGTTCTCATTATGAGAATCCTTAATGTAATTTACCTGCAGAAGCTGGAATCTGTCGTTTGTTTTGGACAGCTCTCGTTCTTGTTCTCTGAGTTTGGCATTCAGCCTGAAACACAAAGATGAAATTAGAGGACTAGTTTAAACATGCGGAGGATGACTTAGTGCAGTGATCCGCTAACGGCAGCCCACGAGCCCTCTCTTTGTGGCCCCCAAACCACGCGCGCACCCCCACCACCACCCCCGACGGCGGACCGGGAGGTGTAGGATAGATAGAGCTGAGGAAAAAAATCAAATAATTAATGCATGAGATGCGGGCATAAACGATTCTGCATCATAGAAGAGTAATCAGTTACAGTGGAATGGGGTTTTGTTATTTTAAAGGCGGCACCAGCGTAACATCCAGATCTGTCAGAGCAGGTGTTCTCCACATTTACCGGGTAGGAAACTTTGATCTGCCCTGATGTGGTACTGCACGGCTGAGCGCTGGAGTTATAACCTGAGACCAAACCCGAACTGAATCAGCCCGATCGGTTCTGTTGGATTTGGGCTGTGAATTACATTAATTGAGCGGGTTGTCGTGCGGCGCGCTCCGCTCGCTCGATCAGTGACTGAGTGAGAGAGAGGGGGGGGGGTCGGAAGACGCTCCTCCAAACACTCGTTATTATTTTCATAATTTCATTATTGTTTCTCCTGGAAGAGCTCAGTCAGACCAAGTGCTGAGATGTCGGGAGGTCCGGTCTTGGGGAGGGAGCGGGGTCAGTGATGGCGGCTGCAGCGTGATCATCTGTCTCTTTTATGTAGGGACACATGAAGTTAAAAGGAGAGAAATAGAAAATAGAAGTTCTTGTTCCACTTTATGCTTTCGTTTCATGATGATAAACTGATGTTAAATTCAGCTTAAAGAGAAACTGGGAGGACGCTTTGGTTCACTTTAGGTTACAGGAGATCTTGTTTCCTGTCTGCTCCTCCAGAGACAGCATGGACATGAGGGTCACATGGTGAGGGTCCCACAGGACAGGTTAGTGCAGTCACACAGCCGAGCTGGAGGGGGACAGGTGTTGTCCTTCTTCATATTGCAAGCTTGTGTGTTATGTGCATTACAGCCAGCGATCCAAACAGCAGCACAGCACCGCACCCCCCACCTCGGTCCGGCCCTCTTGCTTCTGGGTCTTTTGTGTGAGTGGTCCTCGGACCATTATAATTGAGGACCCCTGACTTAGTGAGTCATATCTAAATTTAAAAACAGAATTAGTTTATTTATTTAGCAGACGCTTTTATCCAACGTGATCTACAATTGTTAACCTATAGGGCATGTTGTGATCTGTGGGGGAAACCGGGGTGCCCGGAGGAAACCCACGCATGCATGGGGAGAACACGCTACTCCACGCAGAAAGGCCAATTATCCCAGCTGGTTTATTCATGAACAGATTTGATTTCTTCCCTGCTGATTATATTTCCAACAGGACATTTACCAACATTTATTAGCTTCAGATTGTTAGTGACTCAGGGAGAGTCAACAGCAATGAAAAGACTTTGTTTTTATAGCAAAAACATGTTTAAATGTAATCATATTTTATTGTATTTTCATTGTCTAGATCGTTAATGTCTTGGTTTTTAAACAGAAATTCAAATTCTCCAAGAGAATTTGGGTCCGTCTCATTTCTTTTGGTACAAATAAATATTTAAAGCATTTATTTTTTTACACGATAAAGCTAAATTACGAAGTTTGTAACTATGAAAAATACCCTGAACTAGTTTCAGGGGGTTTATTGAATAAATGGTAAAATGATGTTGAATAAATGGTAAAATGATGTTATTTTCCCATGTCTCTCCAGAGAGATGATTTTCTCTGGTAACTGGTAACATCTGGCTTTTCCATCTTCTTAGTTAAAAAGACAAAGATGTGCTTTGCATTGTCTTTTTGTTCAGGGCAGAGTCGACTCACTTGGTAAGCTCGTCCGTTTGAGCATCAACCTTCGTCCTCAGCTCGTCACGTTCCTCTTTCAGCTGATTGACCTTCGCCAAAACTCGTTCATATTTATCCTGAGGAAAAAGGGACAAAGAGGTCAGTTGGGATTTACAGACTCTTAACATTGATTGAAAGTCATCTCACCTCGTTTGATTTTGAGGACAACAAGCTTTGATTCAGCATTTCCTGCTCAGTCTGCTGGGTCGCCATCTTTTCCTGATTAAGCAGCAAAGTTAGATTTCCACACTTATGAAGGAGTTTGGATTTAACTGTAAACTGAGAACAAACCTTTAACCGGTCGTTCTCCTTCAGCTGCTGCTGCAGCGTCTGCTTCAGCTTATCGTTGTGCTCCTTGATCTGATCCATTTCTCTGTTCAGTTTCGTTATTTCAGTAACTCTCTGCTCATCGTGCTCCTGAACAAATCAAACACAGTGTGTCAACTTACCAAAGTTCAGCTTAAATTTACATCTTCTCTGTTGCACAATGACTAAACTACCATGCAACTGTGAAGGAATAAATAAATTAAATAAGATTACCATGGAGCTGTTGATTTCCTTCCGTTCCTTCTGCAAAGCACTCCTTAATGCATCGTTTTCCACTCGCAGCAGGTCCAACTCTGTCTGCATTTCTGCCTTCTCCCGCTGGCTCTGATCAACTTGGTCCTGAAGTAAAAAAAATTACGTAAATTCCGATCTTTATTTTCGCAAGAGGTACAAAAGCACAAGTTCAATTCCCAGTCAAATATAAGATTTAGAGCCTAAGTCACAAATCACCCAGTATGGCAACATCAATAATAATAATAATAATAATAATAATAGATAACTAGTGTTTTCATTCTTTATCTAATCAGAGAAAATCACCTAATTTGTAGAAGAGTAACAATTAAAAAAAAATCAAGACAATAAAAATTCATCTAGTTTTAGTTTAAATTTTGAGAAATTAAACCTTTAGAGATTAAAGGAATGAATCTGTGTCAATGCTGCTCTGCTGTGATGAAACTAAAACTTTCACCACATGCTGTGTGTTCATTAAACTGTCGTGTAGAACAGGACAGAAAAACGTTAGAAATTATTACATTATTTTGAATTCTGACCTTTTAAAACACACCCAGATATAATGCAGCAGAATTAAATGATCTGGCTTCTATCGTGTTTATTTAAATAAATCCCTGACAGAAGAGCTCTATGAAAATATGTGCCTGCACTTTGCACGCAGAGGTTTTAGGGAATTTCTCCTCATGCTGAATAATTTACTTTATCTCACGCTAGAATGATAACACTGAAAGCTCATTTTTGCTCTGCAGATGCTGCTTTAACACATCTAATTCATTTATCCTCTAAATCTTAAGTGTTCAAAATCTGCTTTTGCTGTTTTGTTTCTGTTATTTTAGGGGACTCCATTGTCCTGCTGGGGGACTTCAATGCTCACGTGGGCAATGACAGCATGACCTGGAGGGGTGTGACTGGGAGGAACGGCCCGCCTGATCTGAACTCGAGTGGTGTTTCGTTATTGGACTTCTGTGCAAGCCGCAGTTTGGCCATAACGAACACCATGTTCGAACATAAGGATGCCCATCGGTACACTTGGTACCAGGGCAGCCTAGGTCGCAGGTCGATGATAGACTTTGTAGTAGGGCTGTAGCGAAGCCTCGACGAAGTCGACGGCTCGATTCTAAAAATTTGTCGACGTCAGATCCGGAAGTCGACGCACCGCGCCCACTTGTTGCATCCCCAGGAGTTTGTAAATAGAGGAGGAATCTGCCTGTTTTTCCTCTAGTTCGCCCTCTTCTCCGCCTTCACTAACATCTCCGCCAAATACCGAAGACCCGGAACAACGTCCGTCCACTACTAGATTATTTTCCTGTTTTGCCCCTTCGTCTCCCGGCAACGGACAACAACTTCCGGGGTCAGATGTGCGCTGCTCCGTCTCTGTCGCAGATGTAGAAAATCACCGGGAGCGCTTCTCCCTTCATTAAGGAGCTTCTTTCAGACATGAGGAGAGCTGTTTTGGTGGTAGCAGTCTCTCCTCCGTGCTGGTCTGTTTGCTGCTGGGTGTTTTTGGTTTATTTAAACTTGGTAACTTGAACTTAACGTTGGTAAAGCTACTGTTAGCATCTTCGCTAACAGCTTCTTGCATTGGGATAAGCTGTTACGTTTTGGTTTAGAGTTCATCTTTTTTGTGGTGTAGATCTCCCTTTTATTACATTTAGAGTGTTGTGGGTTTTCGGTTTAGTTAAAAATGTAAGACCACTCGCCTCACGCACATAAGTGACCAAAACAAAGCAGCATGGAGACACTCCATCTTCTACCACCTCTCAGGCAGCAGCCTGCACTCCCAGGTTCTACACGTCACCAGAAAACCAACACAATAAACGCAGTGTTATACAAAATGGAAGGCCTGTAGTGTTTATTCTCTTACAGTAAGAATTTATCAATTTTTTTGAGGAATTTATTTGAGATTTTCTGGTTTTTGTTAATTGTGCAATAGAAAAATAATCATTAGATTAATTTTCTAAATAGTCATTAGAATAGTCGACTATTCGAAAAAATAATCGTCAGAATAATCGTTTTAAAAATAATCGTTTACCCCCAGCCCTACTTTGTAGTCGTATCATCTGACCTGCGGCCGTATGTTTTGGACACCCGAGTGAAGAGAGGAGCGGAGCTGTCAACTGATCACCACCTGGTGGTGAGTTGGATCAGATGGCGGGGGAAGATGCCGCGTAGACCTGGTAGACCCAAACGCATTGTGAGGGTCTGCTGGGAACGCCTGGCAGAAGAACCTGTTAAGTCGGTCTTCGACTCCCACCTCCGGCAGAGCTTTGACCGCGTCCTGAGAGCAGCGGGGGACATCGACTCCGAGTGGGCCTTGTTCCACTCTGCGATTGTTGAGGCGGCTGTTGCTAGCTGTGGTCGCAAGGTGGCCGGTGCCAGTCGTGGTGGCAACCCCCGTACCTGCTGGTGGACACCAGAGGTTCGGGGAGTAGAACCCTGCACGGGCCTAAAATCTGAGCCCGTGTCCGGCCCGGCCCGATGGGGTGGAGCCCCAGCCCGACCCGGTCCGACTTTTTTTAACCAACTAAATGAAAACAAAGTGCGTCAATCCTGACCAATGTGTTAAAAGACGTGCAGGATCCGATCAATTTGTTTTTCCCTCATTTACAACCCTAACCGTCACGGAGATGACGGCGCACTGGCTCTGGTGGTAATCAAGTTAAATTTTATCTCTTTCCAACAATTTTCACAAGAAAACAAAACAGTTAAAAGCAGGGCTTGTGTTGACCGGATAGTTCCCGTATTTGACGGTTTATTTTGACGGAGAAAGAATAGAAAAATTACCCCGACGCATGCAGACGAACTGACATTTTATTCTACGCACATCGCAGATGTAGCTAAATCACCCAAGAAAAGATTCCCATCTGAACATCTGAGCTGGACACTGCTCAGCGCAGCTCGCTGTCAGCGCATATGTGCACAGCGAGCTGCAAGTTGTGGAGATTGGCTTGGAGCGCGTTGCAGAACCAGAGCGCATGTGGGAAGGTTCCTCCCACTGAAGCGAGTGTTTTCCAAACACGGTCTCTCAGAGAGACTTGTCACTCAGAAAATGTTCCCTGATTATGAAACTTTGGCTGAATAGCGCTTGTTCCTGTCTCCAATGTGGCGACGCATCCAGGAGCCGTCTGAGGAGAAGCCCAGAATCTCACATCCTCTTCAGCTCAGGAAGCGCCGGTATGATTACGCACAAGCGTGACCCGTCAACCCGGTCTCACAGTAAAACTGGGTTGGGCCTGTTCAGGTTTACGCAGACAATCTTAAAATAGAATTGACTTACAGATATAAAATTAATTCAGTAAAATATAAAGCATTTTATTTAAATATCCATTCATTATTTTACAAGCACAGAGAGCCGCATCAGATGGATGGAAGAGCCGCGGGTTGCCTATAAAATGACATTTTGAGGATGCAAACTCAATACATCTCTTTTATTGTGAGGCAATAATAGAGTTTTGCGGTTGCGGGCGGGAGTAGACATGCACGCTGCGAGTGTGGGCGGTAATTGTCAGAAATTCAGAGGGAGCGGGCAGGAGCGGGATGAAGAAAACAGTCCCGCGCAGGACTCTACTGCTGCGTTTAAGTGTTTCAATTTTTTTAATGAATTCGATTAAAAATAAAGGCGCCCGGCCCGTGTCCGAGGTAATTACACAGTCATTGGCCCGAAGCCCGGGCCGACCCGAGAGCCTTGGGCTTCAGTGCAGGGCTCTATCGGGGAGCCGTCAGGCTGAAGAAGGGGGCCTACAGGGCGTGGCTGGTCTGTGGGTCTCCGGAGGCAGCAGACAGGTACCGGATAGCCAAGCGGGGTGCAGCAGTGGCAGTTGCCGAGGCAAAATCTCAGGCGTGGGAGGAGTTTGGTGAGGCCATGGAGAAAGACTATCGATCGGCTCCAAAGAGGTTCTGGCAAACTGTCCGGCGCACACTGTTTACAGTGGGGATGGGGAGCTGCTGACGTCAACTGGGGCTATAGTCGGACGGTGGAAGGAATACTTTGAGGAGCTCCTCAATCCCACCTACGCGCATTCCGAGGAGGAACCAGAGCTGGGAGGCCTGGGGATGGACTGTCCGATCTCGGGGGCAGAAGTTGCTGAGGTAGTCAAACAACTACACAGCGGTGGAGCCCCGGGGGCGGATGAGGTTCGTCCTGGGTATCTCAAGGCTATGGATGTTGTAGGGCTGTCGTGGTTGACACGTCTCTGCAACATTGCATGGTCATCGGGGGCAGTTCCTGTAGAGTGGCAGACCGGGGTGGTGGTCCCCATCTTTAAGAAGGGTGACCTGAGGGCGTGTTCCAACTATAGGGGGGATTACACTCCTCAGCCTCCCTGGAAAGGTCTACTCCAAGGTACTGGAGAGGAGGGTCCGAGCGATAGTTGAATATCAGGTTGAAGAGGAGCAATGTGGTTTTCGTCCTGGCCGTGGAACTGTGGACCAGCTCTATACTCTTGCAAGGGTGATGGAGGGGGCATGGGGGTTTGCCCAACCAATCCACACGTGTTTTGTGGATTTGGAGAAGGCTTATGACCGTGTCCCCAGGGGCACCCTGTGGGGGATGCTCCAGGAGTATGGGGTGGGTGGCTTTCTGTTAAGGGCCATTCAGTCCCTTTACCAGAGGAGCGTGAGTTTGGTCCGCATAGCCGGTAGTAAGTCGGACCTGTTCCCCGTGAGGGTTGGACTCCGCCAGGGCTGCCCTTTGTCACCGGTTCTGTTCATTACCTTTATGGACAGAATTTCTAGGCGCAGCCGTGGTGTGGAGTGTGTCGAGTTTGGTGGCAGGAGAATCTCGTCTCTGCTTTTTGCGGATGATGTGGTCCTCCTAGCTTCATCCAGCTCTGACCTTCAGCTCTTGCTGGGTAGGTTTGCGGCCGAGTGTGAAGCGGCTGGGATGAGGATCAGCACCTCCAAATCTGAGACCATGGTTCTCGACCGGGAAAGGGTGGCTTGCCAACTCCGGGTCGGGGGAGAGGTCCTACCTCAAGTGGAGGAGTTTAAGTATCTTGGGGTCTTGTACACGAGTGAGGGTAGGAGGGATCGGGAGATCGACAGGCGGATTGGTTCAGCGTCTGCAATGATGCGGACGCTGCAGATCTGTCATGGTGAAGAGGGAGCTGAGCCAGAAAGCCAGGCTCTCAATTTACCGGTCGATCTACGTCCCAATCCTCACCTATGGTCATGAGCTTTGGGTAATGACCGAAAGAACGAGATCGCGGATACAAGCGGTCGAAATTAGTTTCCTCCGTAGGGTGGCCGGGCTCAGTCTTAGAGATAGGGTGAGGAGCTCGGACATTCGGGAGGGACTCGGAGTAGAACCGCTGCTCCCCCGGATCGAAAGGAGCCAGTTGAGGTGGTTTGGGCATCTGGTCAGGATGCCTCCTGGACACCTCCCCGGGGAGGTGTTTTGGGCATGTCCTGCCTGCAGGAGGCCCCCGGGTCGACCCAGGACACGTTGGAGAGGTTACATCTCCAATCTGGTCTGGGAACGCCTTGGGGTCCTGCCGGAGGAGCTGGTGGACAAGGCCGGGGAGAGGACGGTCTGGAGCTCCCTAGTTGGGATCCTGCCCCCGCGACCCGGACCCAGATAAGCAGAGAAAGAAGACGACGACGGTTTCTGTTATTTTAATTCTAAAATCCAATCTGATCCTAAATTCAAACATCACAACTCATCTTCTGTTAAGTGTTTTTAGTTGTACCTGTGTTGTGATCACCAGCAGCTCGTCGTCCACCAGGCTTCCTGTGTTTTGCTCAGCTTGGTTTCTGAAACAGAACGGAGTGCTGGCTCCTCTCACCTGTCCAACACTGTCAATGTAGCAGAACTGGTAGAACTCGATCTCGTCTTTAGGCAGGTAGTATTCTGACAAAGGAAGAGGAACAAAGCCAAGCTTATTTTTATACTAATAATAAGAAAGATTGTTTTTAACAATTATTTGGCTATTCAAACCATATAATGTTTTTTATTAAAATGTATTTACCTTTTTTGAAAACTTCAGATTAAAATTATAAAAGAAAAGTGAGCATTGAAGCTAGGGTCAAATTGTTATGATGATAATATTGAAGCTGCTGGGATGCTGTGAGATTTAAGACTCCCCCAATATTAGTCAAATAAAAAATATGTAAGATATAAAACCACTTTATAAAGATAATAAGTAAAATGAGGAGAGACACATGCTAACTTCATTTTACGACACTCCTAGTCTTGTTGGTTCTGTGCTTTCCTATAGGAATCAACCATGTTACAAGCTGGGGAATGTCACAGCTGTGTGATTTAAATATTTTATTTTATCTGAAAAAAAAAACAACAACCGTAAAGCCTATAAAGTGCTGTCTGAAAACATTAAAAAGGTAAAATGTTCTAAATTCAGACTCAAATACATAATTAAAGTCGTGTTTTTGCTGCTAACCCAAAATATGTTTATCCCTAAAGATCCACTGGTTATGGAACCAGATTTAGGACTATCTCTGTGTACTTACCTGTGTGAAGATTACCTGGGCTTGCAGTTTACCCACAAACATGACCAAAGCCTTGGCTTACTCTACAGGAACAGTGAAACGTACCCTTGAACACAGCCTGCCTCGTTATCCTCTGACTCGCCTCGGGATCCTCAGTGGGCTCCACCCACACAAAGGTATGATAATCTTTAGCGGAGCTCCACCCGACCTGGACAAAAAGAAAAACACTTTAACTTTTCGTTTAAAAATAACGTGAACCGCTGGTGGAAGTTTGCCCACCTTGAAGATGCCCACCCAGTCCCTGGAGCTGGGCTGTAAGGCAGCATTGAGGGTAAAGCGGCAGGTGATGGGGGCTGAGCGTGGGTATGCCTGTGGGATGTCTATGAAGACCACCTGGGAGAAGGCGGGAGGTGAAAGGTCAGCTCCTGCCTCTGTGAGGGTCTCCATGCTGAGCTGCAGAAAAGAAAACATTTCATAATGTGAGTGTTGGTAGATGGTGCTACAGCAGGTTATGTAACACAGCAGCTCTTAGCTAAATTCTTTATTCACAAATGTAAGTTTACCAACAAAACACCATATTTCTGTCATTTTTTTAAGGATGTGGAATTGTACATAAAATCAATATCAGAATCCACCAACAAAAAGGCTCTCAAAACAATATATATATGTGAATTTTTGCGTGTATTCTTATAATTACTTTTTTCTTTTACCCCTGACTTTGTGTGTTTATATTCCGTTGTTTTGTATACTTCATTCGTTTCTATGTTGTATACTCATTGTTTGTTAAATAAAGTTAAAAAAAAAACACAGCAGCTCCATGTTTTCCAAACAGGCGTCCTCCTTCCTGTTGTTTTCTGTTTATGGGCATTTTCATTTCGCTTAGACTCAATAATAATCTCTCTGTAACAAACTAAAAAAGGGCTGCCGTGCGTCCAAAACACACCTAACACGTGGAAACATCATACTATACTAAGTTTTCTCATAAATAGCTTAGAAATGATCGGAAACGAGCAAGGAAAGAGAAACTTTACAAACCGAAAACTGTACTAAAGACCGCAACGGAAAGATATTTGGTAAAACTGACACGAAACAATGTTTAAAACACAAGTTATATGGACTTTAAACCTAAAATGAACAGTAAATGTACAGGTAAACACGTTGAACTTACACTTTTAGCAGGTGTCGCAGTTCGAGGGGAGACACAACACAGCGAACAGCACGGGAAGGCTTATGATGTGTTCGGGGCACCTCGGAAAATTAGATTTCCTTCACATACACGCGACTGATGCACGCGTCACACGTAGACAAGAATAGACTAAAAATGTTTAAAATATTTGTATTTTATCATGAATGAAATTTTTCTACTAACTGCATTTCTGGGGAGGGGGGGGAATTCAAAATTCATGAAATAGAAATGCTACGTATGTTTAAAAAAGTGCAACCTGTTAAAGCAATATTAATAAACCATTCAGGCACTTTAGACAAAATTAAAATATCTAGTAATATAAAAGGAACAAAACCTAATCTAAATCCCCCAACGCTTTTCGGTAAACTTATTTCTACATTAGTTAAAATAATAAACAACGAAGTGCATCATGGGAAACATTTATTTTCTGCTGTTCTATTGATGAACACTAGAGGGAGACATGTTCTTTTCTTTTCTCGAACTAAATTTTTTTTTAACCCTATCAGGCTCAAATTAAGTTTTGATAAAAGGACAAACAACTAATAAGTCCTTCAGGGGTACTTCTGAGTTAAAAAATGCTCATGAAATACGTATGGGGAGTAACCAGGTAGGAGGTTTTTACGTTGCAAATCTGCAACGCCTGCCTCCAGAGGGATAAAAGGTCCGCTATGCAACTCATTTTCTTAATCTTGGTAAATTATTTTCAAATTCCCTTTTTAACATTTCCTGTTGTTTTAAAACAAATAAGGTCTCTAACGATGCTTATAAGAGAAGCTTTTTATGTTGAGGTTGATTAATAAAAAAAATTGTGAACCAACAAAATTGTTATTATTCCTTCTGTATTTTGGGTTTTAATAAATAAACATCACCCTTACTAAGTGACATAATAATAATAATAACAACAATAATAATAATAATAATTACTATTATTATTATATGAGTATGTGGAAAGTGAAAGTTGTTGTTTGATCAAGTTCTAATTTGTTTCACAAAAAATAAAATAAAATCAGTTAATTACGCCAACGTGTGCACACAGCTTTTGTTGCAAACATTCTTTTACTGGAGCGTGCCCCATTTTAAAAGAAACTACTGATGCAAAATACAGAATCCCTTCATTTGAAATTCTCTCTGATTACCTTGTCATGTTTCGTTGTTAGATTTGGTTGCTTTTTTGGGGGGGGGGGGGGGGTATATTAGGTAGCTTTTTAAAGAGAGCAGGAGCCTGTTTATTCTAATAAATCTGAGCAACATCAAGAGTCTGCAACCTTCAAGAGCCATTTTTAAAGTCTCCTACTAAAAGTGGAGCCACACAAACGTTTTTACCTTTACTGAAGCAGCTCCAACTTGCTTGTATTCTGTGGCATGCACATAACAGCTAAAACTGCTGCTTTCCTTTGAAAATGTAAAGTTTATCTTGTTTCTGGTAACTTAGCCACATCAGAGAGGCAAAGAGCCCTCAGTAACTCCAAAACGGCAGATTGTAGACCCTTGTTAAAATTAAATAAGATAAGCAAATGCTAATTAAATGTGCACATTTACTTTTTGAGGTTAAAATTAATTTGAAGGTAAATGTTAAATCTGTTATGCTGTACAGCTGCTTCAGAAAGCCCAAACACAAAGGTATCCATTCTTATTCGCGTCGGTGCCTCAGCAACCAATCAGAAACGAGAACCTCACATCTTCGGCTTCTGATTGGCTGTCAGGCTCTACTTTAGGGTTAGCTAACCCGTTGTGAACGTCCCGTCAACAAACCAGAACGTCTCTGGTCCGCTTAGCATGTCTCAACGGAGCAACGAGGACAAATATTACCGGTAAAGTCTCCCGTGTTACAATATTATTGTTCCAGTTAAAAATTAGAGTCTAAAGTCTGCTGCTAGCGAAGTCACTCGCTGCCCAAGCAGGGAGAGGTCGGCATTCTGTTACCATGGTGACAGTGCAGCACTGAGCAGCTAATGTGCTGTAGGTCTCATCTTTTCCCAACGTAAACATTCCTTTTTTGTTCATTAATCGTCGCTTGGATTTGGTTTCAGACCAGGTTGTGGATATTTAAGAAGTCTAAAATATTCCATTTCATATTTACACTGATAATTTGTCATTATTGGTACTGATGATAAGTGAACTTTGTTTTCTAAATCACAAAAATATCTGATTCAATATTTTTTATCAGGCAGAATTGAAATACCAAAAAGTTGTAAATGTAAGTGCTGTACAAAAATAAAAAAATAAAATAAATGACAAAAAATAATTTAATTAATTGATAAGTGTTTACCATATATAAAAAAATACATAACAGAAATAAAACAAAAAATATAAGTGGTAAGAGATGAGTTTCCATGATTAAGGGATTTAATGGTTTTATGAAGTTATGTTCAGCTCATAGAGTTATGTGCACATTACTGTGTAAATTAAATGGTTTGGATGTGCTGGTTGAAGCGTGTGCTTGCAAACTTGATCATTATGTCTCTGCAACCAACAAAATAAAATGTTAGGTGATCACCAGACCCTAAAATTAGTAAAAAAACGAATGAAGACAATGGAAAACACATCTCACTAACAAATCCTCATCCACAAGAAAAGCAAAAAAATAAAATAAAATAAAATAAATAAAAAGACTACTAAATAAATGCAAACTAAAAGCAAAATGACCAAATTGGTCCGAATTAACACAACAAGACTGGTTTTCTACATCTCGGCTACAAAAACAATCTAATGGAGCTGCAAAATAATGACAATGTTAGTAATTACATTCAGAATCAACATGTTCTATGAGATACCATACTACAAAATACTCCCACAAATGTGGGTTGTTGGTTGCAAACAAATTTGTTCACTTGCACACAAAGAAGTATTCTCCCAACAAATCTATTCAGGCCCATGTTGCAAAAATGAGTACATCCCAGTTATAGTCTTAGAAGAAAAGCCACACTTAAGACTACAAAATTAAAATGAACAGGCATTCATCCACAGGTGAGTCTAATGATTAATTTAGGAAGTGTCCAGCAGACAGGGGACCATAAAAGGACATTACTTAACAAAGAAAAGCCCTTCCCATGTCATGTTTTCAGCAATGGCTCCACATGGAAGAGAAATGTCACAAAATCAGAAAGGAAATCATTTCTTTACACAAAAAGGTGAGGGCTACAAGATTACCAAAGCTTTACATATCAGTCAGAATACTGTAGCAAAAGTGATCCAAAAATTTAAGAAAGACGGAAGTGCAACCATCTTACAAAGACGTCCAGGCCATCTAAGGAAGTTAACATCTCGACAGGAGCATCGTCTGATGAGAAGGGTTGAAGAAAATCACCATGCAAGTTCAATGCAGTTAGCAGTGTACTCAACAATGTACAGCTCTATACTGAAGGGGAAGATGCTGCCATCACTCTGTGCACTTGGTTGTCGTGCACTTTTCCAACATGACAGTCATCCAAAACACACATCTAAAGCTACTGTTGCATTTTTGAAGAAGAACAGGGTGAAGGTGATTGAATGGCCAAGTGTGTCTCCTGACCTCAACCCAACCGAACACCTGTGGTTAATTTTGAAGCAAGTTGAGCATCACTCTCGATCCAGCATCCAGGTTGTAAAAGAGGCTATTCTTGAAGAATGGAAAAAGATAGATGTTGCAACATGTCGCCACCTTGTTTATTCCATGCCTAGAAGACTTGGTGCTGTCCTTGAAATCACGGTGGTCGTACAAAATACTAAATGTAGTTTTTGTTGCGGGATGTATTCATTTTTGCTTCAACCAATTTTAGTAAAACTAAAGATTTTGTGATCTAAGTTCCATGATTAACGTTAATTTCATGTTATGGAGTTAAACAAGAGTTCAATAAAATCCAGCCTGGTGAAAATTCTAGAAATTGTTCTTTTATTTAATGAGCTACTGATTAAATTCATAGTTTTTAAAGGGGGGTGTACTAATTTATGTTAAACAGTATGTATATATCATATGTATGAAAGGAAAGGAGCCACAGCCAAATACCTTCAAGTAAGGCAAGTCCTAAGAAGTCAGCTCAATGGCAAGAACAAGATCCGGTCAATTAACAGCTACGCCCTGCCAGTAATCAGATATCCTGCAGGAATAATAAGCTGGCCAAAGGAAGAAATACAGACCACAGATGTTAAGACAAGGAAGCTCCTAACCATGCATGAAGGGTTCCATTCCAAGTCCAGCATCTTTAGACTGTGCACTGGCTGTAAAGAAGGAGGACTAGTGAGTGTGAGAGCTACTGTCCAGGATGAAACCTCCAAGATCCATAAGTACATCAAGGACAAGGCCCCAACAGATGACGTGCTCAGTGAATGTCTCAGACAATGGCGAACAGAGGTGGAGGTGCTGGAAATACCCTACATGGGATGTACCATACACAGATAACTGAAGTGGCTGATATCAGGAAATCCTACCAATGGCTAGACAGAGCTGGTCTGAAGGACAGCACAGAGGCACTCATCATGGCTGCACAGAAACAGGTCCTGAACACCAGAGCAGCAGAGGCCTAGATCTACCACACCAGACAAGACCCAAGGTGTAGGGTATGCAAAGAGGACCCTGAGACAATCTGGCACATAACTGCAGGATGCGGCAGGGAAAGTTTGGAACGCCACAACCAAGCGGCTGACATAGTGTACAGAAACATCTGTGCAGAGTATGGACTGGAAGCCCCAATGTCAACGTGGATAACACCCCGTAAGGTGGTTGAGAACAAGAGAGCCAAGTTCCTGTGGGAATTTCCAGATCCAGACTGACAAAATGGTGATGGTAAACCAACCGGACATTGAGGCGGTGGAAAAACAACAGAGGACAGCCATTGTGGTTGATGGGGCAATACCAAGTGAAGCAACATCAGGAAAAAGGAACACAAGAAACTAGAGAAGTACCAGGGCATCAAAGAACTTGAGAAAACCTGGAGAGTGAAGACACTGACGGTGGCCGTGGTCATCGGGGCACTCGGGGCAGTAACCCCCAAACTGGAGGAGTAGTAGATCCCACATCAGACATCTCAGTCCAGAAAAGTGCAGTTCTAACAGATAGGATACTGCACAGAACCCTTAAGCTCTCAGGCCTCTGGTAGAGGACCTGAGCTTTGAAGGATGAGACCATATATATATATATATATATATATATATATATATATAAGAAAGAATTGATGCTTCATTAACTACAAAGAGGACCAAAAGAGAGGCAAAAATAAAATGTAAACAACATAACTGCTAAATGAAAAGTAACACAACCTGAATCCATTTTTAAATGATCTATTTGGTTTTTGTCTATCTTCTTTTGTTGAAAGGGAAAGGAAGAAGCCTTACAGTCTTTCATAACAACTAGCCACAAAGTTAACACATATAGTGATATTTTAGATTACAACTCAAACGCATGTCAAACCAAATTCATCTCTTCTTTTTGAATGCAGGTGTCTTCTCGTTGAATAATATTCACAAATAAATGAATGAAATCCACTCTCTGTTCAGTTAATACTAACGTCCATGCTGGGAGATAGTAACTACAAATCCGGATGGTCGAGGTGTGGCAAGGTGTGAGTTGTCCATCAATGATTCATTAATCCTGATTGACTGGTTAATCAAAGAGTCGTATCAGCTCCACATAGTCTAACCAGATTTTCTCCTCAGTGTCTCTCAGCTCCCTTTAGTTTGTTGGATGGTGACACCTGGTCTCTGGAAACATGAGAATACGTGTCCTATTTGTTGACTTTCTTCTCTTCTTTGTCTTCACACTGACCAACATATTCCACTCTGACTGTGCATCTCTGTTTCAGTTGTGCTTCAGTCAGCTGATTCTCACGCTGCAGAGCTTTTCAGCACAGATTTGAATTTAACAACTGGCGGTAATGAAGAACGCCTCTCCTGTTTCAGTGAACAAATATCAGGGATTATCCCTCTCTTCTTACTCCCTGCTGAGGTCTTGTGCTCCTTTTCTCTCCATCATGTTGTGATGTATCAGGTTTTTCTAATTGGTCACCAGATCCACCGCCTGAGTGTGAACCGAGTCATTCTTACACTGATGAAAAAAATCTGCTCTGTGTTTTTTAAAGACACTAGAAGCAGATGATGCATGGAGATGAGACATGGCTTATTGTTTTGTAATCGAGGAGTTCGATGGAACTTTAGAAAGGTCCTGAAGGAAGAGAATCCTGTTAAAAAGACGAGAGGAGAGAGAACGCTGTGGCATCGTCCTGAATCATAAATGTAGCGTCAACAAGTGAGTAAACATTTTCTGTTATAATGAGACGAAACAAGCAAAAATCATAAAGCTGGTGGTTTGTTCAAATCATGTTTAATGCAACAGTCTTTGTCAACGTTGAGTTTCTAGGGAGCTGCTGACTCTTTGTGATTGCTTTGAGGCTTTTATGGTTGCAGATGGTGAGGTTTTTATTTATCAGTGAACTTTTGCCAAATGTTAGACTGAGTTAAAAAATAACTAGGTGCAGTTTGTAAAAATAATTATCCTGATTATTTAACAGCTTTGTTTTGTGGTATACAGTATGTTTAAATGAATTGTTTTTAGAAGTGCATTGCACTGTGGACACAAATACTTGACTGTATATTAACCAACTAGTTGATGGTGATTTTTGTAAGAATCTTTTGAAAATCTGAAGCAATTTCATGTGACATCTGAAGATTAGCCTTTTACAGATATTTGCATTTTTATTCATTAAATAGATGTGATATTTTTATTTTCAAAATGGCAGGTTAAAGGTAGAATAAGTGAGAATTCGGCAGTGAAATAATCACAAAACAGTCTAATGTTGGAAAGAATGTTACACTGGAGCAGATTTCCTTCTGAGACAGCTGGGGGGGTGGTCAGTTGTTTTTAAAAAAAAAAAAAAAAAAAAAAGAGGGACATAGTTATTGTGTACACTCAGTGGGTTGCCAAGTCTGCTAATGCTGCACCGGCAGGCAAAGCTCCACAGTTGTAGAAATTATGTTTAGCCAGTAAAATTTGAAACCCAGGCGTAATTTCTTGTAACATAGGCTACGGCATCAGGGATGGACTGGAACATAATTTCAGCCAAGAAATATCTATGCCTCACCAGGATGGGGTGGGGCAGGGGTGACAGTGGAACTGCTATCAATTACAAATATGTATATATAAAATATATGTAACATTTGACCACTAAAAACAAAAATGAAACCTGGGTTCCACTATGCAGCACATTGTAATGGGCAAGGACTTACTATGTAAATCCGGTATCGTACAAGTGTTGCATTCATGTTATTGTGTACCAGGATAATGCCAGTACAACTGGGGAGTTATACACTCTTACTGCAGATAAATGACCTATGGTGGTGATCTGTTTTACATCTGGAATGTCAAGCACATATGTTTGTTTATTTATTTGGCAGACGCTTTTATCCAAAGGGACTTACAATTTATAACCTATAGGGCATGTTGTGATCTGTGGGGGAAACCGGAGTACCCGGAGGAAACCCACGCATGCATGGGGAGAACACTTTTAAGTAGCTTAAGGATCAAAAATTGTTAGCTTGCAAAGTTTTTAATCAGATATAAAATAGTCTAACAGAACATCTTAGTGAGACTGGTTGTACCGTAAATCCTCTAATACAGGCCCGGGCCTGTATTTGACTCAAGCTCATCAAGCTCCAGGTCTTTATTGGAAGGAGGGCCAGTATTAGAGGCAGGCCTCTATTTCTATTTGAGCAAAATGAACAAATGGTTCGCTGGAGTTTTTGACAATTAAAATCGCGCCCACATTTTCAAAGTTAAACACATTTCTTTTAACAACGGTAGTTTCTGCTTCAGCCATCTCCCCCCTCCCCCTGCGCAGCGGCCGCAAACTCACTGATGCGCCTGCAGCCTCTCGGAGTTCCTGCTGCTCTAAACATTAAAATAATTATTTCATTTTCTGTTCCTCACTTCTGATTACCTTCAATGGTGTCTGTTTGTTGCAACCACCAGGTACAAAAACTAACTTGTTTTTATTTGACTATTTTTCTGTCCTGTCTGTTTATTATCTTCCTGCATCTCCTCTCAATCCTAAAGAAAAACTGCTACCTGGGTTCATATATATTCACCTCATGAGTTACCTTTGAACTGCAGTTCTAAAAGATCTACCGACCGCAAAAACAGCGGAGCGCTCGCTGTTTGGCGGCCGTATCAGTGATCAGTGCGTCGGAGGACAAGGTGATGCGCGCAGCGCCCCGCTCCACAGCATGCAGCGAAACGCATCAGCCCCCCCCCCCCCCTCCCGAGTGCAGGAGCTTGTCACCTGCTGACAGCAGGCTGCTGTCTTTTCCGAGGGCTGCATCTTGCCGGTCATTATCACGTGACAGCGACTAGTCGATGACAGGCATAAAAAGTCACTATAGTAAAGTTGACTAGTTCATACACCCCCTACTGCTGCTCTCCAGAGTGTTCTGCAGCATAATCAGCACGTTCTCTTTGAACTTGATAGTGTAATGACCTGGCTGGGGTTGTAAGCCAGGTGCATTCTGGGCATTGTGTTATATGTGTTTCCTATCGTTCTGCTAGTTACTATGTGCTGATTTGCGTGTTGTGTGAGTGTTATGTAAGCCACAGGGAAGGTGATGTGTGTTCTGTGGAGCGGGTTGAATTAGCATGGTTAACTGACACCGTGACTCTGTGTGGTAGGAGCGTGATAGAGGATCGTGTCTGTAGCGTTGAAGAAAAAGCCTATTAAAGGTCTGTGTGAACCTCTATTGCCTCCTGCTGGCTGATTTGGGGACTATAACCCTGCCGCTGAGACGCTCATACTTGCTTGTTACCACATTCCACCCGGCCACAATAAGAGACCGGCCATTATTCACCTCCGCTGACTCCGACACCGGCCATTGGAGACCCGGCCTTTAATTGAATACCGGCCTGTATTAGAGGAATTACGGTATTTAAGGCAAGGGAACGGTATTTAAGGCAAGGGAACTTTATTTGAGTAGCAGAAGAGGCAAATCAACGTGCTTTTCATTAGCGAGAACAGCATGGAAATTAAAGTAACGTGACGTCACAAATAAAATACACAAATTTAGGTCAAATTAAATACACACATTAATTTCAGGTTTAAGAGTCAGGAAAAGGGGAGCAGTTACAGTGCAGAAAGTGCAGCATAAGAAACATTCATTCAAGGCTGATGAATACATGAAAGTTTTAAATTTTGAAGCTACCTTTTCTGTTCTGATTCTACTTGTAGAAACCTTCATTATTGTATTATTTTGCCCTCACAAAAGAGAGAGAAATTGTGGTTTGAATTCTAATCATTACATTTTTACATTAAAAGTAACCCATACATGATTCATTTAGAACCTAAACAAAGAAGTTTTGTTGCTATCACAACTTGTCACAGAGTCTCTGAGACTCTGTTTGTAACCGTAACTGTTCTGAGGTCAGTGAGGCGTCTCAGCTGAGTGTAAGGCTTACAGTTCAGAGGCAGGATTATCCAGATCACTGGATCAGAATACTGTCACCCAGCACCACAGCCTCTCACTGTTTACCTGGGATGTCCCTTCTTAAGGCTACCATCAGTACTAATCAGTAGCTTCACCTCACATGGTGGAAGACACCAGAGTGGACATGGAGGTGAGCGACTCAGATGCTGCTGCATCTACGCCCCCACTGTGCTCAGGTCAGAGGACACTCGCTTAACCCACCCCAGTTACAGTTTGTTTTAATCTGGGGTGGCATAATTACTATAATTATTACATTACAAAAGTCAACTAATCCATCATACAAATAGTTACAAAAACATAGTCCGTCATCCTTGAAATTTTCATTTTTTTAGCTTTCCTTCATTACTACCAAGAAATTCCCTCTCACATTAGTCTTTCTGAAGCAATAAATGTTTTATCACCTAAAATCTGTCATTTTAAAACAAAGTTAACAATTTTGTCTCATTTCTTGTTTCTGTCACTTAAAAAAAACTCCATTCTATTTACCTGACTGCCATTATACTTACTAATCTTCTCATCTCTCTTCATCGTTTGCACAATCTAAGCTGAATGACAACAGCTTGTGGATTTTTATCAGTTTCTCTTAAAGTTTAGAAACACACAGACAGGGAAATTAGTGTGAGCCAGCACTGAGCCATCATGACATGCTCATAAATACCAAAAACATCAGGGAAAGGATGGGCGAAATGATAAGTTGAAATGAAATAATAATGTACAGATGGAATGATTGATAGAATACAGCAAATTATGTCATGCTAAATGCATAATCTATGATTATTGAATATATTGTTGCATATTGTTGCATGATCATTTAGATATTGCTCTGCTGTGTTGCAGTCTTAAAGCTCTAAATTTGGTGGATTTTCAGATTAAATCTTGTCTTTGCTGTAGCATTAGCCTCTTAGCCTGTGTGTGTGTGTCAGCCCTGCCACTCTGTGTGCTGACAGCCGCTGCACTCATCTGATGAGAGGAGTGGAAACAGAAACACGACTCCATGAGCTCTCCTACAGCATATACTTGGTTCTGTTTGATTGAGTTTCACAGTGGACCTGTTCTACACGGGGCATTAAAAAAGAACCATGTGAATGAGTGCTGAAGAGTGGAACCGTATCATTTACATGTTTGTTGAACATGATTACATTATCTTTTGGCAACTGGATTTTTCTCCTAACACTCAGAATGGGTCTACCAGTGGATGGTCTGGATAGAAATACCGGTGCAGATGATCATGAGCAGCCCGGGGAGGAAGAAGGGAAAGAAAACCAGACAGAAACATGTGTCTCCAATCAGCCACCCCCTGTCAGCAAGAAGAAAAGGAAAAGCAGGAGGAGGTATTTTACAGCTGCAGCTTTTTATTCTCCTTTCTCTTTGCAGGTTATGAACCGTTGAGACATTTCTAACGAGGTTTATGTGAGACTGTGCAGCAAAGCAGGAGTCTGTCCTGTTTGTGTCTCCTGTCTTTCAGATGACTGACCATCAACCTAACCAACTGCAAGTATGAAAGCGGTATGTTTCAATAAAAAATCACACATTCAGGCAAAAATTATTCAGATTCTTAAACTTATTGTGATTTATTTGCAAACAGTTTGAACACAAGTTATTTTATATTGTCTTGTTCATTTTTGCACGAGTGGCAATACACATCCATTCTGCAAAACACATTTCAAACATTGGAAATTTTACCTTATTCTGTCAAACAAGTGAAGAAATATTCTACATGTTTTATGTTTCTTGTAAACACATTTAAGGTGCACAAATATCAGTATTGCAATCTTCTACATGGCAGATACAAGATGGCTTTGTTATGAGATCAGAATGGGTTTTTTTTTGTTGTTTTGGTGAAAAATTAATTGAAATCTCTGAACATCATTCAAAGCACAGTATATTTCTAATGATTCTTTTAATAGGTTAATGATGGTCTTTAATATAGATGGGAAATTGTAGCCTGGCAAGCCAGACTAAATAAATGTAAAGCAAGAATTTGGTCTAGTTCACTAGGCTAGGGAAATTGTAGAAATTCAACTTTTGGAAAGTGTGTTGTTGTCCCGCAATGCAGTGATGAATCCGCTTAACCAATATATACAGGTGCTGGTCATGAAATTAGAATATTATGGCAAGTTTCATTTCAGTAATTCCATTCAAAAAGTGAAACTTGTAAATTATATTTGTTCATTACACACATACTGATATATTTCAACTGTTTATTTCTTTCTTGTTGATGATTATAACTGACAACTAATAAAAATCCCAAATTCTGTATCTCAGAAAATTAGAATATCAATTAAAAAAAATAATTTTTAGAAATGTTGGCCAACTGAAGTGTGAGCATGTGCAACACTCAATATTTAGTGGGGGCTCCTTTGGTTTGGATTACTGCAGCAATGTGGCGTGGCATGGAGTCGATCAGTCTGTGGCATTGCTGTTATGAGAGGCCATGGTGCTCTGATAGTGGCCTTCAGCTCTTCTGAATTGTTGGGTCTTTCTCTTCACAATTATCCCATAGATTTCCTAAGGAGTTAAGATACCATGGTCCTTAAACCAGGTACGAGTAGCTTTGGCAATGTGTGCAGGTGCCAAGTCCGGTTGGAAAAGGAAATCAGCATCTCCATAAAGTTGATCAGCAGCAGGAAGCATGACGTGCTCTAAAACTTCCTGGTAGACGGCTGCGTTGACCTTTGTAACGTCCAAAAGGGTCAATTTTCTCCTATATATTGATCAACATAACCTTTCATCTACAGAAATAAATCCACTTTCTAGGTGACCTTCTAAATCCAGAAGGTTCTGCTGAGCACGTGTTGACATTCCATGAAGACAAAACATTCAAACATTCTCACCCAAGGTTCTTGCACCCACTGTGTGAATGCCAGACGTCAACATTCTTCACTTTGAATAAGTAAATAATCATATGTGATGAATGAACAAGATGTTTAAATGAAATGTTTGAATAATCTGTGCTTAAATCAATGAATTTGAAATTAATATTGTTCTAATAGTGATCCATTTATACCACAAATCAGTGTGTGTTTGATTTAGCAAGTTAATCATTGTTTATACTCATACACATTACAATAAGATATGTTTTAAGCTTAAAAACATCTTTATATCTGAAGGAAGGCATGGCTTTCTGAGGGATGTTGGTAAACACTCAGAAACGTGTCAAATTCTGATTTGCCAAACTTGGCCAGAAATCATAACAAAGTAGTTTAATGAAACAAGATTTACTTCCCGAGGAATTCAGTTTCCAGCTGACCCCCGATTCAGCCAAATCGGAAAGATGCCTCTTTTGAAACAAACTCCTTTGACCTTAAGTCAAAACCTTTCTGCGACACTGCAAATGATAACAGACACAACAGCTCTTTTCAGAGCTACTTCAACTCAGACATCCACCTCAGACCTCTAACCTGCAGACCCCTGGTTGCATCTCATGACCGGGGAAGCTGAACTCAGAGGAAGCTTCTAATCTCTGAGTATCGTGGTTTTGACGTCCGGTGACCTCACCACTCTGACCACAACCCTCCGGACCGCCGGGAGCAACTCATACCAGGGTATCGTAAGCCTGCACACTGTCTGGCATCTGATGAGGTTTTTATCAATAACTAACTCTCTAGTTTATAACAAACAACTAATTCTTTTACACCCAGATTTCACAATTTCTCTCAGATACAAAGAACGGTTGCTACAACATCTAGCTTCCATCCCAACACCTCACATCCACCACATCACATCTCCTTATTCACATCTTGTCATGCATCATTAGATTAGGAAAAATAATTAAATTCATTTTATAAGCTATATACTGACTCTGTCTGAATTAATACGAAGTGTGTTTATGGTCCCTGAATAAGCAACGAACCCTAGAATCTTCTGATTAAACATTCAAAGATCAGATTGATATTTCATATTTGTATGGAATATCACATCTTATTGGTTATAATTAATATGTATTAATTGCTACACCTTGGACCTCAGAAAACACAAGGGGCCAACACCAGCAGATGACATGATACCCCAAACCCTCCCTGACTGTGGAAACTAGACTGAGAAACCATTGGAGTAATCAGCTGATTAGAGTGTGGCACCAGGGGTCTTCAGTATCGAACCTTTTCATAATATGTTAATATTTTGAATACTGAATTTGGGATTTTCTTTAGTTGTCAGTTATAATGATCAAACTAAAAGAAATAAATATTTGAAATATATCAGTCTGTGTGTAATGAATGATTCTAATGTATAAGTTTTACTTTTTGAATGGAATTACTGAAATTAATTAACTTTGTAATGAGATTCTAATATTATGACCAGTACCTGTAGACACCTCAACGGGGTCATGCAGTTAACAATGAAACAAAATCATAGTTTATGAACAAAATTACATCTTTAATCAACTAAATTCTCATATTTCTTCTGATTCAGTGTTGTGTATCATTTTGAACCATGGAAAAATAAGGTGAAACAGCTTTATAACATATGTGTGATTGATTCTTTGCTTAATTTGATGAATTCTGTGCATATTAAACAACCCTGAGATGCTCTCTTACACCAGCTGCAGACACCCAACACACCATATTTAAAGTAGACACATGCTCCTGGATCAAAAACACAATGAAAACATAATTAGTCATTTCATCATGAACACACACATTGCATAAATAAAGCATTTCACCCAGCTTCCTGTGTGAAACATTTTGAAGTGGTTTAAAATTTGATTTGTTTTCAGTGAGGCGAGCTGCACGCAGATGTAACCTCAGGGAGGTGACGGAGGAGGAAGACTGGACTCTGTTCTGGACTGATTGCTCCGTGTCTCTGGACCGTGTTAGGGACATGAAGCGTTACCAGGTATTTGAGTCAGACTGCACACATTTACACCAACATTACTGCCATCATCAGGAAACTGCTTTCATCTCTACAAATTACCCATGTAATTTTATTACTTCTGATTGTAGCTGAGTTCTCCTTTCAGGGACAGATTCAGAGCTCAGTTCAGGCTTTTAATTTGTAATCTGCTCTAATGTGCTTATTCAGTGCAGTTGCTGTTCAACTGGATGTGACCAAAAGACCCAATTCTCCCCTTTAAAATGAATACAATCCGAATATAATCATAGAAATAAAATAGATGTGGCAACTGCCCTCTCAAGCTGTGTAAACTCGTTTGTCTTTTAGAAAATTAACCATTTTCCAGGGATGAGTGAAATCTGCCGTAAAGACTCACTGGCAAGGAACCTGAACCGCATGATGAAGCTTTTTCCTAAAGACTACAACATCTTCCCCAGAACATGGTGCCTTCCTGCAGAGTCAGTCTACTTTTAACTGCACTGTTTCACTTTTTTTGTTTCACATCTTAATAAATCCACTCATGATTTAATTATGCTTTACAGCTTCAGTGACTTACAAGCGTATACCAGAGCCAGAAAACACAAGACATACATCTGTAAGCCGGAAACCGGCTGTCAGGGCAAAGGCATCTTCATCACCAGG